CAACTTCTTTTTCCGCCATTTATTTGCAGAGTCTTTTGTACATTGACACCCCTCAATGTTCCCAAAACCGCCTAACCATTTGATCAAGAAATAACAACCGCTCCCTCACTTAAGTTGGCACACAATAAGCTGGCAGATAACAGTCAGGTTGCCAGTTTGTGATACCCTGACAATTTTGCCCAGTGCTTGCCCCATGGGCATTTTTCTGGTAATCCAGTATTTTTCTAATAAGATTGGGTGTCTATACTTTCCATATATACCAAATTTGACATGCATTGATTGGAAATAACCACCCGATAAATACTTTTCTGGGAAAGTATCTTTAAAATGTATATATAATTTCCCATCGTCTATACTAGTTTTTGTGACTGTCATTTGTTTGTTTGTCTGTCTGTTCAGGGTTGGCAGCTACACTGGGGTTGTCCCGAGCCTGAAATTTGGTATTTAGGGGTAGCTTGAACCAAGGAGTAACATAAGCTAGATGGTTTTCCACTATCATTTCCGGTTTGGGAGTTGTACTACAGTCAACCCATACAGCGTGGGTTATCTGCTTGAATTTTAATATTTGATTATTGCTTGATAAAGTCTTGAGAAATGTGACCTGTGTATTCCAGTTGAGGCAATATAAATTTGGTATTTCCTGATTAACATAACTAGAGAGTAAGGGAGGCAGGGAGGGAGGGAGGGAGGAAGAGAGAGAGACAGAGAGAGAGAGAGAGGGAGAGAGAGAGGGAGAGTAAGGGAGGCGGGGAGAGAGAGAGAGAGAGCGTGTGGGTGCCCCCACACACACACCTAAAATGCAGTCCCAAAACAATCCCATAATACTAAAAAAAAAATTCGACCAACTGACCGACCCTGAATTTTGTGGCCAGGTAACCAAAAACACAGGTATTTTTTATGTGGCCTTACCGTTAATAATACTGTAATTAAGACCAATGTGTAATGTGATATACTATGTGTTATATATCCCTCAGGTAATATTATAATACCTGTATATACCATATGTAATGTGATATACCATGTGATATACTATGTGTTATATATCCCCCAGGTGTAATAATACCTGTATAATAATATACTGTTACCTTCTTATATTGATTAATCAGGATGGAATAATTAGCTTTCATAAGATGAAAATCAGGATGGAATAATGAACTTTCATAAGAGATATTCTTTGAATGGCATTTAGTAATTAGAACCTTGATTTTTCATTCCATCCGAACAAAGAGAAACCATGCCGGAAAGTCCTGATGAACTTTCACGGGCAAAAAACTTGGAGCGAAACTGTGACATCCAGGCTAGCGAGCCAGTGTCTTACTTAATTAGCCACTGTGGCCCCCTATTTAAATAATAAGTTTTATGCTAATTTGTTTCATCCGATTTCATTAGCCCAGTATGGGAGCAGAACAGTATAATGTTCAACGCCATCTCATTTTTATTTAGTCCATTCATTTCCGATGTTGCCTCCAGGTTTTTACTGCCTCTAACAATTACACATTACCTTTCCTATCTGGAAAGAAATTTCCACAAAAGAGAGAGAGAGAGAGAGAGAGAGAGAGAGAGAGAGGGAGTGAGAGAGAGAGACTAACATATGGTTGAATTTTATTTCAATAATCAGCTAGGGGTCTTTAGCAGTGGGAGGGAACCGGAGGCCCCGGAGAAAACCCACGAGGTTGACCTACTTCTTGTCACCTTCAACCGCGGAGAATCAAAACCACACCAGTTGACTCAATGACAGACCTTATGATGCAGCACGCGCTAACCATTCGGTTATCCACCCCCCAGCAAAACAAAAGAACTGGATGGTGTAAAATGTCATTTATTTGTAAAGCGTAAAACTGTCAGTGAATAGATTAAGTTCGGTAACACAAGCTGTGAAAGATGGGAGTGTGTCATGCTAGTCGACATCTCAAACCTCATGAAGCATGAAGGGATCTTGTAATTTTCTCTGATATAAAAACTGATTTTTGGTTAGTATTAAGGAACAATTTACAATGATTTATGAGCTAACCAAGAGTAGAAAAAGAAGTTTTTCTTCAGCCAAAGTTTGATAAATTGAGTGAGAATAATCAATTTTATACAATACCAGTGGTTATTATACTAGATTTTAATCAATACTGCACACTAAAATAACTTAACAGCCACGATAAGTTTGATAAATTACAGCGAATTGTGTCTCATTCTCTATTGAACGATTAATTCTAGTAAGTTATTCCACGGTAAATCACATTCAAACAAAAGAGCTGTCAAAATTTCCATAATATCAAATATTTTTCTTAGAGAAATTGAGCTATTTGTTTGCCTCAAATATTTGTTAGAATTTGTTATACACAGATAGCAGAGATTTTCTGAATAAAAAAATAAGTAACTAATTGTTTTTATTGTCTGGTCAAGAAAATGAACTAATTCTTTGCTTCAAGTAATTGTTTCTATTGTCACGACTTGTCATATCTTTACTCTAGGAAATTCAAATTTGTGTGACATAAGCTTAATATGAAATAGTTGTTATTGTGCGAGAGAGAGAGAGAGAGAGAGAGAGAGAGAGAGAGAGGGGGAGAGAGAGAGGGGGGGATACTAGGGAGGGAGAGAGAGAGAGAGTTTAATGTCAACTCAGCACAAACCAAATCATTTTGGGACTAATATAATGTATGGTTTAATTTTTAGCAGTGGAAGGAAACTGAAGGACGGGGAAAAACCCATGAGGTTAGACAGGTGACTTTACTCCTTGTCACGTAAAAGTCGGGAATCTAAACCACGCCACTTGACTCTCTGACTCTGTTTTGGACTAATGTATGGTTCAATGAATGAATAATTGTCAATGGTTAGCAGTGGAAGGACTCAGGAAAAAAAACATGACCTTACTCCTTGTGAGCTACAAGCAGGGAATCTAAACCATGCCACTTGACTCTATGACAGACCTTATAGTCTAAAGAGCATGCATTAAAACATTCAGGCTTCCAAACCCCCGAGATTTTGATACAACAAGAGACATTCTAGCAATATGTAAAAGTAGACTTTGATTCAATAATTTAATAGATTTCTTATAATTGTGATACAATGGCCTGGCGTACATCTGCTGCAGGCTATCTTCTCCCCTGGTGAAGATTGCCACACAAAGATAAAAGGAACTAAAAAAAAAGCATGAAAAGAAATCTGGACAAAAGAGGCTGTCTGCTGCCTGTAGTCTCTTTATATCCAGTTGTAAACGGCCTGTCCCCTGAGGATAAAACTGGAGATGGTTTCTTTAACATGAAGAATCCTTGAAAGTGAAATTAAAAGATGTACCTCAAGGGAGGACAGTAAATATCGGAGTTAATTCAATTTGTGTTTTTTCTTGTTCTGTATTGAGAAATGGAGAAATAATTTTTTTTTGTTTGTTACGAGACAGAATGAAGATAATTCAGTTAGTGTGTAATGAATTTCAGTAAGCCTGATGTTGAAAACACAGATTTCAAAGATACGATATGTAGGATCTTTGTAATTTTAATTTCAATCAGCCTGGCGCTGTAGATACAGATTTCAAAGATACATTATATAGAATGTTTTGTAACACTAATTCCGTATAGACGAGATAGATGTAGGCCCTATAGCCATTTAGGTCTTTCTTTTTTAATTTGTATGAATAGATCAGTTTTATACAGATTGTTGAGCTATAGTGTTACAGAGAAGATCTAGAGTTTAGAATCAGAGAGATAAAGTTTAACTTCCACTTGACATAAACCAGGTTAATCGGGACTGACATATTGTTCAATTTTATTTCAATTATTCACTTGCATGTAGGGGTATTTGACAGTGGGAGGAAACCGGAGGACCTAGAGAAAACCACGAGGTTGGACACGTGACCCTACTCCTTGTCAAGTACACAACTGGGGAATCGAAACCACACCAGTTGACTCAATGACAGACCTTGTGATACAGCGCGAACATGCTAACCATTCAGCCACCCAATTTCCAGTGTTGAAGAGAAGATCTGCTTTTAAAAGAACTGTATGCCCGTCCTCATTAGCCCAATCGGAGCAGAACAGCAGGACGTTTCATTTTATTTGAAGATCTATAGGGAACAGTAGGTTCCGTCACTAAACAGTTAGATGTATTTACTGGTGGGCTGTATCCATTATGCAATTACTTTATGATTCAATAAGGCGGGTTGGATGTCCAAATAATAATAATAATAATAATAATAATAACTTTATTTTCAAAGGGTTGAAAATTAGGCCAGAGCATGCGCGTTGTATCATAAATATGTGTCGAGTGGATGTTTATTAGTGTAAAAATTTGCTTCACTACATGAACAGCCTCCTCCCCCCCCCCCATCATAATATGAATTTTGTTCCGAAACATGTGCCCCCCGATATAGTTTTGAAGAGAATTAAGGACATCGTTGATGTTATTAGTGGGTTACCCACAGTTCCGTGTACCTCACTCCAAAAGCTTGCCGTAAAAGACTGTTTCATTGGTTAATTCCAAACCTCATCCAGTACGCGGGTTATATAACATCCAGATCCTAGTGTAGTAAAGACAAGTAAAACGAAATTTTGAACTATAAAAAGCGAAACGAAATAGGATCTGTGTTTTAATCAGATTGTATGTGGCATTATCTGGCAACCAATTATTAAAAGTTTTAATAAACTTCTCTTTTCTATTTGCTAGCCTGGAGGTCGGGTGTTCGATCCCTGCATTGGCGGAGAAACTTCATCCAGATTTTCCGGCGTGGTTCCCCCTTGTCAGTGATGCAGGACAGAGGGCCTGACAAGGACAGCTGTCTAGTCCTTTGGATGATACGAAAAACCGAGGTCCCGTGTATACATTGGAATGCACGTAAAAGATCCCTTGGCAGCTGGAATTCGATATAAGAAGAGGCGATAGTGCCGCTGCCCTGGCAAAATTTCCCTCATAGCACTCCGTATGGCGTATGCCTGTCTTCATTAGCCCAGCATAGGAGCAGAACAGTAGGACGTTAAACTCCATTTCATTTCATTTCATTTCTTTTCTATTTTCAGGTAGACTAGCTACATGGCTACCATTTCCACCCAAGATGTCTCCGTCATCTGTCTTCTGGGTTACTGCCCTTTTTATATCTGGGCTCCAGCAACAACCAATGGTGTCTGCTGATACAATCACTAACGGCAACCATATATCATCTCAGGGAAATATAACGAGAATAGTCAGTGATAGCGAATCAGAGGATACGCGGGAATTAATCAGCAATTTGATTGGTGCTTTAGAAAAGTTGGATATTTTAACGACAAAATCATCTTCGTGTCACACGTTAGACAAAATCGTGCGAAAAGTGAAGAATCTGGATCAGACCCAAGATTCAAGAGAAATCAGAGTTGTTTTGTATTTTCGTGAAAATTCATTAAATCGTTCTTCACAGGGTAAAATTCGTCAAACCAAAGATTTAAAATCGTTGTCTGAGTGTAGGAATGTGTTGCTAAGCGACGCCTATTCGTTATTACAGAATCGTGATAATTCTAATAATTCCAGTATGATCAACACGACCGTGGGTAGCGGAGCTCAGAGCGAGCAGAAGGAGGAAGAAGAACAATATCAGGGATTCCGTGAGTAAAAGAATTTAATTTATTTTGAATCAAACCCGGTACCATGGTGGGGGGGTGGGGGTATTTCTGGATGGCCGAATGGTTAGCACATGCGTGCTGTAACATAAGGTTAGTCATTGAGTCAACTGGTATGGTTTTGATTCCCTTGTTGTACGTGACAAGGAGTAGGGTCGCCTGTCCAACCTTGTGGGTTTTCTCCGGGTCCTCTGGTTTGAATAAAATTGAACCTAGTTTGTGTCGAGTGGACCTTAAACCCCATCTCTCTCTCTCTCTCTTTCTCTCTCTCTCTCTCTCTCTCTCTTTCTCTCTCTCTCTCTCTGCAGATGATGAGATCTAATGCATGTGTTTTAGATCATAAGATCTCTCATTGATTCAAGCAGTGTGACTTCGGTCCCTAGATTGTACGTCACAAAGAGTAAGGTATACAAAACAGGGTGATTTTAGACATGTTGGAAAATGGGTGGGAAGAAAAATGGGGTTTAACGTCCACTCGACACAAACTATGTCATTTCTATAATTCGCTTGCGCGTAGGGGTCTTTAGCAGTGGGAGGAAATTGGAGGACCCGGAGAAAACCCACGAGGTTGGACAGGCGACCCTACTCCTTGTCACGTACAACCGGGGAAGTTTTATGGTTGGGAGTAAAAATATGTCAATTTTATGACGTGTAAATTGATCGATTGGTGGCATGGGAATTGACTCATGGAAATGAAATGGGGTTTAACGTCCAACTGTTCTGCTCCTAACCTGGGCTAATGAACACGGGCATACGCCATACAGTGTACTATGAGGGAAATTTGGCACGGACAGTGGTGCTATGGTCAACTCTTATTTCGAATTCCAACTGTCAAGGGTTCTTTCACCTGCATACCAATGTATACACAGGTCATCTGTTTTTCATCCCATCCGAATGACTAGACAGCTTTCCTTGTTAGGCACTCCATCCTACACCACTAACAAGGGGGAACCACACCATAAAATCCTGACAAACTTTCTCGGCCAATGCAGGGATCAAACACGGGACTTCATCTCGTCTTTCTCACTGAGTCACTGTGGCTCTCAATTTAACTGATGAGCAAGTGATCATGAGTGGCCTGTATGGTTGAGGTGGACCCTATGGTATTGTGGTTAAATTATTTGCATATCTGTTGCATGCACTGCGTCTGCGAAGAAATTATTAGCTGTCTTAACTTTCTCGATATGTGACGTCCCCTTGGTGTACATGTTAAGAATGAGAATAAATTGGTTTCCTCACATTCCTAAATGAAGACATGCCATGTAGACATGTCTTGGGATTTCATAAAAGACAGAATCACACCAGTGGATCAATACATAAAGACAAATCTTCACAAAAGTCTTAAAGTTGCAATTTCATATTTTTACGTTTTATTTTTAAAATTTATTAAAATAAAGTCCTAAAATAGATGATATCTATAAACAGTCCTACCTTGTTAAATAATAATCCTATTAATCCTATAATTCACTATTGCCAGTTGAGAAATTGGCAAAAATATCATTTTCATCGACAAATTCAAACGTTTGAAGATAGCTACTCCATGATGGAGAATAGAAATCAAGGGAGGTAATTCAGGATAATTGGGAGGTAATTGTGTTATTATTTCCGGTGTAAATGAGTTTTAAGTGTAAGATGGCACATGTGATCGTATAATAGTGAGTTGACAACCTATAGAGCAAAAGACATAGAAATAATTATGTTTTGACTTTCTTAGAAAATATGAAATTGTAACTTTAAAGTTGACGATCATCGTTTACATTTTATCCACGCTAAAATATAATCAGATTAATTACAGAAGTAAAAACAAAATATCAACTCGCGATAATCTCCCTGCTTACATTCTATTCCATTAAAAAGACGACCATCAAAACATTTCAGTGGAACTTAAAAATGATGACAGCTTGCTTGATAGGGTTAGAGACACAACGGCCTCAAACCAAAACGGACCAAAAATTTTGCCAAAAAGGTTTTTTACCGATTGTAGATTGTTCATAAAGGTCATAAATAAAATAAAACTGATCAATCAAATATATTTGCTATCTAATGATAATCCACGATAGATGAATTTTGAACAAATTTTGGGTTGTTTTGAAATCAGTGAATTTTTCCTGGTGAAATGTGGTTTAACGTCCACTCAACACAAACTAGGTCATTTTGGGACTAACATATGGTTCACTTTTTTATTTCAATAATTTGCTCGCGCATAGGAGTCTAAAGCAGTGGAAGGAAACCAAAGGATCCGGAGAAAACCCATGAGGTTTGCCTGGGCAAAATTTCCCTTATAGCACACTGTATGGCGTATGCCCGTCTTTATTAGCCCAGTCGCCGCAGAACAGTAGGACGTTAAACTCTATTTTATTTCATTTGATAAGATTGAGAGTAATATGTTTAACCTGATCTTCCAATCTATAGAATGTAATATTCATTTATTCGTATTTTTATACGCAATATCTTGATTTCAATTTGATCAACTACAAATGGATTCCAGATGCTTACGAGATTACGCTCGTAAAATAACTCATTTATTGACCTGAAGTCAATCTTGTTGGACCATGCTATTGACTTCTTCCTCAGTTATTATATAATATAGTAAAGGTTGTTTATATATTAAAAATCACGTCCAGAATGAAAAGTGATGGAAAATATCAATGATAAAAAAAAAAAACACGTCCAAGAAAATGATAAAAAGAAATTACTTCAGAGAGAGAGAGAGGAAAATGGGGTTTAATGTTTACTCAACAAACTAACATATAGTTCAATTTTATTTCAATAATTCGCTTGCACGTTGGACCCGGAGAAAACCCACAAGTTTGGACAGACGACCCTACTCCTTGTCATGTACAACTAGGGAATCGAAACTATGCCATATATTAGTCCCAAAATGACCTAGTTTGTGTCAAGTGGACGTTTAACCACATAATTATTGTTGTTCCATGGAACTATGGAAGGATACATGCATTCTATTTCTGTACTTTACACAATGAGTTTATGTTTAAACGATGCTATATACACCCTACCTCTTCAAATCAACGATTTATTCTTTTCATCAGAAGAACCACGAAAGTTTTACAAGCTTTAATACGATTGTCTGCGAGCCATCTGATCAATCAAGGCCATCTTAACTTTTCATGTTTTTTTTTTTCAACGAACGGAGGAACACGGAGGAACACGTTAAGTGGCCGCGATTTCTCTACAGACGTATTCGATGAAAAGAAAATATTTAGGCAGAAACGAATTCAATTTATCTTGCGTGTTTTTATCGAAGCTAGAAATAAAGAGTTGGTGGGAAAACAAGATAAAATCAATTTGATGTTAGAGAGAAGGTTATTGGACGGAGAATAATCCGTACTTATTATATAGATCTTCGTTTGTGTGCTTGATTAACTTAATTAGACCACTTCCTCCTAGTCCTCCATTATTCTACTCCTCCTTTTTCTCCGATATCTTTAGATCAATTAATTTAAACCGAGATTTTCTGACCAAATCTAATCTGCACGTGTGTACTGTTTCAAACAAATTCAATTGATTAAAAGGCTCGCTGTACGGACCAGATAGCAATAACTCTGGTCGTAACTAGTCTGTTGTCAGGGAATTATGACCAGTTTACCTCCATTCTACTCCCCCCAGACGTCTTATTAACGTATCGCATAGGCTCGTAACGACCAATTTTATGCCTTCTATGACTTTCTCAATAACTCTTCAAATCGTTTGACTACATTTCCTTGGGAGGGAAATTTGATCGAGAAAGTGCTTTTGTGCATATATCTCGGGAGAGTAGATTGTTCGAGAAAGTGATTTTGTGTATTTGTCTTGCCGAATATTTGGAAAATTGGAACATAAAAACACTATCTACGTTTAATTAGGAAATAGTACTTCCACAACAAAGTTAACGGCAATAATTTCAAAATGAAAAAATCTTAATTTAATTTCAATATTTTATTTAATGCCCTGCTCAAATGAATACCCAGGGCCATCGCCCCCTCTGACCACCCCCTGACCCCACCCTCTGTTCCCCACCATTTAAATGCCACTGGAAATATAAGGGTTGTTAAAAAACATATCTTCGCCTCACTTGCAGTCTCTAGCTGGCAAGACCCAATCTCACTTAATCTCGTAAATGTTGAAAAATTAAACCTTTTTTACTGCTTCTAAATATGAATATATAAAACTGTAATTTGGAACAGTTTATATTGTATTTGATCGATTTTTTTCTTTCAAAGGATACTAAATTTCAAATAAAATGGAATAATGAATAAACTAAGTAGAAATACTCGCCACTAAGTCGCAAGTTAAGATTAATTTCGTTCTCTTTCTGTGAAATATTAAAACAAAATGGGTATATTATCTAATTATATTTTAATAAAAAACATCTGAACAAATAATTGACATAATAATTCTTCGTAAACCAACAACTGTGTTTTTAGAAATTGACAAAATTACAAATTTATCAGGGAGACGAAGAAATAGAAATGGATGAAATGATGAGGATAATTCACGAATCTATTGGTTTCATATTCGTTGATCTCATCTGGTAATTATTGATTGAACCGTCTGGATTAATCTTTCCAGGATAAAAACATCAACAAATATAATTGATCTTATTACTGGGTCCTTGAACTCACCCCGTGGACGTAACCCTGACCCCTGTCTCAAGATCTATGAATGAAACATAGAATAGTTAGTATGAGCGCTATGTTATGTGAATACTCGATCAAGTATATACACAGGCCTCTATCAGATATATTACACATGTTAAGACACTCTTGATTTCAGCTTAAATTCGCTAGAAATAGAGAGGGAGAGAGAGAGAGAGAGAGAGAGGGAGAGAGAGAGAGAGAGGGGGAGAGAGAGGGAGAGGGGGATAGAGAGGGAGAGAGAGGGAGAGGGGGATAAAGAGGGAGAGATAGATAGATGGGGTTTAACATCCACTTGACACAAACTAGGTCATTTCAGGACTAACATATGATTCAATTTTATATCAATAATTCACATAGGGATCTTTGGCAGTGAGAGGAAACTGGAGAACCCGGAGAAAACCCACGAGGTTGGACAGGCGACCCTACTCCTTGTCACGTACAACTGGAGAATCGAAACCACGCCAGTTGACTCAATGACAGATCTTATGATACTACGTGCCCGCGCTAACCATTCGGCCACCTGATTCTCCCCACTCTATGACATAAATTATGATCTAAAGACCACCACACAATTTATTTCAATAATTATTGAATCCCCAAAGATCTCCAAGGATTAATGGTACTTTGAAAACCAAAACATAAAGATCCATTTATGCGAATAAAACCCAACCAGAATCATTTTGTATAGATGCACAATATTTGTTAAAGAAAGAATTTGCAACTATATCTAAAGGCTGACAACATTTCCAAGAAAAAAGGCCAGCATTGTAATAGCAATTCATCATAGTTATTCTATTGTGGAAGAACTTGTAACATAAAACAGGGATGAAATATAAGTTGCCTTATTACCCCGCTGGTTTACAATACAGACCATGTTATACACCAGATAAACAAGAACCAAACCGTTTTATTGAATATTTGACCCAAACGATGAATATTTCATGAGAGATATTCCATAGTTTCATGTGGGATATTTGGTAAAGATATGGAATAATTAGGAATCTTGAGCAAGTCTTTTGGATACAAATTGGTAAATAAGGTGCTGAGAGAGGGTATTTGCTTATAGATGGATGTTGTGATATACTACACATAAAAAAGATAGGTTGCCCGGCAATGAAACATACACCCACAGCAGCTAAGTCGTCTGGGGAGTCAAGGGCATAACTCTGACAGTAATTATCAGAAACTGTTGAAAATCAATAGGCTTCTTCGTCTAATGACCATAAACACTGTGTATAAATTAAAAGTCAATCAGATATTAACTTTAGCCTCGAGAATGTCCACAAGATTTTTTAGAGTAATCAAGGGCCATAATTCAGGCAGTTATTATCAGAAATCTTTGAAAATCTATAGGTTTCTTCGTCTCATGACTTTAAACACCATGTAGAAATTTAAATTCAATCAGATATTAACTTTAGCCTCCACACAACTTTTTTTAGAGTGATCAAAGGCCATAACTCAGGCAGTAATTATCAGAAAATCGATTGGTTTCTTTGTCTCATGACCTTAAATACTGTCTATAAATTTAAAGTCAATCGGGTATTAACTTTAGCCCCTATTGTGGACACTGGACTGACTGACCGACAGACGGACAGACAGATGAACGTATGGGGGGGCAATGACATTATATACAACCACATAACTAATCACCGATCAAAAACTGATGAGCATTTCTTGTCAATAGCACCAGAATTTATTACCAGTAAATGGTTTCGTAAAAAATTAACATAATACATCTTTAAATTCAGGGGACTCATTCATGAAATCTTAAACAACAATATTTTAAGGATGTAGTTGTTTCATTGGTTGAGAGTTAGCTCTTGGCCAATGAAAGGGTAGAATTCTTAAAATTTCCTAGTTTAAGTTTTTCATGAATGAGGATCTAGATATTACATGTCGTGTGTGTAAACACGAAGTAAAATAAAATCAAACCAGAAAACAAACGGGACAAAGCATGGTCAAGACAAATTGAATGGGTATGATCCTGTATCCACCAGGGGCCTGTTTCACGATATCTTAACTAAAAATAAAATCCAAATTTTAGTAGATACTTCAATTTTGATTGGCTAAGCACTAAAATCAACTAAAAATTATCCAATCAAATGACTAAAAGTTGGATTTTATCTTAGTTAAAATTTGGTGAAACAGGCCCCTGTTCATCCACGCGAAATTTATACCCTTATACCTGTTTATAAATATTTTACTCTTCACACCAACAAAGCTATTGTATCTACATATACCACTGCTGTGTCAAAATAACACCTAATATAAGATGTGTTGTATATTAGTTGTATGTTTTACCACCTAACCAGACTTCGTGACACATTAAACTTTAATGATACTATGACCACTGTCAGCTTACTTTCTATCACTCAGTTTAAAGGTGGGATTGGATGGGCGATGGATCTTACACCCGCTGCGTTTGCAGAAAAATGATCGAGGTGCGGGAGCTGTTATGGGAGTTCCTCCCTCTGAAAATTTGAAAGTTTAAAGATGATTTCCTTGCTTGAAATTGTAAAACAACACTTTTTATGAGCTTAGTCCCAATAAACATCACGGAAATCATCTTTAAACTTTCATATTTTCTGGGGGAGAAATCCCCATAACAGCTCCAGCCGGGGGTGGGAGGCTCGTACCCCCAAACCGCCCCTCTGGATCCACGACTGCTGTATCCCTATGTCTGTGAAGTAAGTCAAGGTTATTTTGTACGAATGGAAATTAAAACAAGTGTAGGCCGTCTCGGTTGCACACAGTCTGTCTTCATTAGCCTGGATGGAGCAGAAAAGTAGGACGTTAAAGTTACAATTTAATATTTTTAAGTTATATTTTTAAAATGTATTAAAATAAAGCCCTAAAATAGATGGTATCTATAAACAGTCCTACCTTGTTAAAGAATAATCCTATAATTCACTATTGCCAGTTGAGAAATTGGCAAAAATATCATTTTCAACTTCAAATTCAAATGTTTGAAGATAGCTACTCCATGGTGGAGAATAGAAAACAAGGGAGGTAATTGGGAGATAATTGTGTTATTATTTCTGGAGTGAAGATTTTTAAGTGTGAGAAAGATAACCTATGATCGTATAATAGTGAGTTGACAACCTATTGAGCAAAAGACATAGAAATAATTATGTTTTGACTTTCTTAGAAAATATGAAATTGTAACTTTAAACCCTATTTCATGTTATTATATTGAAATTTTTAGATATAAATATTTATTTAACTGTATATATGTTTGTCTATTTTCAGTTGGTTTAAGTCGAACACAAGTGGTAGTTATCTCCACCTGTTCAGCTATTATTGGTACATTCTTCTTCGTAGCTGCTATAATGAGAATCAGGTACGATTATATATATCTTACAGCTTCTAGTCTTCTCCCTCCCTCCCCTGACTTCCTCCTCCCTTACCTATCTTCTCCAACTTCCCACTTTCCTCCCTTCCTTCTCCAATATCTCCCTCTCTCCCTACCTTCTCCATCATCTGTCCCTTTCCTCCCCTCCCTTTCTTCTCCAAGATCTACCTCCGTCCCACCTTCTCCAACATCTCCCCCTACCCCACCTTCTCCAAGATCTACCTCTTTCCCAACTTCTCCAACATCTCCCTCTCTCCTATCCTCCATCCACCAACTTCTTTATCTCACCCCCTCCTTTCCATTTCCTCTCCCCCCCCCCTCTCCGCTCTCTTCATTCTTTAACTTCCCTACCCCCCCCTCTTTTTTCTTTAAACATCCCTCTCCTACATGCATCTTCCCTTCCTCCATGTTCTCCCATTCCTCCCATCTATTCCTTCTCCAACTTTCGTCTCTCCTCTCCCACCTTCTCAAAACTCCTCTCTCCTATCCTCTCTATCTTCTCCAACTTCCCACTTTTCTTGCCTCCCTTCTTTCAACCAATTCACTCTCTCCGACGTCCCCTCCAACTCCTACTTTATGGCTCAACTTTTCCGTCTGCAAGATGTCTGAGTTTAAATTCTATGCTAACACTGTCTACGATATCACCCTTGGTGGAAGTAGACGTAAAACTCCAGGAACCAACGAACGATGGTGTTAACAATAATATGCAACATGAATCACTGATTTATTACACCTTAAGAACAATGATATTGTGCCAAATGGTTTAATACTCAAGGGTCTCGTTACTATCGTTAAACAAGATTAAAGTGGACTAAATCTATTTAAGGCCAGCTCAATTTTCGTCAATGTCGCTAAGATGCAAATAAGGTTAGGGCACGTGATTGTTGGCGAGATTGTAGGTTAGGGTTAGGGTAATCATTTGAGCTAGGTCCAGGGTTAGGGTTGGGATCAGTGCTAGCTCTGTTTACATCTCATAACCTTTAAGTTGACCTTATCAAATAGATCTAAGCATTAAAGCCCTGTTTACATCTCGTGACCTTTGACCAAACTAGAAGTTGGCCTTATTAATTAGATCTAACCATTAAAGTGAGTGGTTTCAGGATACATCCTAGACCTAATGATGTACTAGATTCTCCTTTGTGCTTGATATTCATAAGAGGATAGTTGTCGAAAAATACGACCACCACTTACATGGAATACAATCACCATTGTACATGGAATAATGTTTCCACCGGGTTGGTCTGTCATCGAGTAAAGTGTTGTGGTTTTGATTGAAAGCTTGTATGTGGCAAGGAGTAGGGTAGCCCATTGAAACTTCCATTATACATGGAATAAAGTTTCCACCGAGTTGGTCGATCATCGAGTAAAGTGATGTGGTTTTGATCGAAAGGTTGTATGTGACAAGGAGTAGTGTAGCCTGTTGAAACTTGTAGGTTTTCCAGAGGGGTGTGCGCGTGTGTGTGTGTGGGGGGGGGGGCTGGCTGAATGGTATAAAGTGTACACTTTAGATCATATGGTCTGTCACAGAATCAAGTGCTATGGTTTCAATCCCAAACTTGTATGTGACACAAGGGGTAGGTAGGGTAACCTGCCTAAACCCTCAAAGGTTTTCTCTTTGTACTTCCACTGCTAAATACCCCTAGTCAAGCAAATTATTGAAAAATATTGGGTCATCTCTTCAAAGTGTGTTGTATCATAAGGTCTGTCATTGAGTCAACTGGCGTGGTGTCAAATCCCCGGTTGTACGTGACAAGGAGTAGGTTCGCCTGTCCAACCTCGTGGGATTTCTCCAGGTTCTCCGGTTCCCTCCCACTGCTAAAGACCCCTACGCGCAAGCGAATTATTGAAATAAAAATTAAACCATGTGTTAGTCCCGAAATGACCTAGTTTGTGTCGAGTGGATGTTAAACCCCATTTCTCTCTCTCTCTCTTTAAAGTCTTGCAAACTATAGTGCCGAAGTTGAATATATAAAAGGAATGTCAGTCCAAAACAGATCCATAATTTCTTCTGTTCAGTATTCAGAAACATTTCAAACACATAGCCGAACAAGTCGGTCAAAACAATTTTTTTCAGGCAATCATCAAACTTTTTCAGGCTGGCCAAAAAATGAAATAAATAAGATTTTAGTGGATATAAAAGGAAAAATGAAAATTATTCCATCCCGTAAAATGAAGTGCCTGAAATCTGGGACTTTTATGGACTATTGGGTGGGGGGATTTCATGCCCAACCAGAGTTCAGAGTTTCAGAAAATCACACATTAATTCTGATTTTGATTCAGGGTGTCTAGTCTCTTAAACTCAAACTGCAGGTCTATTGGTTCTACTTGCCGATCGGGCACTCTTGGTTCTACTTGCTATCAGTTCTACTTGCCGATTGGGTGCTATCTGGTAAAGTTATATAGGTTCTACTTGCTGATCGGGTGCTATCTGGTAATGTTATATATAGGTCCTACTTGCCGATCGGGTGCTATCTGGTAATGTTATATAGGTTCTACTTGCTGATCGGGTGCTATCTGGTAATGTTATATAGGTTCATTTTTTGGGCGTGCCATCATATTTTTTGGGCAACAAAAGATACCCTGCCCCCTCAAGAAAAATCAACTGGTATGCCTGTGGTCAAACATGCAGTATCCGCTGTAAGTGTTGGGGGGATCACGGTGGCTAAGTGGGTAAGAAACTGGCTTGCTAGCCTGGAGATCGGGTGTTCGATCCCTGAATTGGCTGAGAATGTTCATTCAGATTTTCCAGCGTGGTACCCCCTTGTCAGTGATGCAGGACGGAGGGCCTGACAAGGACAGCTGTCTAGTCGTACTGATGGGACGAAAAACCGAGGTCCCGTTTACACATTGACGTGCACGTAAAAGATCCTTGACAGTTGGAATTCGATATATGAGTAGGCCGTAGAGCCGCTGTCCGGGCAAAATTGCCCTATAGCACACTATATGGCATATGCCCATCTTCATTAGCCCAGTTTGGAGCAATACAGTAGGACATTAAACCCCATTTCATTTCATGGGCCTCTTATTAATCTGCTTGAATCCCATGATGAAAGATGATCTGTCATTGATATTTCTAATTTGTTTTCTTAATTAGGGACAATTTTATATTTTCCGAAAAATTCAAATTACATTCAGAGACTTTAATGGAAATCTGAAGATTGACCTAATTTTTTCCAAGGTTGTCTGTTTTGTGATGGCTAAAACTATTTAAGGCCAGCTCAATTTTTGTCAAGGTCGTTGAAATGTAACTAAGGTTAAGGCACGTGATTGTTGAAGAGATTGTAGGTTAGGGTAAGGTAAGCATTGGGGCTAAGTCCAGGGTTAGGGTTAGGGTTAGGATTAGTGCTAGCCCTGTTTACATTTGTGACCTATGAAACAAAATTGAGTTGGCCTTATTACTTAGCACTAACCACTTCGTGATCTCAATGTTAAGTTGTAAAAGATTAAAAGAATTTAGAAATGTTGTAGAATCTATGAAGTAACCAATAGTAGCTCATATCATGTAAAAACTAGATTAATCTTGTTGATGATTGTTGGAGTTATTTATAGTTTAGTTCTCTAAACATTAATACCATCTAATGGAACTTTAATGTCTCTATGGATTAAGTGTTAATACACTCTAATCTGGTCTAATCCCTGATACAAGCCTTCTACATCATGTCATATACTTAATAAATGAGAATCTATTTGGTATTAACGGTACAGTGTAATGGTTTTAAGTGAGATCTCTTAGAGCTGTTGTCAATCCTCTGTTAACTCCCCTGTCATGTAAATAGATTATTTTTACAGATAATCAGTGAAAGACAGATGATTATAAGTGATGAGATCATGGCTTAAGGTCAAAATTTAAAGGATTTAGAAAAAAAACCTTAACATGTATAAAATGTCCTGAACTAAATCATGTGGATATTAGGATCATTTCGATTGTGCCTGATTTTTACATTTTGACTACCTGTTGAATTTCATCTACGTGACATAGAACATAGTGATGGATGGTAGACTTACATGACATAACACATAGTAGATTTACATGACGATGACATGACATGTGGTAGAGGTACATTACATAACACATGGTAGATTTACATGACATAACATATAGTAGACTTCCATGACATAACGCATAGTAGACTTACATGACATAACACATGGTAGATTTACATAACACATGGTAGACACACATTACATAGCACATGGTAGACTTACATGGCATAACATATAGTAGACTTACATGGCATAACATATGGTAGACTTACATGGCATAACATATGGTAGACTTACGTGGCATAACAATGGTAGACTGTAGACACATAGCTGATGAAATCTACTGCACTGACTCGACTAACAAAATTAGGTATACACCATACAGTGTGATATGAGGGGAAATTTTGCCCAAACATCGGCACTATATGGTCTACTCATATTTTGAATTCCATCCGTCAAGGGTTCTTTTATTTGTAGGACGTACGCCAATGTGTACACAGGACCTTGGTTTTTCATCCCATCTGAATGACTAGACACTGTCCCTTGTCAGGCCCTTCGTCCTGCACCACTGACCAGGGGACACCATGATGTAACGGATGATAGGCCTATATAACATGATGGTGGTCCTACCAGACATTATGGATGAAAGGCCTGGCTGTATAATTTCAGCTTTCTGAATAATTATTTAATGATGTAATGAGAGAGAGAGAGAGAGAGAAATGGGGTTTAACGTCCACTCCACACAAACTAGGTCATTTTGGGACCAACATATGGTTTAATTTTATTTCAATAAATCGCTTCCGCTTAGGGGTATTTAGCTGCCACGTACAACCGGGGATTCGAAACCATGCCAGTTGACTCAACGACAGACCTTACGATACGGAGCGCATGTGCTAACCATTTGCCATCCCCTCCCCCCCCCATGAGATAATGAAGATACTGAATATTCAGCTTTGTTTATTTAATGATATGATATTTTATTGTAGGAATTATGTAAAGCGAATACAAGCTGAACAACAATTACAGCGCCGTCAGACGTTTAGAAGTTGTAGTTTTACACTGGCCAATAATAACAGCCCATCTCGTGATTCTAGTCATAGTAAAGCCAGTCCTAAGGTAGGTCATTGTATTTTCTTAACAGGTATTAATAGCGAAAAAAGATATCACATTAACAGGTATCAAATAGGACGCAGGTATCAAATATTGGACAACGATATCAAATATTGGAAATGATATCAAATATTGGAAATGATATCAAATATCGAACAAAGATATCAAATTAACATGTGTCAAATATCGGACACACATTAACAGGTATCAAATATCAGACAAAGATATCAAATGGCGGCAGGTATCAAATAGCGGACAGGTATCAAATAGGGGACAGGTACCAAATAGGGGACAGGTATCAAATAGCAGACACAGACAGAGTTTAATGAGCAGAACATAAGAACGCTAACATCAATCATCAACAAGAGAACAATGAATGTTTATGTCAACAAATACTTCATTTTAACTACAACAATCAGTTTACACTGTAACCCGGGTATCATTTAATCTTGTGTATCTAGCACTAATTTCTTTCACATTCGTTTAATATCAAATCTGTGTTTAAATTCAGAAAAAAACATTTAAAATCACCACGAATCATCTAATTTGTACTTATGTCCAGTTTAAAGCTGACTGATTAATTTTGATAATAAGTATTTAATTTCCTGACCACTGTTTATACATCAATAATCAATTGGGTTGTTTATTTTTTTAACAGTGATCGAGAAATTAAATCCTTGTGAATGGTCAGCTTTAAACTGGATACAAGTACAAATTAGATAATTTTGGGTGATTTTAAACAATTTTTACAAATTTTTAAACAAAGATTTGATATTGAATGAATGTGGAGAAATGAAATGAAATGGTGTTTAACGTTCTACTGTTCTGCTCCGGGTGGGCTAATGAAGACGGGCATACGCCATACAGTGTGCTATGAGGGAAATTTTGCCTGGGCAGCGGCACTGTCGCCTACTCTTATATCGAATTCCAACTGCCAAGGGATCTTTTACGTGCACGTGGAAGAAATTAGTGTTAAATACACAGCTGTAGTGGAAACAACCATACTTGATAATATAACTATAACCGATGTCTAGGTCATATGTTATTTTATCACTTTTTAATTCTGTTTTAAATTTCAAATCTATATTTTAATATTCATTAATGTCTTAACCCTTCAATAATTATATGTTTATGTCAACACTTTCTAAGTAACTAATTTGTATAAATAGACAAATGTATGTAAGATGATTCATTAGTTGGAGAGACCAGCTTATGGAACCTATATACATACTAGTTGGAGGTCCGATACATAGGAAATTATAAGTTGTTAAATTGTTGCTGTTAATTATTTGCTCTCGAAATTAAGTGTTGAAGATCCATTCCAAGAATCTGTATTCATTTCTGATACTTAGAGAACACTCATTGAGGAGCTATATTCCCTGAAAGACGCACAGTGTTATAACTATGCTTTAGGATATATAACCCATCATGTCAATCAGTAGTCTTGACCTGTTCTCAAACAACACAACTACTTGTTCCGAGTGGATTGTCTGTTCGTAATTATATATTTGGTGCACGATGACCCTTCAGATGACAGGCTGTGATTAGAATTCCTAATAAATTCCTCCGAAGGGGGATATCCGTTTATTAGTTGAAGATGCTGATATAATGGAACCCTTTAGTGATTTTGTGAAGTAATTCCAGAGATGGTTCAGAAAAACGGTTCTAGTTAAATTCCTCACATGATAGGATTATTTTGAAGAGCCAGAATGTAACTGCCAGTTTTCTTTTTAAATATCAAAATTTAGACAAACCGATTAAATGATCCCGAGTTTATAAAGCTTTCTCAGACTTAAGTTGAGAATTTATTCAACTTTCAATCACTGTTTATGAGAAATATCTTTGATGCAGAAACACAAAACTTTGCATATAGTTTCTTATTGATGTATTTGATACATTAAAACAACACAAGTTTTATAAAGGGCTATATTTTAGTGTAAATAAGGTGAACAAGTTTGAGTAAATTCTCAGCTTAAGACTGAGAATCCTTGTGAACTCGGGGTCAGGTATATCAAAGATTTTAAAACAATCCTGGAATTTAACATTCTACTTGTCTACATCAACTGAGCTAATGGAGATGAACACACACCATGTAGTGTACTATGGGGGAATCTTGCCTGAACAGCAGTATTACCACAATTTTTTTAAGCTTTAGAAAAATAAATAAAGGTGTTTGAAGTATATGTAGGTAAAAAATATTTCCTATCTAGTGTAAAATGAGTAAAAGACCCCATTCTGCCCGAACAAGTTATGTCTTGTCTAAACAATGCATGTGCCATTGACGCCACATGTTGAAGGGAGTCAACTGAACAGATTGCAGTATTACCGCCAATAATTCTGTTGATTGTAGGAAATCAGAGAACCTATGTAACCCAGGAGGTTAGGCAGACAACCCTGATGGTAATGTCCAGCCTTGTACAGTATATTATTTGTACTTAAAACATACACTATGTAAGATTTAGATAAAGAGTCGGCCATTCTTGCTATAATAGTTCGAAAATAGATAATGCAAAATGAATGTATTGAAAATTTCGTTCAAATTGCTCCATTGCGAGCGAAGATATTAGCTTTTAAAGGTTTGACACGATGGTGCATTAATTGTAACCACCGCACTGGTTGTTCGAAGATTGGCCTCCCTTCTCCATTTATAAATTCAATCAAAATATGGCTGAACCGTTCTAATCTACTTAATATCGCAGATATCCGATGGCATCGAGAGTTGATTATGTTTTTGTCATGTTAATAAAAGTCTAATTAATAGTTTATATAATATTTCAAGCCTATATAAAGACTTCCAATAGGCAGATTTAGCTCTTGCATAATCTCCCGTCAAATGTCAAGACCTAGTAACTCACTTTTTTATCAAAAATTGAATTTGGACCAAATTTGTAGTTACTAGGGTATGTGCTTCCTGTTGTTGTACTAGATATTCCAATCTTTTGATTTTGTAAGCAGTTACACCCATGACACAACCTAGCAACTTCCTTCATTTGCCTAGTATGCCACAGAAAAACCTAGTAATTCAATAGTCAAATCAATGGATAAGCTGGGGTTTAGTATTCATTCATTACATTTTCCTTTGTTTTCTTAAAATAAGAAAAACGTGACTTACTAGATGAATGTATGTTTAAGAAATAGGATGAGTAATTGGAAAATTAATGTATGTTTGTTCCTGTGATGAGAACTTGAGATGATAATAATGACGAATATTTTTCTGTCTTTCAGGGTAGTTATACAGTACGAATGCCGAAGGTGAACAGCTCGGGTAAAATAAGCTCCAATGGTTCCCGTACTTTACCTGATACTAAACCACTTCTTACCGTTAATCCTATCACCACGACAACCATATTACCATCAAAACTTTCCAACCAATCACTAGACTATATTGATGAAGATCCAAAAATAATGGTAAAATTATTCTTTCGTTAATTGCTTAAATTTTCACTGCGTCGTTACCATGGGTTACTGGTTAGCCGTATATGCCAGTCATGGCCGCTTGATAAAAGAATTTGTGACCAACTTCTTCCATTTTGACCGCACAATAATAATAATGCCATATTGAATTGGTCACCTGTTCTGACAATTGAAATGTGATGTGATTATTCAATGTAGTCTGATATTTGTCTATATGAAAAATCATACCCCAAGTCAAATCATACCCAAGACAAATTGTACCCCAAGACCAATCGTTCTTAAGACAAATCATACCCCAAGACAAATTGTACCCCAATACAAATTATACATGAAGACCAATCGTACCCAAGACAAATAATACATCAAGGCAAATTATACATCAAGACAAATCACACCCAAAGACAAATCATACCCAAGACAAATAATACATCAAGGCAAATCATACCAGAAGACAAATTATACCCCTAGACAAAACATACCCAAGACAAATTGTACCAACAAGATAAAACATACATGAAGACAAAACATACCCAAGACAAATCATACGCCAAGATAAGTTATACCCAAAGACAAATCATACCCCAAGACAAATCGTACCCAAGACAAATCATACCCAAGACAAATTATACCCCAAGACAAATTGTACCCAAGCCCAAGACATATCGCACCCCAAGATAAATCATACCCCCAGACAAATCGTATCCCAAGACAAATTGTACCTCAAGACAAATCGTACTCCAAGACAAATCATACCCAAGCCGAAGACAATTCATACCTCAAGCCAAATCATATCTCAAGCGAAATCAAACCCAAGACAAAGCATACCCCCAAAGACAATTCAAACCCTACGACAAATACCCAAGACAAAGCATACCCCAAGACAAATTGTACCCCCAGACAAAACATACTCAAAGACAAATTTGCACCTTTTTAGCATCCAACCTCGTGGGTTTTCTCCGGGTCCTCCGGTTTCCTCCCACTGCTAAAGACCCCTACGCGCAAGCGAATTATTGAAATAAAATTGAACCATGTGTTAGTCCCGTAATTACCTAGTTTGTGTCGAGTGGACGTTAAACCCCATTTCTCTCTCTTCCCCTTTTTAGCATGAAAAGTTTTATTTTCAAAACCATATGTATATATTTAATTTGGTATTAAATACATAATCCTTATAGATCGATTCAACTGATTAAGTTAATAGATTTTTGCGGTCAGGCTTAAATAAATATCAGTTGGAATGTGTTTAAAGTATTCGCCTATATAATCCTTATTAATTAATTCACCTAACAGAGTTAATAGATTTATTCCCAATCTGATTAAAATACAGATCTATATTTTGTTTGGTTGTTTTATGCTTCTAATAGCCCCCGGTTGTATGTGACAAGGAGTAGGGTCTCCTGTCCAACCTCGTGGGTTTTCTCCGGGTCCTCCGGTTTCCTCCCACTACTAAAGACCCCTACGCGCAAGCAAATTATTGAAATAAAATTAAACCATATGTTAGTCCCAAAATGACCTAGTTTGTGTCGAGTGGACGTTAAACCCCATTTCTCTCTCTCTCTCTCTCTCTCTCTCTCTCTGTCAAGCTACACAACCAACTTGTTTATTGAATACCACTTGAACAAAATAAATCTTTAAAAATGTCTTGGATAAAATAAAACAGAACTGAATGAAGATAAGAAAGAATGTAATAATCAAAAATCAATTTATTCTTGCGTAAGATTATTCACTTCTTTAATACAAACCAGAATTTAATGTTTTATAATTCAATTACTGATATTTTGTGAGTAAATTATCTTCAATAATGGAATTTTTCTTTTTTAAATTCTTTTTGTATAAATAGCATATTATATTTTTCTAAGAAATGTGAATATTGAATGAATGTTATTTATTGATTTAAAACTTTTCTTTTATACAAAAATGAAGACATTTAGAGAACAATGAGGCTATTCCATCTGTTTGTATTTATAGTTCGTTAAACATACATTATGCAAGATCTAAATCTGCCTATTGCAGGTCTTTCTTTAGGCCTGAAATGTTATATAAACTATTAATTAACTTATCCAGACCATAATCAACTCTCGATGCCATCCCTAGCCTGCGATATTTAGCAGATTGGAATACATTTTTTAAAAATGAATAATTGAGACATTGTTTTTTATCGTACCAACTTTAGTAATGATGATCGAGGCCATCCTAAAATTCAAAAGCTAATATCTCGGTGCAGAGTGGAGCAATTTGACTGATATTTTCAGCATATTCTATTTACATGATCTATTTTTTAACTATCATAACGCGAAATGTCAACTCTTTATTTAATCTCCCATAATGCCCCTTTTAAAGAAACATATTTTATAGACTGATAAGATTATGTTACTGTGGTTAGTGGCATATGTTTTATTGCCTGGCAACATAAACAGGTGCGGATGGACGAGGATGGAACCGACTATTCAGACTTAATTTAATCTTTCGAAACATAACAATTGATTTCTGAATGAGTGGTCCTTTAATCTCAGAAACAGTTGATTTCTGTATGGGTTGACCTTTGACCTCCGGAAATAATAAAATAATTTATTCTCTTTGAAAACAATATATACCATAATGAGATACAATGAGATTTATTGTGTACTAGCTTGACTGAGGGAGCGGTTGTTATTTCTTGATCAGATGGTTAGGCGGTTTTGGGAACATTAAGGGCTGTCAACGTACAAAAGACTTTGCAATTAAACGGCACATAAACAAGTTGACAGAAAATAATTAAGAATTTACTTAGCCCTCAATATGTATGGTAAATGGACAGTAAGTAATGATAAATACATTCTGAAAAATGGACTCTCCCTCACTGAAGCAAATTGACAGACATGGCCTCTAAGATCAATTTATTTATAGCTTGCAGTATCCCCCCTTGTATACAAAGTTTTAAGAGGGATTTGAAGCAAAGTTTTGATAGATTAATTAGTTTGAATATGTTTTTAGTCCAAATATATCATCAAATCACACAGTTTGTACGTGGGAAGGCATCTTTAATGAGATACAATGATTTATTGACCAAGAAAAGGAACGTTTTTTTCTGATAAAACATGACTGGATATAGAAATTATGAGATTCCAATATTCTCCAGAATGATCTGATTGTTTCGTGTTTCTTCCTTTATCAAGCTAATTTTTAAAATACTGTCTTGAAAACTGATAAATATTCTACAAATGTCAAGTGAGATAAAATATAAAACCCCTCAAGTCTTTCATCCAATAGAATATTTTATTACCTTCTAGTTGCTGGTTAACACAGAAATGATCAAGAATAAAAGAAAGAATGAATGAATGAACAGACCAGAATGGAGGAGCGAGGGAATGATGAGTGAGTGATTGAATGAATGAATGTCCTACTTTTCAGCACCAAACCAGCCAGGAGCAGGATGAGTGAGTGAGTGAATGAGTGAGTGGGTGAATGAATGAATGAATGAATGAATGTCCTACTTTTAAGCAGCAAACCATCTAATGAAGATGGGCTTGCAGTGTGTTATGAGGAAAATTCTTGCTGGAACTTCAGTAATATTTCGAACTATTAAGGAATCTTTTTCATGTTAAAACGGAGATTGAGCCTGGGACCTCCCATGCCAGTGAGCCAGCACCTTAATCACTGAGCCACTCTGACCCCCGATATCTTGAGACAATAAAGATGATCCACCAGTATGAAAGACCAAACAGCTCTTTATTCAGTGTTCTTAGTCCTTATTTCCTCATTTGTTGTCATATTTCGACATTTGTATAATAAGATACAAATGTTAATTTTAGTGTACAAATGTCGAAATACAACAAGAAATGAAGACATATGAATTAAGAACTAAGAATTAAGAACACTGAATAAAGAGCTGTTTGGTCTTCCATACACCACGACCACCGATATATTGAGACAATAAAGATGATTGCAATTTGTAATGAAATTAAATGTATATCAAATCGATCAATTATTTTGTCTCCGGTGAATCAGGTGAATCAGGTGAATCCTAAGAAACTTTCTCGATCAAAACCAGGATTAAGCCCTGGGACTTCTGTGACCCACTGTGATGCCTGATTAAATGTAAATGAAATCAATATATTAATTTAATCATATTTTTCTTTATATCTTATTTTAGGAACCAAGCGTTGATACGATCAAAGAAGTTGTAAAAGATGAACCAAAGCCTGCCGATAATCAGCCTTTAATAGAACGGGAACCATCCCTTAAAAATAACCCAAACAACGGCATCAAGCTAGAAACAACACGTGGTTGGACATTTGACCAGGATGTAACAGAAGCTGGAAAACAGGGACTACTTCGCGCAAACTCAAGCTTTGATCATACTGACAAACGTTACGGTTTGTTGCACGGTAATTCAGGTGCAGGTAGGCCCACGGGCCTTGTGCGAGCAATGTCTGGTTTCGACAAAGATGATGGTGTCTGTGACACAGTTATTCCCCTTACAAGAGCAGGGGAGAGCACTCTACAAAACAATGTTAAACAATTTCCTTTAAGTAGTGTATCCCCCATAGTAGAGGAACTTCCTACTCCAGAAACGGTCGAATATTCAAACTTTGGATTAACCCAATCAGATGAGAGTTTATCCACAAATGGAAGTTCGCCGTACAGCTACGGCAATCAATCGGAATATAAAAATGGTTCCATGTTTTGTATTCCGGCGAGAAACATTATGGTTAACAATCTGACTCCATCCCCTCCTCAGGACAATTCAAAGGAAGTGGTTTCCATGTGTCCAAACACAGTTGTAACACAAGATTCGATTGGTTCAGGTGTAATAAATAATGACAAACATTCCAATGAGAAAACAGGTGTCATAATGATTCCCTCAAATGTTTCTATGGAAACAGACAATGGTACTAACCTAGATAAACAACCGTTGACTAATACCATCAGGGGGCAATCTGACAATGTATCTCCGCATCCTGAAGGTTCTTGTGAATCGTCTCCCCTTAACCCAGAAAACAAATCTCCACAAACTCAAAAACAAAAACCTTCATTACAGAGATTATTATCTGTGGATGATGAACGAACAACCTTTTTATAAAAAAAATTATCTTTTAATTTCCATTTTTGTAAATAGTTGCACCAGTACATTTGCTTAGATCTAATAGAAAATTTTTTTTAACAAAAATCTCTCTTTTAAAATTAAAAATTTATAGAAAAAGTTGTGTGAACTGCCCGAATTAGTGAGTGGTATCATGTGTTCTAGAAATATTAAACATACCCTGCCTCATGTACAACACCCATCACTACTTATGGCTGAACAGAGCAATGATTTAGATTGGATTTCAGAAGCTACTGGTTATAAGACAATCTCAGTGTGTGTGCATGTGCGTGTGCAGTTGGTGTGCTGATGGATGTGCTGTGAGAAATATATATATATATATATATATATTAACTGGATACGAGAAACGGCAACACCCCCTTGATAGAGTAACTATAGCTGGACAGGCTGATAGATCCAAGGAAAATGATACCGGCGGGTATTACAACCAGAAACGTTAAATAATCTCTACTCTAAAACAAGTCTGTTGTGAAGCTGTTTAGCGAGGATTCCTTAATCTATATAAATTAACTCAGGATTGAAAATGAAGGGCTGACAGCGTCACTATAGTAACACTGATGTTGGAATCTACGAGTACGCAATCTGTCTAAGAGTGAGAACGGTGTATAATATACTCGATATCCTTCACTGTAAGGAGTCACGATGTACAGTTTGTTAGACTTATCCTGATTTTAAATATTTATAAATACCTGATCTTCTGTAAGATGAATGAAGTGAGATTATGTTGTCCTGTTCCTGTTGTCCTGTTGTTTTTGTTTGTGTTATTTTATTGTTTATCAATATGTTAACAGATTTACGTGTTTGTTTATCAGCTTGTTTACTTCACATTGGTTGATTTTAATCTTATACACGAAAATAAATCAATTTCTGTTTCATCCCCCTCTCTCTCTCCCCAACCCCCCCCCCCCCCCGAATTCGAATCCACCCATTTGCTTGTGCAATATGAGGATGACTTCACAATACACACAGGGTACAATTCTGTGGAATATAGATGGATGGCCATGGGTATCAAAATAAGCAAATAAGTCATGTTGCATGGTTTCGTGTCTCCTGCTTGTATGTAACAAGGTGTAGGGTTATCTGTCTAACCTCGTGGGTTTTTTTGGGGGTCCAGCGGTTTCCTCCCACTACTAAAGATCCCTATGCACAAGTGAATTATTGAATAAAATTGCAGCATATGCTAGTCCCAAAATGACCTAGTTTGTGTTGGGTGGATGTTAAACCCCATTTCTCTCTCCCTCTCTCAGATGGTCAGTGCAATTCACGTTTAGGGGATTTTGCCATAGCGAGATTTCAAAACATCAAATATTATAAGTTGACGTTAAACGGGTAATAAGTGTGCAAATGGCCCACAATTTATAAAGAAGGATGAAAGATAGATGGTCAACATGTTTATAGCGTGGTGGTTATAGCCATACATAAATTCTATTATCTGGGTACAGTGTATTTAGCAAGGATTTCCTTTAGAAGCCAATAAAGAACAAAGGCACACATTTGAGGACAGAGAGCAAACATCTGGGGTCGGATGTAGGGATAGGCACAAATGCACATGCCTGGGGGTTAGGAGCACACATCGAATGATAATGGGCAATAGCCTAGGGTCATGGGAATGGGGCAAGGGGCTCTTAGTGGGTTGACAGATAATAAAGGGAAGGCAGTGTGGAGTGTTCTTGGCTCTTCTATTGATCTTTTTATGAACCATAAGGGACCATCTCAAAATTTCAACACTTGTATCCCAACAAATAAGCCATAGATTCATCTTGATCCACCTGTCCATCCATGCTGACAGAGATAGTGTTGATATATATCCGTTCATGATGCAATATTAAATAATCGACATTTAATTTATCATTTCCTAACCCTTGTTCAACCCACCCACCCAGTTCCGTGGATTATTCTTTTGGACCCGAGTGTTGAAATTTTCTGACGGTCCCTATAACAGACAATTTGAGTCATTTAGACAGCTGTAGCTTTGTTATTCTACATAAGTTAATAAATTGTTTTTGACTCTAAGAAAATGATTTTTTATTTATGTACGAAATGTGTGTTTTATTTAATTTTTTTATTCTGACTTCTTTACATGGTTCTAATCGTATTGTTTTAGAACAACACTCAAAGATGTCTGATTTATCTTTTTAAAGATACATTATATAAGAACAAAATCTACCTAATGCAGGTCCTTGTTTCACTTCAAATTATTATTTAGACTTATAATCACATGACAAGCCCATAATCATCTCTAGACTGTGTCTCTAGACTATCTCTAGGCTTTGTCTCTAGACCATCTCTAGATTATCTCTAGGCTGTGTCTCTAGACTATCTCTAGGCTGTGTATCTAGAATATCTCTAGACTGTATCTCTAGACTATCTCTAGGCTTTGTCTCTAGGGTGTCATATTGAATGAATTAGAACACCTGTGCCATTTAATAAGTAAACGTTAAAATGGATAATCAAGACCTTGTTTTCTCAGGGTCCTCCCGTCACCGCCCACTGAAGTAAAATTGAACCATATGTTAGTCCCGAAATGGTGTGGTTTTTTCTGGGTCCTCCGGTTTCAGGCCCACTGAAGTAAAATTGAACCATATATTAGTCCCGAAATAGTGTGGTTTCGATAACCTGCTTGTACCTCATGGGTTTTCTCCGGGTCCTCCGGTTTCCTCCCACTGAAGTAAAATTGAAACATATATTAGTCCCGAAATGGTGTGGTTTTGATAACCTGCTTGTACCTCATGGGTTTTCTCCGGGTCCTCCGGTTTCCCCCCACTGAAGTAAAATTGAACCAAATGTTAGTCCCGAAATGGTGTGGTTTTGATAACCTGCTTATACCTCATGGGTTTTCTCCGGGTCCTTCGGTTTCCGCCCACTGAAGTAAAATTGAACCATATATTAGTCCCGAAATAGTGTGGTTTCGATAACCTGCTTGTACCTCATCGGTTTTCTCCGGGTCCTCCGGTTCCCTCCCACTGAAGTAAAATTGAAACATATGTTAGTCCCAAAATAACCTAGTTTGTGTCGAGTGGACATTCAACCCAGTTTCTCTCTTTTTCATTAGCCCAGTTAGTGAACAAATGTAGGACATTAAACCACATTTCATTTCATTTGTTTGTGATAAATAAAGTTCTTCTTCTGGAACATGTTAAACAGTCCTACTCTTAATTCAGACAAATTACTCCATTTTGGATTTGAGAAAGATCTCTAGCTGTCAACATAATCTGATTACTATCTATTGATTCTTGCTACTAAAGCTATAATTATATAATACTGGTTTATAGACAGTCATCAGGCTTTCTTTGATAAGATCGTGGGTGGTTGGTTGGCCGAATGGTTAGCGTGTGCTCGCTGTATCATAAGGTCTGTCATTGAGTCAACTGGTGTGGTTTCGATTACCTGGTTATACGTGACAAGGAGTAGGGTAACTTGTCCAACCTTATGGGTCTTCCCACTGCTAAAGACCCCTACGCGCAAGTGAATTATTGTAATATAATTGAGCCATATGCTGGTCCAGAAATGACCTAGTTTGTGTCAAGTGGACGTTAAACCCCATTTCTCTCTCTTTCTTTGATAAGGTCAGACAACTGAAATTTTTGTTAACTAAAATGGGGGAATTGGTAGAAAAGCGGTAGCACAATTTACCCAAATCCAGTTGAAATAATGGTGGATTCTGTTACAACTTCGAAACTTGCTTGGAAATAGCATTTTGAACGGCATTTTGACCCCAAAACGTTAATGATGCATTATGTAAGATTTAGATTACTGCTACCTGTATTAAAGGGATTAAAGGGATGATTACAGTCCCAGACAATCGTGCTACCTGTATTAAAGGGATGATTACAGTCCCAGATGATCGTGCTACCTGTATTAAAGGGATGATTACAGTCCAAGATGATCGTGCTACCTGTATTAAACTGATGATTCCAGTCCTGGACTGTTGTTTGTTGTTTATTTTTTCTGTTCACTGACCAAATGTTTAATCTTTGTGTGATTAAGTTTTATTTTGAAGAAAATTACGTTTTGCTTTGTTTATCTCCACTTTTAGGGCACTTTCATCGGGATTTTCAGGCGTGGTTTCCACTTGTCAAGGGTGCAGGATGAAGGGCCTGACAAGAAAAGCTGTCTAGTTGTTCGGATGGGATGAAAAACTGAGGTGCACATAAAAGATCCCTTGGCAGTTGGAATTTGATATAGTGTCACTGTCCAGGCAAAATTTCACTTATAGCACACTGTATGGCATATGCCCGTGTTTGTTATCCCAGTTGGAGCAGAACAGTAGGACATCAGCCCCAATTTCATTTCAATTCATTTCTGTTAGTGTACTTCCTTAATCATTACAAAGTGATATCAGGTGTTCTGAGATATAGGTGTGGGAGAGAGAGACAGTGGGATAGAGGGCGAGAGAAACATAGGGGATAAGGGAGCTGGAGTAAGAGAGGCGAAGATGGAGAAAGGGTACACATGGAGAGAGGAGACAGGTGGAAAAAAAGAGACAGGGAGAGAAAGACAGAGACAGGGAGAGAAAGAGAGAGAGAGAAATAGGGTTTAACGTCCACTCGACACAAACTAGGTCATTTCGGGAATAACATATGGTTTAATTTTATTTACATAATTCGCTTGCGCGTTGGGGTCTTTAGCAGTGGGCGGAAACCGGAGGCCCCGGAGAAAACCCACAAGGTTGGACAGGCGACCCTACTCCTTGCCATGTACAACCGGGGATTCGAAACCACGCCAGTCGACTCAATGACAGACTTTATGATACAGCGCGCGCACGCTAACCATTCAGCCATCCAACCCCCCCAGGGAGAGAAAGACAGAGAGGAGAGAGAGGTGTTTAACATTCACTCAAACAGGTTATTTTGCGACAAACATAGATTACTATCCTCAGTTCTAGACGGTAGATCCAGAGAGAAATGGAGTTTAGAGTCCACTGTAAACAAACTAGGTCATTTCAGGACTAACATATGCTACATATGTAGGGGTCTTAATAGTGCGAGGAAACTTGAGGTCCCGGGGAAACCTATGCCTTGTCACATACAAGCTTGGGGAGTGAAACCATTGACAGACCTTATGATCTAAAGCACATGTGTTATACCACTTCATCACCCAATCCCTCCGTTGAGGAGAAAGCAACAGATTTAGCTATTTTTAACCAGGATGTCAGAGCATGTCTTTTTATTTCTCAGAGCACGGTTTTTTCGCTCATCAGAGCACGGACATGATCCAAGGCATGTTAAAATATAGAGAGAGAAATCGAGTTTAACGTCCACTTGACACAAACCAGGTTATTTAGGGACTAACATATGGTTCAATTTTATTTCAATAATTCACTTGCAGGCAGGGATCTTTTAGCAGTGGGAGGAAACCGAAGGGCCCAGAGAAAACCCACGAGGTTGGATTTGCAACCCTCCACTTGTCACGTATAAGCGGGGAAACGAAATCAAGCCAGTCGACTCAATGACAGACCTTTAACCCCATGTGCACGCATTAAACATTCGGCCACCAAAGCACCAGGGAATGTTCAGAATATCCACATAAAATAATGTCCACATTACATTATAAAATATTTCCCAAGTTTCAGCTGAAACATAATCTGTCAGACAGAATATTGTGATGCAGATGTGCAATACAGATATCAGGAAACGTCTATACCGTAATCAAAATAATGAAATAATGGTTTGAAATGATCTATCTGAAAAATGGAAATAATACAACTCTAATAAGCAAATTAATATTTTTATTCAAAATAGATTTAAATAAGCAAAATAGAAATTTATTCAAAATAGAAATTTATTCAAAATAGAAATTTATTCAAAATAGATTTTTATTCTTCAAAATAGATTTTTATTCTTCAAAATAGATTTTTATTCTTCAAAATAGATTTTTAATCAAAATAGATTTTTATTCAAAATAGATTTTTAATCAAAATAGTTTTTTATTCAAAAATAGATTTTTATTCAAAAAGAGATTTTTATTCAAAAAGAGATTTTTATTCAAAAAGAGATTTTTATTCTAAAAGAGATTTTTATTCAAAAATAGATTTTTATTCAAAAATAGATTTTTATTCAAAATAGATTTTTTTGAATTTTTTTGAATAAAAATATATAAATATTTAAGAAACAGACCTATAACACATCTATTAACAACAGTAAAATTTGAACACGTTGACGTAGATATATCTTGACCCACCCTTCCACCCACCTGCACTGATGTAGTAAGCAAATGTTGACATATTTCCGTTTATCATTCAATAATAACAAACATTTAATTTACCATTTTCTATATGTGGTGTTGTTCAAAACAAGAACAACCACCTACCATGGTTCCGCGGACTATTCGTTTCGATGCAAGTGTTAAAATTACGCTACTACGGTACCTTAATGGCATTTAATAACTGGGTAGCGAATAGCACATATTTATGGAAATGGCTACTAATATATTTAGGCAACATTTTGAATCATCAAAACATCAGTTTAAAAGCAACAATTTCAGTGAAACCCGAAATAGAGACAGTTAACAATAATATATTATATATTCATTAATCAACAAATAGGATAAAAAAAACACAAGGTCCTGAGCACATGTGGCCATGTACGTGAAATTGCCTTGGCAGCTGGAATTCGTTGACAAGTTGGTAGAATGTAATAAATATATAGTTGATATTCATATATATACATTGCTTGAATTTGAGAGAAAATATGTAAATATTTATAAAATAAATGCTCAAATTGATAAAGTACATAATATTAACGTTAACATACAAATTCATTTGGAGATTTTTCATTTACTTTCAATACGACGATTTCTTCTTAGATCTGGGCCCTTATTCACGAAAACTTAAACTAAGATACAATCGAAATTTTAAGAAATACTGCAATTTGATTGGCTGACCAGTAAAATCAATTTGCATATATCCAATTTGCATATTGGTCAGCCAATCGAATTGCAATATTTCTTAAAATTTCGATTGTATCTTAGTTTAAGTTTTCGTGAATAAGGGCCCAGGTCTTTAACATGTCTAATAATTAAAGATGCCTTCTTAGATCAGATCTTTAACACGTCTAATAATTAAAGATGCCTTATGTAAGAGTTTAATCTGTAAATTTGCCTATTGGACATTAATTAACATGACAAGCCCATAATTAACTCTCTAGACCATCTGATGGTTGTGATTTTGAACGGATTGAAACATGATAGCCATTTAATTAAAAATGGATAATCGAGACTGTTTATCATCGTAACAACAATAGCAATGAAAATCATGACTGTGCTTTTCTTCAAACAGTCAGAACTTTGTTCAGAATAGAGTAATTTGAATGAAATTTTCAATGTATTTATTTTTTATCTGTTTTTGAACTATTACAGCAAGAATGGTTAGCTCTTTATCTAAATCTTGCAATGTATCTTTAATGGTCAGCTCTTTATCTAAATCTTGCAATGTATCTTTAATGATCAGCTCTTTATCTAAATCTTACATAATGTATCTTTAATGATCAGCTCTTTATCTAAATCTTACATAATGTATCTTTAATGATCAGCTCTTTATCTAAATCTTACATAATGTATCTTTAAAAAGTACAAACAAAAGAAACTAATTAAATTAATTATTATGTTTATATGTAGTAATTACAGTCTATTCAGATCTTTGATTAAACGAATGAAAACATCTAAAATAAAAACATGTAGATTAAATACAGATTTTCATATTAAAAATCTTTAAAAAATTCAAATGCAGATTTTCCAAGTAAAGATCTTTTAAAAAACCCAAATGCAGATTTTTCGATTCAAGATCTTTTAAAAAACTCAAATCGAGATTTTTCGATTAAAGAGCTTTTAAAAATCGAGATTTTTCAATTAAAGATCTTTTAAAAAATAAATAACTCTGATCATGCAACTTTTACAAATATATATTTAACAAAAGTATGGAATAAATAGTATTCTTGGGATCGTCATTAATGATTAAAACCTAATCATGGGTTAGATACTATCTTGATGTAGATGTTCATAGATAGAATTGAGTTATCCTTCAGTTGCTGACTGAGAATTGAAGACATTTAAGATGAAGGATGGAAAGAAATGGAATGTATAATGAGAACTTCAGATTGCAATAATTTATGTTAGGATTGATCAGCTCCAAAATTAGGCGGGGGACAAAGTGGTGGAAATGTCCGGGGCTATCCACCCTTATTTTTGGTAAAGTACAAAATAAAAAGTTCCTTTGGGTGACTGAGAAATTCTAATTTAGATTTGTAAATATGTCGGTCAGCCTCAAATCGAGACTATAGCTTCTGAATTGATACGATTCGTAACTTGATCGTCTTTTGGCTAAATTCTCATAAATAGGGTTTTATCAGTGACTGTCTTTAAAAAGGTCTGGCTGGGATTCATAGCTTAAAGCTCACCGGAAAAGCTTCATAATTTTGCTAAATAATGCAAGTAATTATGTCAACATATCCTTTCGATAAGTATAAAATGATCCTGAATGTCAATGTTACCTGTCATAGGTAAATTTCAATGTTAGTGATTTCCGCCGTTCTCCGTGAGTAGTCGTAACTTTTCGTCAATAAACAATCTGTGATGTCATTTTAGTTGTTTCGCTCATAGAAATATAGACTAGAATATGAGCAGAAGGACTAAAATGATGTCACAGCAATTTTCTTGGCGGAAAGTGAACGACGAATATAATTGTAAGCATTTCTTACAAATAAAATTTAAATGTAAATCATTCTATTGTACACGTAACACATAAATTTATAAAAAATTGGCAATCCTTGGTTGAGATTGATGTGTAAATACTGAAAATATATTGCGAAATACGGTGTGCAAATAGACTAAAGTCACGATAAAAAAAAATATTCGATCTTCGTAAATCATCTCAAAACTGGGCTAATGTATTTTGTAAAGACGGATTTTTTCAGTTGTTGTATATTATAATTAAATCGGTAATTGTTATATAATAGGCCTACCAGGGAAATAAAATTCTTACATATTTTCTTTCTTATCACAATTTTTTGGCAGATAAAATATTCCAGTTGGTGGAAAAGATACATGAATATTTCAGTATATAACAATTATCATCCATTTTGACGGAAAAAAATTAAAAGCCAGTGTGAGACCTGCTCTTGTTAAAAATTTCAAACCTTAAAAGCTTTTTAAATAATTTTGTTTTTTTGAAGAAAAGGAAGCAAATTTTAAATGGTGTGGTCTTTTAGTCTCTAGTTTTGTGCCTTTAACATGAAAAATGCTAACAAATTAGGGAATCTCACAAACATAATTCCCTTAATACATTTATATACAAAACACGTTCTTAAAACAAATTTAAAATAAAAAAAAAATGAAACACATAATATACAATTTTTTTTAAAGAGAAATTATATCTCATTTTTAAAGCACTTTGTATATGAATTTTAAAATATAACATAAAAAAATTATCTGAGATAAATGACAAGCAGAAGACATCATTTTATCCATTCATTGTTTTGAAGTTTCCATTCTGTAGTTCCAAACTACTGTATAGCACCACCTGTAAAATATTATTGTTAAAATCTTTAATTTCAAGGGGGGGGGGGGATAATGTAAGTAAAATGTTCATCAATCAACAGACACAGAAGTTGGGAGTTCACCCGACAAACAGCAGTGTAATCAATATTAACATGTATCAAGTGCTAAACATTTATAGTAGTTCGGGGGGTTGGATGGCTGAATAGTTAGCGCATCCGCGTTGTATCATAAGGTCTGTCATTGAGTCAACTGGCGTGGTTTCGATTCACCGGTTGTATGTAACAAGGAGTAGGGTCGTCTGTCCAACCTCGTGTGTTTTCTCCTGATTGTCTGGTGTCCTCCCACTGCTAAAGATTCTCTCTCTCTTTCTCTGTCGAACATTTCAAGAATGTTTGCTAGTCTTGATTGGCAGGTGATGAACAGGCTTAAAAAAAAAGAGAGCGATTTTTCGTACAATCAGGGGCCATAATATCCAGGAAGTTATGGTCTGAAATGCATGAATATCGAAAGAAACTGAGATATTTGGAATATAAACATATATTTAAAGTTTTTTATCAAAATCTTGTGACTTCTAGAGGGTCCACAACCTTGGTATTACATACTTTTACACTATGTGTGTACAAAGAGTGGCCATTTTGTCGGGCAGTTCAAATTCGAATTCAACCATCATTATGGTGGAATGGTGATATATTTAAACGGTTTTAAAAATTGGATAAAAAATTGTGACCTCTAGAGGATCCTCAACCTAAAAAAACTTGATTTTTTGTACAATCAGGGGCCATAATCCAGGAAGTGACGGTCCGATATGCACAAATATTAAAAGGAACCAAGATATTTTGATTATAATCATACATTCCAAGTTTCATCAAAATCGGATAAAAATTGTCACTTCTAGAGTGTCCACTATCTTGGTATTACATACTTTTACACTATTTGTGTACAAGGAGCAGCCATTTTGTCCGTCAGTTTGGGTTAGATTTTTACGAAAATTCGAACTCAACCTTAATTGATGTGTAACTTTGATATGTTTAAACATTTTTTAAAATCGAATACAAATTGTGACTCTTAGATAAAAATTGTGACCTCTACAGTGTTCACAAGCTAAAAATGTTATTTTTCAAACAATCAGGGGCCATAATCCAGTAAGTTACATTCGAATATGCGTCATGATCGAAAGAAACCAAGATTTTTGTGATATAAACATAAATTTAAAGTTTCATCAAAATCGGATCAAAATTGCGTACAAGGGGTGGCCATTTTGTCCGAACTCAACCATCATTAGAGTGCAACGGTGATATATTCAAAGATTTTTTTTAAATCGAGCGTACAAAAACAATTTGGATAATCCTCACAATTGTGAAATGAAATGGTGTTTAACGTCCTACTGTTCTGCTCCGACTGGGCTAATGAAGACGGGCATATGCCATAAAGTGTGCAATGAGGGAAATTTTGCCGGAACAGTGACACTACGGCCTACTCTTATAACTGCCAAGGGATCTTTAACGTGCACGCCAATGTATACAAGCGACCTCCAGGTTAGCAAGCCAGTGTCTTACTAACTTAGCCATCGTGGCTTCCCTTAACAATTGTCATTTTCTTTAAAAACAAATGAAAAAAAGTGTTGATAATAAAGGTCAAAAATGAGCTGGTTGGCAAAATTTTCAAGTTTAAGGCACCACATATGTCAACAATTTGATTAAAATACAGATCTATACTTTCGTTATTTATACTTTCAATGGCCTTCACTACATGAATATCTGTCCGGTTGTAGTGGGAGGTCACGTTACAGGTCATACGAGCTGCTTTTGGCACTATGACATCAGACATTTGATTAACCAATCAGCATTGACGTTTCAAGTGGGTATTTGGAAATACAACTTTTGCTTTGTTTTCGCTGCGACTGTGTACCCACAGTTCCATGCACCACACGCCAAGTGCTTACGACATCAAACAATTTCATTGGTTATTGGCTAATCCCTCACATCAATCAGAAAACGGGTTATATAACACCTTTTCCTGATCATAGTGTAATAAAGACAAGTAAAATGAAATTTTGAACTATAAAAAATGAAACGAAATAGATTTATATGTCAATGACGTTCAGTAAAACTAACCTGCGTGTCCATTGCCCAATAAGTTAACCTGATCATCCTCAACTTCTGCTCGACAAAGGTACCGTCTGATGAAGCGATAAATACACATAAATACATCAAAATATACCAAAAAACCAAGGACAACCAGAGGAAAACCAGGAATAAGGTACCATTTATATGTTTGCCATTTCAAGGCAAGAATTATCCCCCAGGTGACAGCATAGGCGATAGAATTGATGACCATTCTTGGAGTGGCACCATAATCCTTGGTGATCATTAGAGCCATTAAGTAGTGGATGGTGTTGAATATCATCATCCCTATAAAAATAATACATAAAAATAAAATCATCATTCCTATAAAAACAAGCCAATGGTGAGGCTGATGTCCCTAGCCGAAATCCCCAAATAAATAGATGACACGTATTAATTAATCACACGTATTAATTAATCCTGAAATGACCTAGTTTGTGTGGAGTGGAGTTAAACCCCATTTCTCTCTCTCTCTCTCTCTCTCTCTCTCTCTCTCTCTCTCTCTCCAAAGCTTGTGCCTACTTCCAAGAATTTCTAGTAACCCATCACTGTATAATTCTTTATCGATAACTCTATGGCAATAAAGCTGATAACCCAGGCCAAGGGAGGTAAATCTCTAATTGACAGGCTATAGGGAGGCAGACCACCATTAAATTTCACAGTTCGTCTATTTATAGCAATTCTGTCTCTCTCTCTTTTCTCCCCTTTTGCATGCCCATTTTTGTTGATTTTTTGGTCTAGAATGGACGAAGAGGGTTTGAATTAACATTTTCTGCCAGGTTTTGGTAAATATTCATGATTTTGAGGCGGAAGGATTAGCTACGGCGATATGTACGGCAACTAGTTACATGTTTTTAGTATGCTTCTTCAAGTTTGTGTATCTCAAAATTTTGATGGTTAACCTCATACAAATTTTAGTGCAAAGACATGACCTTTTGTTCCTCTGTCTGTAGTGAAAAGCATTCAGCCCAACGAAAATTTGGGGAAAAGTTGGAGGTGGGCAAAGAGGCCAGAATTAACATTGAAGTCAATGGGGAAATTAATGGTGGTCTGCCTCCTATATGAAAACAACCTGACAGTGGATGAAAGGCCTAAATTTGATGATATGATCTCCAAATTGTCAAAAAATGTGATATATGGCATTTTGATAGTAAAAAATGTGAAATGGTAAAATTTCAAAAATATCTGACAAATTTGGAAGAGGAAATTTTGATATTAGTCAAAATTTTGTGATTTTCAGTGTTTATTTACTTTTCAAAATTAGTGGAAAATATTTCAATGTATGATTTTTACTTTTTCTGCATTATAAAGGTTAGACGGGAAGAAAGTATCATAATTTCACTCAATTTTGCCTAAAAATCATGATAAATTGTCTGAAATTCTTCAGATTACCCCTAATATTGCTGTCAAAATTTTAATTATTCATCTGTTGTAAAATGAACCAAAATGTGTGGCATGTCTTTATTTTCATTGTTAAATAACTTGGCAAGGATCCATGTGTTTGTCAGATATTGAAAAAGTATTCATGTGTTTGTCAAAAATTAAGAAATTTAGTCTAATTATGTTCAGCTTAGGTGTGTTAGAATTTTCAAAACATGAGTGAACTGCATTTTGCTGCTGTTTTCCTCAGGCTTAACACAATTTTAATCTTTCAAAACCTGAAATTGTTGCATTTCCCTTCTCGAGAAAGTAAAATTTATGTGTTTGCAGGGAAATTTCTCTGTCTTCATTTCATTTAGACTGGCTCACCCTCCCCACCCCACCCCTTTTCTTGAAGATGATATTTGGATATTCAATTGAACATTTGTTGACTCCAAATTAGCAGTAATTTGATTTTGTGCTTGAATTGTAACCGAGCATTTTATTTGACACAAACAAATAGTTACATATAAGATTTCAAGGATTTCTAAGACTTTTTGTTTATGGTCAAACATGTAATCCTATGACATTTCTTCCAAATGAGTCCACACCCAAAAATGGATATGTTGTAGATGTGTTATTTGCAGCTTAATGTTTTACATTTTGAATGTAAATCTATTATTTGTGGTGATCTTTTAAAATGTGGCACTTACAGGGCAATAAGATATTAATTAATAGCCTTTTCATACCCCTTTTATGCTTTGAATTTTGTCAGAACTCCCTTTTTCCATCTCATTTTGTCAGGACATTGATGTAAAGATTAAAACAACTTGCTTCCACATAATATTTACACTATGTAATTTCAAGGATACCTCTGATTGTTAAAGTATTTTAAAAACTGAAATATTCCCATTTTTTTAAAAAAAAAATAGTGCTTTGCGACCCTTTTATTAGAGTGGCTGGTTGTCACCTAAATACAGCATTTATTTTACATTTATCAATCCATATTTTAATAAATAATTCATACTTCTTATAACAAACTGTGTTTATATGTATGTATATAAGCCAGGGATAGAAGAACATGGCTTTTAGCCATATTCCATCGACAGTATTACTTATGTGGATTTGTTACCACACCAACATTTTTAGGGGGTGGGCTTACAGGTTTCACTATAGTTCCTTACAGTTACCTTCAATGCAACAAATTTGCAGCTTGTCTTCCTGTATACCGGCCAAGGTTTCTAGAAATAAATGCTTTTCATCTCAGACTTTCCCAGAAATAGGGAAATATTAGCATTTTGAGGCATACAAAGTGTCAAAAATGGACCATTTTGTAGAAAAAGGTAAAAGAAAGTCAATTTTTGAAAAATATTCCAATATTTTGAATATTTTTGATGTGACTTGTTTGAAACTCTTTCAATCTTTTCGCAGAACTCACATTTCGACAAAATTAAGAAAGAATCTTCAATTCTAGAACAAAAGGCCCATGGACCTGAGCTGCAATCCGGTATACAAAACAGTACATAACTTTAAAGGGTCACCATTTCTGCAGTAATTATTTTTTTCTGATTCTGTATTATAATAATGTTGCAAAAATAAATGTGAAGCTATAAAGAAAAGAATTTTGATGATATATGAACTTATAAACCCATATAGGAGGCAGACCACCATTAAATTTCATCATCTCGGTACCCACGAATTGTAGTTTCTATTTATAGCAATTCTCTCTCTCTCTCTTTTCTCCCCTTTTGCATGCCCATTTGTGTTGATTTGTCTAGAATGGATGAAGAGGGTTTGAATTAACATTTTCTGCCAGGTTTTGGTAAATATTCATGATTTTGAGGCGGAAGGATAAGAGGGTTATCAGGTTAGCTACGGCGATATGTACGGCAACTAGTTACATGTTTTTAGTATGCTTCTTCAAGATTGTGTATCTCAAAATTTTTGTGGTCAACCTCATACAAATTTTAGTGCAAAGACATGACCATTTGTTCCTCTGTCTGTAGTGAAAAGCATTCAGCCCAACGAAAATTTGGGGAAAAGTTGGAGGTGGGCAAAGAGGCCAGAATTAACATTGAAGTCAATGGGGAAATTAATGGTGGTCTGCCTCCATAGCATGGTTATCTAGAAAGGTGGTTTCTAAGATATTTAAAATGACATGACTGCCTATAGATTCCTTGTGACCACACCAAGCTAAAAAATCAAAATAGTCAATCCCTTTCAATATTGCTATCAGATGATTGTGGCACACTGGGCTCTTTGCCGTTATTGACAGGTTCCAGCACGCCTGGCGTTTAACGTCCTACTATTTTTTAACTCTCTGGGTTAATGACAGGTGGTCTTGGAGATCAGGAACCTCACGGCATTGACCGTCATTTACTCATAGTAAGTGCAGGAGAACTGCAGCACATATAAAAACTGCAGCACACATAGAAACTGCAGCACAGATAATAACTGCAGCACAGATAATAACCAAACAGAAATCCAGAAATGAAATGAAATGAAATGGGGTTTAACGTCCTACTGTTCATCAGGATTTTCAAGCGTGGTTTTCCCTTGTCAGTGGTGCAGAACAGATGGCCTGACAAGGACAGCTGTCTAGTCCTTCGGATGAGACGAAGAAAAACTGAGGCCACCCGTATATATTGGAACGCACGTAAAAGATCCCCTGGCAGTTGGAATTCAATATGGTGTATGGTGTATGTCCGTCTTCATAAGCCTAGTTTAGGAGCAGAACAGTAGGACGTTAAACCCCATTTCATTTCTTCTGACTGATTCAAACACTGACTGGCACAAACAACAAAATTAATATTAAAGACCACGTAAGATCAAAAATCTAAATTGCATGTATGTATAGCCCATAGTTACTATATCAACTTTACGGCAAGTTCACACCAATCTGATTAAAATTAAGTCCGCTGTTAAGGTTTAAGTATCCGACACGCCAAAACGCTTTTCGATTTTTCAATTACGACCTTAATCCGGTTGATTGGCTGGTGACGTCACATGCACTACACATAGGATATACATTATCTATACAATATCTCACTGTCTGTACAATATAGCACTATCAATACACACGGCAACTGGACAAGTGTCTATTGAAGGTTCAATTACCACGTGACTGGCCTAATCATAATCACCGAATTATTGTCTTTCATTGGTATAGATTAGACATTTGTGATTGGAATATTTAAAAAGTGAATTTAAAAAGCTGTATCAAGCCGTAGATCAATTTAAGCTGCCTTTGTTTAAAAAGTCCACGTGTCAAATGAAGATGACTCAAGAAATCAGCGCATTTACCGGTAATTTGGATAACCCCGTAATACTTGATATCCCAAACTTAAGTACAGAAATACAAATGGTGCCAGTCATTTGTCCATATATTCATTATTAGCTATATATAATAATAAAACCATTTCTATACATAAAGAACAACTACAGTGAATAGGGAATTTTCTGATGACTATGCATAACATGTACAATAGATCGCATTCATTTCTCTGCCAATCAACGCTTGGTATCTTATTATCATGTACCGTTCCATGTACTACGGGTGTAGTAAATGAGGTTAAACTTCGCCGCGAAAATTGCACGGGATCATTCGTGCCGTTTGGTGAGTGATTAAACTGTCAATGCAATTGTAAAATACTTTTATTATAAAGAAGATAACCGATGTTAGACATTATAACCTAATCGTATCAAAAACGTTAATCAATCCATCAATTAAATGTTGTTTAAACGCCAATCAATTAATTATTTTATAGAATTAATATGTGTGTGTATGATTCTACCATTAGTTCGTTCGTGAGGTATTACGCACACGTTCCACTTAGAGTGATGTCTTTGATTTGGACGGCGTAAAAAAAGATAATTACCTAATCAACATTCTTAATCCCACTAACACTCACTGCGATCACCAACGTGTAAATTAATTTATGACCCATGCCTGTATAACTTTTAAAGTCGGATTGATTAATTAATGACCGATATTAACGACACTACACTTTATGTGGAAAAGCGAAGTGCTCGCAGTAAAAACCACATAGCTGGACCCGTATATTATTTACATATTAATAGTGTTCGTCCAATAAGTTCCATATTGTAACAAATTAATTAAGAGTTCAAGACTTCAAAGTTTAAAAATTGTAGGCACTCTAAATTGGATCTTCAATTAAAATGAATTACAAAACAAATTATTCCGTAGTCAATTGTTTTATTTAATTAGGGGGATTAAGGAATCCTTCAGGCGTTAAAGAATACACACGCCGGCTGTATATAGGTAATTAAGGAATAAACATTCCGAATATGCATTCGGTCACTGTGACGTCACTGGCGTCTGAGGGGATTAAGAGTGTTTTCGATAATTGGCAAAGTCGTTTTTACGGAAGGTCTATTTTTACGACTTTGAGTGAAGATAACTGAATTAATTTCAACCAGATTGGCGTGAACTTGCCGTAAAGTGGATATAGTAACCATTCCGAATATGCATTCGGTCACTGTGATCACTGGCGTCTGAGGGGATTAAGAGTGTTTTCGATAATTGACAAAGTCGTTTTTACCGAAGGTCTATTTTTACGTCTTTGAGTGAAGATAACTGAATTAATTTCAACCAGATTGGCGTGAACTTGCCGTAAAGTGGATATAGTAACCATTGGCTTCACGTATCTCAAAGTTTCCAGGCCCATCTTATGTGCACTTTAATATACATACATGTTATACCTTCAGTGGCGATTCGAAATATTTTTACATTTTTTAAAATCAGATTTAATAATAAATTATAATTCACCAACCTATGACTATAATGGAGGCTTGCCATGAATTCCTCATCTGTTTCAAGGCATCGATTGGTGCTTCCAGATAGTGGTCAGGTAGATTGCTGAAGGCCCCAGCATTGACAAACGAAAATATGATGAGCAGAAAGAATGAGATACAAAATCCGTACAATCCTGAAAAACAACCAAAATAAATCATGTAAACTTTACTGGAAATAATTTATGACTGGTCAGTAACTTTTACAGGGTGTAGGTGGGGTGGGGTTGGGGGGAGGGGGATGAGAGAGAGAGAGAGAGAGAGAGAGAGAGAGAGAGGCAAGCAAAGTAGTTGACAGGAAATCGACGTACCCTGTGTATACAACTGGCATAATTATTCATATATGTAGGGATGACAAGATTGTTCTGTCCTGTGCTGTCAAGAGTTTAAACATACTCCCTACTGTATTAATAATACAAGGAAATACAAAATGAATAATATTTCCTGTTTGAAATTAAAGTTAATAATATGATAGTTTATGAGTGTTTAGGGTTGCCAGCCAGCTAAGCTAGAGAAATGAAATGAAATGGAGTTTAACGTCCTACTGTTCTGCTCCGACTGGGCTCATGAAGACGGGCATACACAATACAGTGTGCTATGGTGGAAATTTGGCCCGAACAGCGGCACTATGGCCTTACTCTTATATATCAAATTCCAACTTTTATGTGCATACCATTGTGTATACAGGACCAGTTTTTTTTTTATCCCATTTGAACAACTATAAGTTGTCCCTTAAAAGGCCATCTGTCCTACACCACTGACGAGGGGTAACTACGCCGGAAAATCCGAATGAACTTTCTAGGCCAATGCAGAGATCGAACACTTGACCTCCAGGTTAGTGAGCCAACGTCTTACCCACTGATGGCAAACTCAATTTCTTTATTAATGTATGTACCATCTTAAAAATAGGTTAATACTACTACTGCGCAACTCTGATCAGATTAGTACTTTGATGGGCTATTGCACACGAGGCCCCGCCTTATTTGTTACAGACGTAAATTTAAAATGTCGGAAAAAGCAATCTACTGTCGCTTTGATTTAAAAAGAGGGGATTTGTACCCTTTCAGGTAGGAATATATAATCAATCATTGTTTTGATTAAAAATATTGTCAATTTTGTTTACAAATGCTGGGTGCGAATCGCTCCTGCATGTGCTACGTTGAAGGTAATAGCATCATCTCTTATCTCGAAACAGGGAGGGTTGAGAGATAAGGTTTGTTATCTAAGCAGCAGGATGATTAACCCATTTCAATACTTCTCGTAAAAGTTCTAAATAACAATCAATCTGATATACAAAATATTTTACCTTCGAATCCGAGAGTTTCTAGAGGTGTGAGATTTGTGTAACGAGTTAGAAGCTTCTGTTCGATGACGGCCTGGATAGAATACATTATTTGAGCCATGACAATCAGCAAATCTCCTGGATAAACAAATAAAAACAAGGGATACAACTTCCAAATAAAGACAGGTGGATCGATTTACCTGTTTCAAAAGTCTGTCTGTCAGACATTTTTAGTGGGGCCAGAATTGGTTCACTTTCCAGAAAAAACAAGAATAGTTTATGATGTGTAATCATCATCTTCTTTTAAAAAGAGAGAGAGAGAGGAACGGGGTTTAAAGTCCACTCAACACAAACTAGGTCATTTCGGGATTAACATATGGTTCAATTTTATTTCAACAATTTGCTTGCTCGTAGGGGTCTTTAGCAGTGGGAGGAAACCGGCAGACCCGGAGAAAACCCATGAGGTTGGACAGGTGACTCCTTGAACTCCTTATCACGTACAACCGGAGAATCGCAAACCACACCAGTTGTCTCAATTACAGACCTTATGATAAAACGCACACTGGCTAACCATTCGGTCATCCTACCCCCCATGTGACACAAACACCGCCTCCATACAATAAACGCACACTGGCTAACCATTCGGTCATCCTACCCCCCGTGTGACACAAACACCGCCTCCATACAATAAACGCACACTGGCTAACCATTCGGTCATCCTACCCCCCATGTGACACAAACACAGACTTTGTTTATTATTGTAGCAATGGCACTTGAAAAATCAAAATTAATTTGTCTAAACTTCAAACACACATAACTTCCCTCAGAATAAAATAATTTGACTGAACGACCAGTGCTTTATCTAAGTCTTACATAATACCATTCTAATCACTAACAATCATCATAACATCGGTGAGGCCTTTAACTAGGCCTATCCCTGTTTCTACACAGAGATTCATAGAACTTGTTAGAGCCTTAGTATTACATTACGAAGTCACTGCAGGGCAAAATTAGACTCTCTAGGGATGTCGTGGTTGTGCGCTAATAAGACGAACAGTACGATGAATATATGCCATGACTCCTTTTCATAATTTGTTTAAGAATATTATAAATGTAAATATAAGTATACCTGCGACGATTCCATTTGTATCATAATCATTCCTGGACATATAGATATAATCATGAATTCCTAAATTCGCCAGTCCCATAATGCCAATTACAACACCTATCCACATTCTTGGGTTCATGTTTCTGCCGAGGAACGCCACAGATAAGAGTGACGTGAAAAACAGAATGGCACCTGAAACAAAAATAATCCATCACACTACAAAGACTCTAGTTCCAGAAAGCAGATTTAATGAATCCCTACAGAATGGATCCGCACGGTTACCAGCTGTAAGCATTAATAACTCCGACTTGTTTTGAGATCCCATAATTAAACATTGTATCTTTATAATATGTAAATATTGAATAAATATTGTTCGAAAAAAAATAATAACTTGGAACAAATTCACATCTAGGATAGTATCTGTATTTTAATAAACAATAAATTGAAACAACACTCAGACTAACGTTCTGGTGTATTATCAATATATTACTAAATGTCTGGCTCTCGAACAGTAATCCACACATAATGTTTGTAAGGCATTTAGTAATAGCGAAACATTGAAATAATATAAAACATAACTATCCCAAGAAACTTGAAACGTTGCAGTGTTAAAGTTCCTAGTGATTGTTATCCATAAAATCGTGTTTTGTAGTTTTAATGTATCATTCTAGTGTATGCCATGATCAGTTGTGTGTATCATTCTAGTGTATATCATGATCAGCTGTGTGTATTATTCTAGTGTATGCCATGATCAGCTGTGTGTATCATTCTAGTGTATGTCATCAGCTGTGTGTATTATTCTAGTGTATGCCATGATCAGCTGTGTGTATCATTCTAGTGTATGTCATGATCAGCTGTGTGTATCATTCTAGCGTATGTCATGATGAGCTGTGTGCATTAATCTAGTGTATGTCATAATCAGCTCTGTGTATTATTCTAGTGTATGTCATGATCAGCTCTGTGTATCATTCTAGTGTATGTCATGATAGTGTATGTCATGTTTACAAAATAATTAAGCAACAGAATTACCTTTAAACAGAATAGTACTAGAGGGATAAGTGAGATTGAAGCCTACATATAGAAGACATGTTGCTGCATAATTAAAAATGGCAGGAATGACAAAAATCCCTTTACTGTAACGCATATCCTGTTCTACCCTTCTGTTAAGGGGGCGACGAGCACCACCCCGAGGGTTCTGTGCACCTTCAACAGCATTCCGTTCTTGTTCTGGGTGAAGATAACGTCGGCCACACCCCGTCCCACTCATTATATAAAATAACAACAAACAGAATAGTTGGGGTAAATACAACATCGGTGCCTGAGAAAAAAAAAAATATTATAAAATATTCAAATTGTTTAATGAGAAAGAGAAAGACTGGTGTTTAACGTCCACTCGACACAAACTAGGTCATTTTGGGACTAATATATATGTCCATGAAGTTGGACAGGTGACCCTACTCCTTCACTTGTACAAGAGGGGAATTGAAACCACGACACTTGACTCAATAACAGACCTTATGATCTAAAGCACACTTCATAGATCATTCTGTCCAACCTTCCCGCCTCGCATTGTTCAGTGGAAGACAAAAATTGACACAGTCAAGAAAATCTAATCTTTCGTTTGGCTATCTTATATTGTCAATATGGCATACCATTTAATGACTCAGTGAATACGAAGCTGCTCTTGTACAAGAGATCGTCATTCGATCCCTTAGTTGGCTGGTGGGGGTTGGATGGCCGAATGGTTATCATGTATCATACGGTCTGTCATCTGACTGGGTTTCGATCCCCCGGTTGTACTTGACAAGGAGTAGGGTCGCCTGTCCAACCTCGTGGGTTTCCTCCGGTTTCCTCCCACTGCTAAAGGCCCCTACGCTCAAGCGAATTATTGAAATAAAATTGATATTGAATCATGTGTTAGTCCCGAAATGACCTAGTTTGTATCAAGTGGACGTTTAACCCCATTTCTCACTCTCTCTCTCTCCATTTAATGACTCTGTGAGTCAATGTACAAAAGGTCCCGGTTCGATCCCTTAGTTGGCTTGGAAGGTTCTTGGTGGTTTTCCAGCATGTTTTCCCCTTGTCCATGGTACAGGATGGTGTGCCGCCTGGTAAGAAACACCATCTAGTCCCTCGGACGGGATGGAAAACAAGGTTCTGTGTACACCTTGTCCTTCATGTGAGAGAGAGAGAGAAATGGGGTTTAACGTCCACTCGACACAAACTAGGTCATTTCGGGACTAACATATGGTTTTAATTTTATTTACATAATTCGCTTGTGCGTAGGGGTCTTTAGCAGTGGGAGGAAACCGGAGGACCCAGAGAAAACCCACGAGGTTAGACAGATGACCCTACTCCTTGTAACGTACAACCGGGGATTCGAAACCATGCCAGTCGACTCAATGACAAACTTTATGATACATCGCGCACATGCTAACCATTCAGCCATCCAACTCCCCTGTCGTTCATGTAAAAGAACCCCCGATTTGGAATTCAGTTGCTGTCCAGATTAAATTTCCCAACGAGCACACTGCATGGAGTATACTATATGGTTACCTCTCACAGCTAAAGACCCCTGACCATTCACTACCCAAATTTTTTGAAGAATATTGGGAGCCACTGTGATTCAGTGAGCAAGATGTTGGCTCGCTAACCTCGAGGTCATGTGTTCGATCCCTCAGGTCTTGGTTGGGAAAGTTCATCAGGATCTTCGAGCGTGGTTCCTACGCAAGGGACAATGTATAGTTGTCTGGATGGAATGAAAAAATGAGGTACACATTGGCGTGTCCGTAAAAGATGCCTTGGCAGTTGGAATTTGTTATAAGAGTAGGCCACAGCACCACTGTCTGGGCAAAATTTCTTTCATAGCACACGGTATGGCGTATGCCCGTCTTCATTAGCCCAGTAGGAGCAGAACAGTAGGACGTTAAACCACATTTCATATTCATTTCATTTCATTTTGAAGAAAATTACAGAAAAGTGGTCTATTTTGCACCAGTTTATACCTGGACAGCTCGAAACTCCCCAAAACTACAGGTCTCTGACACCGCCTGAAACTGCCCGAGTCATGTGACTCGCCCTTCGTATTTTAGGATTATATCCTAGTTCTTGGGGGCGCCACAGATATTGGCTTGATTTGGACAGTTTGGGGTTGGTCTAAAGAGCCCAAGCCATTGGGGTTTCGAGAAATCCAAGGGCTATAAAGGGTTAAAGGCCTGACAGAAATTATTACGGGGGGGGGGGGGGGGGTGAGATGGCCTAGTGGTCTAGAGTGTCACACGTCGAGCTCCCACTGGCCGGTCACCTCAGGCTTGCGGTCGTGGTTTCAATCCCTGATGTGAGTGTATGTGGTTTGGAGACAGGGGTGGTTTCTCAACCTTGTGGGTTTACTCCAAGTACTCCTGTTTCTTTCCACAAGAAAGACCCCTGTGCGTGCTCTAAGATAATAAAAAAAATGAAAATAAGACAACAAGTCTGCGATATCACCTTCGGTGGAAGTGGACATTTATTTATTTTATTTATTTTTTTATTCTTCAAGTAAAGGTTACAACATGACAATAAATGAATGTATTATAATAAGAACTAGTGCCGCATTGCACGATTGGGAAAGGGACAACAATAAATACAGATATGTATATGAAAATAAGAACTATATGCTACAATGTATAATTGGGATGCGAAATGAGACATTAAACTCTAAGAACAACAATAAGAGAAATTATGAATATTTACCATAAAGAAAGTATGGTAGAATTCATGGGGCTTTTTTCCATCTCCGGCACCAAATTCATCAAAATGTCCATCACTATGACCGGTATACGTACTTCCATCATCATTTGGTGCGAATGCTCCACTTGAACCGGGTACCCTAATTATTTTACCCCACCTGGAGAATATAGATAATATCAAATGAAATGAAATGGGGTTTAACGTCCTACTGTTCTGGTCCGACCTGGGCTAATGAAGACGGGTATATGCCATACAGTGTGCATGAGGGAAATTTTGCCCGGACAGCGGCACTAGGGCCTACTCTTATATCGAATTCCAACTGACAAGGGATCTTTTACATGCACGCCAATGTGTACACAGGACCTTGGTTTTCCGTCCCATCCGAATGATTAGACTGCCGTCCTTGTAAGGCCCTCTGTATAAATAATAGGATTACAGGAAGAGAATAAAGGTTTGTGTACATATAGGTATCGGGGTGGGGGTGGGGGGAGTTCATTACAAAAATAATTATTTATTTATTTTTATTTAAACATACAGTATGCAAGAGCTAAATCTGATTATTGCAGGTCTTTCTTTAGGCCTGAAATGTTTTCTAAATTATTAATTAGACATTCATTAATTTATCCAAGCCATAATCAACAGCAAGAATGGCTAGCTCTTTATCTAAATCTTACATAATGTATCTTTAAACAATATTTTTATTCACAGGATACCGAAACAAGCCAAAGGCTTATATAAATCGGCTTTCCAAAAATAAGATACATAAATGATATAAATATATATTATCAATATACATTTATATGGAGTATTAAAGTACTTATATAATAAGATTACAGCAAGAATATAAACAAGTTTTAGCTAGCATCAGAACCAAGATGGGGTCGATACTCGACTGCTGAATTTAAGTTCATTACCGAACCTCAAAATCGTGGGCGGCTATTGTAACATGTAACCAACGTTGGTGGGCTTGCCGTGGCAGGGATACAATGTACAAATATTTATTAAATACTCATTATTCATTAATGAAGTATTTCCTTTTGGCTAATTAAATAGATTTTATTATAAAATTTGGTGATTATTAAAACAATTAAAGATACATTATGTAAGATTTAGATAAAAAGTTGACCATTCTTACTATAATAGCTCAAAAATAGATAATGTAAAAATGAAAATATTGAAAATTTCATTCAAATTACTTCAGTTGACAGTTCTCGCTATATTAGTGACAAAATGGATAACTTAAAGAGAATATGCTGAACCGAGATATTGGCTTTTGAATTTTAGGCTAGCCTCGATCATCATTACTATACATGTACAGTCGGTATAATAAAAAACAAAGTCTCGATTATCCATTTTTATGTTTAATTGTTTATCAAAAAATATACTTCAATCCAATAAATATCTCAGGCTAGCGATGCCATCGAGAGATGATTATGGTCTGGATAAGTTAATGAATGTCTAAGTAATAATTTAGATAACATTTCAGTCCTAAAGAAAGACCTGCAATAGGTAGATTTAGTTCTTGCATAATGTATGTTTAAATAATGACTCAGAACAGGAAATATTCAATATGTGATGGATAACTGTATTAGATGTGAAACTGAAGTGGTAATATGAGAGAGAGAGAGAGAAAGAGAGAGAGAGAGAGAGAGGGGGTTAACTCCACTCAACTCAAACTAGGTCTTTTCAGGACTAACATACGGTTCAATTTCAGTTCAATAAGGGGGTCTAGTCATTCAGATGGGGTAGTGTGTACCGAGGTAGTGTGTACACATTGGCGTGCATGTAAGATCCCTTTGCAGTTGGAATTTGATGATATATAAGTAGGCTGTAGTGCCATTGTCCGCGGACACAATTTCCATCATAGCACACTGTATGGTGTAAGCCCACCTTCATTATAGGCCAGTTGAAGCAGAACAGTAGGACGTTAGACTCCATTTCATTTCATTTTCCTAGCTTAGCTGGCAACCTTAAACAGACAATCTACAGTCAAAATTTCCACATGATGTATGCCCGTCTTCATTCGCCCAGATGGAGATGAACAGTAGGATGTTAAATCCCATGCTGTATCATTGAGTCAACTGGCGTGGTTTCGAAAGCCCGGTTGTACGTGACAAGGAGTAGGGTCGCCTGTCCAACCTCGTGGGTTTTCTCCGGGTCCTCCAGTTTCCTCCCACTGCTAAAGACCCCTATACGCAAGCGAATTATTGAAATAAAATTAAACCATATGTTGTCCAGAAATGACCTAGTTTGTGTCGAGTGGACATTAAACTGCATCTCTCTCTCTCTCTCTCTCTCTCTCTCTCTCGCTTAGCTGGCAATCCTAAACAGTCATAAGCTATGATATTATTAACTTTAATTTCAAACAGGAAATATTACTCATCTTGTATTTCCTTGTATTATTAAACATCCGACATTATGTAAGATTAGATAAATAGCTTAGTTCTCACTATAACATAGTTAAAACCTAGATAATGTAAAAGGGATATGCTGAATCAAATTGCTCCAAAACAATAATTATTACAACGTCTTAAAGTAGCTATTAAGTCTCTAACTCAGTATCATCTAAAATCTTCGACATTGAAAACACAAATTATTTGTCAATTTAAATCAACATTGATGTTCTGATCTTACCGGGGAAAACGATGCCATGGGCTTCTGATATCCAATATTTAAGACAAAATAAACATTTTACCATTGGTACACGAATCGTGTACCATAATAATATGCGTTTCTGCGCCATTTGTAACAACGGACTCGAAGAACAAGGCTAGACAAGTCATGTCAAACGGTGACGTCATATTCGTATCTGGAGAACATGCCTACTAAATACTATCGGTGTAGACTGGAATAACCAGACGCTAGAGACTGTCATTCGATTGATATTTCTGGTGTATTTCGCCGAACACAACTTATTAGAAATTACAATAAAAACAGAAACGATTGAATCTAAAACAGTTTATGTACATTCATATTACATTATTTTATGCATTGCGATCCATATGTGTCAATTTCTAGGTCCCAAATATTAGCGATTTAGCTCCTTTAAGATCGTTTTTCATTTCTTATCAAATCAGAAAAATCAACTGGCTCTATATTCCAAGTAAATTCCAAACATCATGAACTATGAAGTCACATTTTCCAATTTTTCGGTACTGTGCTGTCAACAACAGATTAAAAGACACCGATGTCATAATGCTTCCAAATATATGGCATCTACTTAAATCCATTATATTACCAATAAAAACCCTGTCAAGTCGGATATTTCATAGTATTTATATCATTGAACATCGTTACACCAAGTTACCATACTGATGTAAATTGTTACCATAGGGCATACGGCCTATACTATAAATTATGACTGACTGTTTTTGACTTCACGGACATTTTCGCTTTAGAAAAAAGAAGTGAATTAAAATTTACTTACGTCCTCGCAAGTGATGTGATAATTTCACTGATAATCAAAATAAAACCAGTGATTAGATATTTAATAACACTTTGATGGCCTTCTGGTTCCATTTTTGTTCAAATTAAAGTTTTTCTCCTTCCAAGACAACCGAGATTTTATTTTATTTCCTCGTTAAATAAAGCTTCCTTCTTTACTGGGAATTTCCAGATAAGACTGTGACGTCATTCAGACACTTATAGCCGTGACCTACATTTATACCATTATATGTAAATTTTTACATCGGCTTGGTGGTCTAGGGGTATGATTCTCGCTTAGGGTGCGAGAGGTCCCGGGTTCAAATCCCGGCCAAGCCCAACTTTTTATTAACTAGTTTTCAATCTAAACATTTTGTTGATCTCTCCCAAGCAAGATTCATCACAAGACAACTGAATTTAGAAGCAATAGTACTAAATGGAAAGCAGAGACTTGCGTAGCAAAACATTGGTCTGGTCTAATAATGGTTGTACTTGTTGTACTGTAGCAAGTAGATTCAAGAAACTTGCCGGGCATGCTGTCGTATTATTAACGCCATTAACCAGGGGCGGATCCAGAGGTGGGTGGGTGGGTGGGGTGGGGTCACCCCCCCCCCTCCCGCTCAGCTACATAATTTTTTTTGTAAATCAACACTTTTTATGAGAAAAGTTTCTTGGCCGTGTGCTTTATCCTTTATCGTCAGATGTGGGACAGGATGTGCACGCAAAGTCAAAGCACGAGATAATGATATAATATAGACATTTATTATTTAATGTGATCACTGATATCACAATTAATGCTTTGCATCCATGAAATTGAATCACAATGTCATTGTATTAATTCATAATAAAATTTGACGTCAAACGAGGTGTTGAATTTCTCTGTTTAAAAAGCCCAAGTGTATGTATATGCCAAAATGACGATAGAGACCATGCGGGCGGGGAGGGGGGGGGGGAGATACATTGTCTTAGGAACCTGACAAACCCCCTCCTGCAAAAATTCCTGGATCCGCCCCTGTTAACGGGTGTTTTACAATTTCACCAACCCAAATGACAGGTTTCAAAGTGGGGATGGGGGAGGGCGTTCCACGATGAGGAATAAATGCCATAGAGCTGATTTGGAATCACCCAATCTAATACTGTAATAGGAATAATGACCACAGCTGGGAATAATGACCACAAGATCATTTGATATTATCTAATAGCCTAATAGTAATAAGCAGCAGGCTACATACAATTACAATACATGGAGAATTCATCTACAACTTTAACTGAGGGATCAAGAAATGTAATTCCGGTTTGATAAATTTGACCCCGAAATTGCTCCGCGATGCAATTATTCAAGAAAAAAGGGCACTTTATAAATAATCATTTAGATACTATTAGATAGGCCTAGCCTACTATCTACACAATTTTCATTTACAAAATTCTTTCACAACTCCAATAATATAATCACATAGAATCCACTCCACATAAATATTTCACTTCAGGCCTAGTAACACATGCTAAATTTTATTTCAATAATTCGCTTATACATCTATAGGGGCTTTTAAACATGAGGTTGTGCATACATGTACACCATAAACTTGGAATTAGACCATGTCAATTGACTCAAACACAGGACCACTCGACCACACAACCTCCTAGTCTGCAAGAAATGAAGATTGACATATTATGCCACACAGTGTGCGATGAGGGAATTTTTGCCCAGGCAGCGGCACTATGGCTGATTACTTATATTTCAAATTCCTGTCAAATTCCAGCTACATAAACAAATTGTAAAACAACATTTTATGAGAAAAATGTAACGGTCGTGTGTCTTATCCTTTATTATCAGATGGTGGAATGGGATTGGCATTCAAAGTGCGAAATAATGATATAGACATTTGTTATATCACAATTAATGCTTTGCATCAATGAAATTAAATCACAATGTGATCCTATTAATCAGGCCTGGAAATAACGGTTTTACGTGTACCTGACAAAATGTCAGCCACTAATGAAATAGTACTGAACATTTTCAACTTTGTGCCGGACTTGTATTAGTATTAATAATATCAATAAAAAAGACAAATCAGTGCCAGACAATGTCGGGCACCAGAGGTTTAGTACCTGACAAAGCTCGAATCTGTGTCTGACATTGTCTGTGACAGGTGCCTTATTTCCAGGCTTGATATTAATTCATTATAAAAGATAGGTTGCCAGGCAACGAAACATACGCCCACAGCAGCTAAATCGTCCGGGCAGTCAACAAGGGTTGTCGCATATTTTTACTTTTTTCGGTAATGAAACATTTATAATACACTAAAATCTAATTAAGAGCAACAACTCACAAAGTAATTATCAGAAAACTATTAGAATTTGTTTGGTTTTTATAAAGTTCTTCCCCATGCTAACGTTTTGTATGCAAAGCTTTTAATATCATGGATTTAACTGTTCAAGTCATAAAAATTCATTGAAAATCAATATACTTGATCTTAAACTCTGTGTATCAATCTGAAGTCAATCGGATGATAACTTTAGCCTCTAGAGCGTCACAAGATTTTGCAAAGTGATCAAGGGCCATAACTTTGGCAGTAATTATCGGAAATCATTGAAAATCAATAGGAATCTTCGTCTCATGACCTCAAACACTGTGTATAAATTGAAACTCAATCGGATATTAACTTTAGACTCTAGAGCATCTACAAGATTTTTTGAAGTGATCAAGGGCCATAACTCTGGCAGTAATTATCGGAAATCGCTGAAAATCAATAGGCTTCTTCGTCTCATGACCTTAAACACTGTGTATAAATTGAAAGTCAATCGGATATCAACTTTGGCCTCTAGAGCGTCCACAAGATTTTTCAAAGTGATCAAGGGCCATAACTCTGGCAGCAAATATTGAAAATCGCTGAAAATCAATAGGCTTCTTCGTCTCATGACCATAAACACTGTGTATAAATTTAAAGTCAATCGAATATTAACTTTGGCTTCTAGAGCATCCATAAGATTTTTTGAAGTGATCAAGGGCCATAACTCTAGCAGTAATTATCAGAAATTGCTGAAAACCAACAGGATTCATCATCTTATGACCTTAAACACTGTGTATAAATTTAATGTCAATCGGATATTAACTTTAGCCTCTAGAGCATCCAAAAATTTTTTTGAAGTGATCAAGGGCCATAACTCTTGCAGTAATTATCAGAAATTGTTGAAAATCAATAGGTTTCTTCATCTCATGACCTTAAACATTGTGTATAAATTTAAAGTTAATCGGATATTAATTTTGGCCTTTAGAGCATCCACAAGATTTTTTGAAGTGATCAAGGGCCACAACTTCGGCAGTAATTATCGGGAATTGCTGAAAATCAATAGGCTTCTTCGTCTCATGACCTTAAACACTGTGTATAAATTTAAAGTCAATCGGATATTAACTTTGGCCATTAGAGCGTCCACAAGATTTTTTGATTTGATCAAGGGCCATAACTCTGGTAGTAATTATCGGAAATCGCTGAAAATCAATAGGCTTCTTAGTCTCATGACCTTAAACACTGTGTATAAATTTAAAGTCAATCGGATATTAACTTTGGCCTTTAGAGCGTCCACAAGATTTTTCAAAGTGATCAAGGGCCATAACTCTGGCGACGACAATATACGACCACATTTCAATGTGGGCGTATAAAAATGATGTCAAATGATGTTGGATTTCTCTCTAATGAAGACGGGCATACACTGCAGTAAGGCCTTCTCATATATATTTGAATTCCAACTGCCAAGGGATCTTTTAGATGCATTCCAATGTATACACGCGACCTCCCTTTTTCGTCCCATCCAAACAAATCGACAGCTGTCATTGTCAGGCCCTCCGTCCTGCAACACTGACATGGGAAACCACGTTGGAAAATCCTGATGAACTATTTCTCGGCCAATGCAGGGATTGAACGTGTGACCTCCAGACTAGCGAGCCAGCGTCTTACCCACTTAGCCATCGTGGGTTCCAAGTCATTGAGAACAGTTGTGATTATTTCACAATATTTTCTGTATGTCCCAAAGTATATAACATCTATATCTATATTTTAAGTGAGTTTTAGAGACTATGAATAAAAGGATACGACTAACATATGGTTCAATTATATTTCAATAATTCGCATGCGCGTAGAGGTCTTTAGCAGTGAGAGGAAACCGGAGGACCTGGAGAAAACCCATGAGGTTCAACTGGCGACCCTATTCCTTGTCATGTACAACTGGGGAATTGACAGACCTTATGATACAGTGCGCATGCTCTAACCATTCGGCCACCAAACCCCCTTAAAAGGAATGAATAAAAGAATACCTATTACATGTGAATAATTATATTTTATTGAAATGAGAAATTATTTACAAACATGACATAAATATACAGCACTATAAATAATATACATATGTAGGTACGAGATATTTAATGTTCATTAGTAGTCATAGAAACAGTTCTATAATACTCCCGTCAAAAGGCAAAACCTAGTAACTCACTTTTTTATCAAAATTGAGTTAGGACCAAATTTGTAGTTACTAGGGTATGTGCTTCCTGTTGTTGTACTAGATCTTCCAATCTTTTGATTTTGTAAGCAGTTACACCCATGACACAACCTAGCAACTTCCTTCAATTGCCTAGTATACCACAGCAAAACCTAGTAACTCAATAGTCAAATCAATGGATGAGCTGGGGTTTAATATTCATTCATTACGTTTTCCTTTGTTTTCTCAAAATAAGAAAAAAGTGAATTACTAGGTTTTGCCTTTTGACGGGAGAATATACATGTAGGTACGAGAGATTTATTGTTCATTAGTAGTCATAGAAACAATCAAACTAAACTTAGCTTGGCTGGCTGTCTGTCTACAATCAGCTCTGACTGAAAATCTATTCTCAAAGTATGAAGTAGATAGCTCTCTAGGTGAAGAATGAGAAACAGTTCAATAACATCCACTCGACACAAACTAAGTCATTTTGGGACTAACCTATGGTTTGAATTTATTTCAATAATTCGCTTGCACGTACGTAGGGGTCTTAAGCAGTGGGAGAAAACTGGAGGACCCAGAGAAAACCCACGAGGTTGGACAGGCGACCCTACTCCTTGTCACGTACAACCGGGAAATCAAAACCACACCAGGTGACTCAATGACAGACCTTATGATACAACGCACATGCGCTAACCATTCAGTCATCCAACCCCCCTATATTATACAGAGAGGTCTTAGTGACCAGTTTATATCAACTACACAAGATTTATTGTTAGATAGTAGTCATAGCAACCGTGACATAATACATATTGCATACATGTTGCTGTACATGGGACTCACTGAAAAATACATATCAACTACATTAATACAAAGTTTAAATTTCTTTAAATCAATAATCCCTTAAATTCCACACTATGTTACTATAGTCTCTCCTAAGCTGAAGTACAACAAACTTACGTAGCTGGAGTTTAATTCTTCTAACCCTTTGACAAATTCAATTGTTTTTCATGAATAAAGTCACTAGTAGATGAAATTTGCTTGTGAATCGTTTATTTCTAAATATTAGAATCAAGACTCAGGTATGAATATTGCTGTAGTTGTAAATAAACACATAGTCTGTTTTGTTAGAACTAAATCCTTCCATCAAACTAGAATAAGTTTGGATGTACACACACATATAAATATTTAAAACCAAGTACCACATTGATCAGGAACATGGTAGTCTTCATCACTTCCGTCTTGGAATTTGGACGCCGTATCAAAAATCGAAGTTCTTCAATCAAAGCGACGCCATATCAAAAATCAAAGTTCTTCAATCAAAGCACAATTGTCAAAGGAACATAAGTACTGTTTCGTGTCTCACTGACTTGAATTGTAGGAGCCTAGACTTTTTTTTTTGAAGAGCATGGACCAAAGAAGAAAAAAAATGCACATAATCTTTAACTAATCTAGAACATAAATATAGCTAAGTGACTTACTCCATATTCAACAGTTTTAAGAGCACTTAATTCTTCATTCTAAATCATTTCTTGTTCAAGATGAAAATATTAAAATGTGATGTTTAATTCTGTTGGGACGGTTTGTATAGTTATAATCATACAACGACAATATATCGTAACAAGGTACCTAATAACATACATAGAATTATATAAATTTAAATCTATTAATTATACATATTACATAAAACTTTGTAATTGTTGACAATCTTCAATCACACTCAACAAATATTCAATTTCAATCAGTTTATCAAAGAGAGAGAGGGAGAGAAATGGGGTTTAACTTCCACTCGACACAAACTAGGTCATTTCGAGATTAACAAATGGTTTAATTTTATTTCAATAATTCGCTTGCGCGTAGGGGTCTTTAGCAGTGGGAGGAAACCGGAGGACCTAGAGAAAACCCACGAGGTTGGACGGGCTACCCAACTCCTTGTCATGTACAACCGGGGATTCGAAACCACGGCAGTTGACTCAATGACAGGCCTTATGATACAGCACGCACGTGCTAACCATTCGGCCATCCACCCCCCCAGTTTATTAAAGACAATTTCCAAATAGTTGACAAATATTAATATCTTTGTTTGTTCCATGTTTTTTGGGGAATACTAGGCGATCAAGGTTTAGCTACTATAATTACAATATGTATTCTTTGAAACTTTTTAACATTGGCAATCTCCAATCATATTCAACAAAATTAATATTTCTATCATATTTCTATCAACAAAAATCTCCCCAAAAGATGGACAATTATTAAAATCTTGACTCATTCCGGGTATTCAGTGGGGGTCGGGGTCGGGGTTATTTTGTACATGAGATATAACCGGACTCGTTTTATCTTCCATATTCTACGTAAATTTAAAACCGAGACACAAACAACACGTAGATCTATCAACAAAAAGTATGACCATAAAAATTCCCTAATTCCAAACAAATTTTTTATTACTACATACACAGTCTAAAAAATGCAAAATCTTTTCTTTTTTTTTAATAAATCAACAATAACATTTTTGAATTCATTCAAAATAACATCTTTGATTGAACGCATTCAAAAAGTTGAATATTTTATTGGTATATTTCTAACATTTTAAAATAAAACAAATAAAGTATTTATAGGAACTTTTTCACGGAAGAGAAATATTTCTTTCTCCAACCAAATCAATCCTATTATTATCATTATAGTTTGTCTTCTATAGCGCTACATCAGTCCTTCACGTTTTCACTCTTGGGCCTCCCGACGCACCTCGACCTTCGGGTGAGCATTAAATACGCTCGCAATTTAGCTAATCCAATTGATTATATTTTGAAGACTTTAATAGCGTTATTGTCTTCTATAGCGCTACATTACAACTAGAAGTAGTTTATAATTTCTATAACAATTATAGATTTAACACAAATATAACGTTTTAATAACAAAACTAGCTTTAAAGATGCATTACGTAAGATTTAGATCAACAGCCAATCTGATTAAAATACACATCTATATTTTGTTTCATTTTTTTTTTATAATTCCGATGGCCTACACTACATGAAGATCTGACAAGTTGTACACGTAGGTCGTGTCTGGGGTCGTACGAGCGGCTTTTGACATTATAACGCCAGACATTGATTCCTATGACACAAGACATTGATTAATCAATCAGCGTTGACGTTTCTAGTGGTTTACCCACAGTTCCGTGCATGACACGCCAAGAAGTCGTCGCAACAGACTGTTTCATTGGCTTATCCCTCACTTCAGCCAAAACGCCGGTAATATTGCAAAATAAAAACATGGTAAGTCAGACGGCATACAATCATAGACAGAGAGACTAGTCATAGAATGACTCAGAATAAATAAAGAAAAACACAGTTATGAACTTATCAGTAGACACCAGTGAATACTCAATTGGTATCACGTGGTTTTCAGAAAGACAATTCTAGTATCTTTAAGTAATAGACCGTGGTTGCTGGTAGAATTCAATCTTTCTCATGTTTCCAATTAAATGCAGTTTAAAAACATAACTAATTATTGTTCTTCTAATTTCACGCAAATGCTAGTTGTAACCTTTAAACCGATCGTATCGTAATTTGGCACGGCAATACAGCCACTTACAAAATTTTTCATATGTACAAAATATAAAACTTCTAAATTCAATGACATGTTCAAATTGATCTTATCGTAATTTGGAACAGCCACTTACAAAACGTACAAAGAATAAAGACATAATGAACCAATACTAAGTATTACAAACCAAGATATCTTTTCACAAGACCAAATTTGACGCGTAACAGCAAAATGAATAGGAAATCGTGGAGTCAATGTTTATGATAATAATATATGCACAAAAATGTCGAAATAGGCTAAAAATATAAAAAAAAATTTAGTTTGCTATTTTTATCCAATCTAAACTTTACTTTCTTGTAATATCAATGAAAAATATTTTAGCTGGTTTTAACATTTTTGTTTATATCTTAAACGACTTGTGACTTCCAACCTATTTTGCTATCAAAGGTCACAAATGTAAATATCCTAGTGAAAACAAACAACTCAAAAAGAGATAAAAAAAGATGCCTCACATCCTATGTGGAAACCAAAAATATTTTAGCAGATTTGAACATTTTTGTTTATAAAAGACTTGTGACTTCCAACCTATTTTGCTATCAAAGGTCACAAATGTAAATATCCTAGTGAAAACAAACAACTCAATAAGAGATAAAAAAAGAAATGCCTTTAAATATTTGTTCTCACATCTTTTGTGGAAATCAAAATCACTATATGATAGTGGGGATTACCCTTGAATGGGAGATAACTCTCAAACACTGTTTATATAGCAGCCATCTTTCTTTGCTGTGTCAGATGACTTGAGGTTTGTCAAAACCTTTACTACAAATCATAAATACCACACACATCTGAAAAGATCAAATTTTCATAGATATTCATAATATGAAATATGCCCGGCATTAGTTCCTCAATTTTTCCTACATGCATCAACTACTTTGTGCAGTGGACATGAAATGAAATGGGGTTTAACGTCCTACTGTTCTGCTCCGACTGGGATAATGAAGACGGACATGCGCCATACAGTGTGTTATAGTGAAAATTTTGCCAGACTGTAACGCTATGGCCTACTATTATATCAGATTTGAACTACCAAGGGTTCTTTTACATGCACACCAAACTCACCCATCTCCCCTCCCCTCCCTTGAATATGGCTCTAGGTTTAATCAGCATATTTTTACCTATCGTACTACAGTATAATCCCCCCGCCCCTTTTCTTGAATATAACACTAGGTCTAATCATCGTATATTTACCTATCACACTACAGTATAATATTAATTCCTATCTCGATAACTTCTATATCTGGGTGTTGGAGGAAGTATTTGACGAGGAGGTCGTTGAGTGTAACTATGGGAATGACTGTGGCCTTGACCTTCTGTGGGATTAACACGATGTCTACGTATATGATCGGCCCCACCTCGAACTGGCATCGTTTTTCTTATATTATCTTGAAATTCTTGATCAAATTTTTCGGCTTCCTCTACAAATATAAAATCAAAGATAAATTTAATTTAACAGAGATCAACAGCACACAACAATCCTAGCAACAAAATAAAATGGGGTTTAACGGCCTACTGTACACAAGATCTCGGTTTTCCGTCCCATCCAAATGACTAGACAACTGTCTTTGTCAGGCCCTCCGTAATGCATCACTGACAAGGGGAACCACGCTGCAAAATCTGTGCCATCTCTCTCTACGATGAGGTATTTGCCGGTATGTAAATATCGAAATGAAATAAAATGAAATGGGGTTTAATGTCCTACTGTTCTGTTCCAACTGGGCTAATGAAAACAGGCTAACGCCATACAGTGTGCTATGAGGGAAATTTTGCCCAGATAGCAGTGCTATAGCCTACTCTTATATTGAATTCCAACTGCCAAGGGTTCTTTTAAGTGCACGCCAATGTGTATACACAGTCCCTCAGTATTTTTTCCCATTCGAACAACTATACTTTCCCTTGCCAGGCATTCCTTTCGGCATCATTGACAGACGAAGGCTTTGCGGAAAATCGCGATTATCTTTTTCCGAAAACGTAGAAATCGAAAACCCGGTCTAGGTTATATGAGAGGTGGTTAATTCATCTTCAGAACGTTTCAGATTTGCACCTAAGTCTATTTTTGTACTGCTGTTGAGTGGAGATTTTTAATTTTGTACAATTCTTACCTTCATCTAAATTAATAAATTCCTGATTTTCAACTTGTTCACCTGTAACCCTGTTATTTTGTTTCTCTATTTTATGTTCTCTTTCACCTATTTTATGACCTATAACGACTTTTTCTACACCTGTTCTAGAATCTCTCTCGGTTTTCTTCGTTTCTACAACCTGTAAATAAATAAATAAATAAATAAATAAAGAGGGTTATTAACACATTATCATAAACACATAATTAAGTAATATTTTAGCACATTACTTAGAATCCCGCCATATGAGGAATACCGCGCCACCTCATGTAAATACTTCAAGACAGATAACGCTAACCGGACGGCACCAGACAAATGTATTTTATCGGCTAAAATTTTTATTTGTCATCCTGCCTAACCTATGCCCCCAGACTCTAGATAAATTATAAAAGTTAAGACATAATGACAATGAAAAGGCCATTTATTCATTAAATGATATATATATGAAATATTTAAATGACCTTTACATTAAAATATTCAACAATCATTCAAACATACATAAATGAGCAAAATTGGTAAACCTCTGATCAAAGATGGAATAAATAAACAAATAAAGAAAATTTAATGCAAATAAATAAAGAACTAAATTCCTGTTTGCAGAATTGTTCAACAAAGTAAACAATGATATTGCATTAAATTTCTGAGCAATGATCGCAGAAGTTGAGAATATATTTTGAAAGAGAAGAGTTGGAGAATATAGTTGAGTACTTACCCCTCCACGACATCTTTGAGACGACGATGCCTGATATACTCTAGGAGCTCCCTGACCTACGTTAGAATATGATACAAACGATGACTGGGTGAAATTGTGACCTCCACCAACCGGACTAACGAGAGGTTGTTCCTGGAAAACAAATTATAATACTAGTTATTCTAAATCTACAGGATGCGACAAGGACATGGATTGGTCTAACAAACATTTCACAAGTCCTTTTCAAGCAAATACTTAACGTACAAATAAGACATATCATGGGTAAACGACTTGTGAAATTTTGTTGAAATGTTGCAGTATAATAAACCAAGTGATTGTATCCATAATAAGTGTTCTAGTAATATATCATAAATCAATTGCTAAATGTCTCTCAAGGATTAGATATAACTTACAAACTGTTTGTGCATATCTGACATCATTTTTTCCATATTAGACAACATGCCGTTAAATCCAAATGACATCATCGGTAAAGGTGAAGGTTGCTGCATCTGTTGTCGCTGTAATTGATGACGTCTGTCTCGAGAACGTCGTTCTCGTTCCACTATCCTAGAATCTTGAATCTGAGGTCGGGAGAATGGATCGGGCATCGGAAACATTGATCCCATCGACAGCATGCGATCTCTGTGTGCACTGAAATGAGCAATACAAAATGAATAAGATAGGTTGCCAGGCAACAAAACATACGCCCACAGCAGCTAAATCGTCCCAGCGGTCGACAAGGGTTGTCGCATTTTTATTCCTTTGTAGGTACATGTAATTGGGGGCCTTTACAAGACAGTTCCATACAGATCAGATTATAAATTTTGTCGTTGGAGGGTTTACAAGGTTCTAAAAACTGAAACAAGGGTCTCAACTCTAGGAGTAATCTACAGAAATTGTTGAAATTTGACAGGCTTTTTCGATTTACTAATTTAAATAATGCATATAAATTTAAAACATATCGGATGATAACTTTCATCAATCGAGCATTAACAAGGTTTAACAAAATGAAACAAGGGCAATAACTCTAGAAGTAATTATTGTAAATTGCTGAAATTCAATAGGCTTTTTCATTTCACTAATTTAAATCATGCATATAAATTTCACAAAGATCGGGTGATAACTTTTCGCGTTAGAGCGTTCACAAGGATCAATAAAGTGAAACAAGGGCCATAACTCTAGACGTAATAAACGGAAATTGCTGAAATTCAATAGGCTTCTTCGTTTCACTAATCTAAATAATGCATATACATTTCACAATGATTCGGTGATAACTTTTGGCGTTGGAGCGTTCACAAGGTTCAATAAAGTGAAACAAGGGCCATAACTCTAGACGTAATACACAGAAATTGCTGAAATTAAATAGGCTTTTTTGTCTCACTAATTTAAATAATGCATATAATTTTCAGAAAGATGGAATGATAACTTTTGACGTTAGAGCATTCACAAGGATCAATAAAGTGAAACAAGGGCCATAACTCTAGACGTAATAAACGGAAATTGCTGAAATTCAATAGGCTTCTTCGTTTGACTAATCTAAATAATGCATAAACATTTCACAAAGATTGGGTGATAACTTTTGGTGTTGGAGCGTTCACAAGGTTCAATAAAGTGAAACAAGGGCCATAACTCTGGACGTAATAAACGGAAATTGCTGAAATTCAATAGGCTTTTCGTCTCACTAATTTAAATAATGCAATAATTTTCAGAAAGATGGAATGATAACTTTTGACGTTAGAGCATTCACAAGGATCAATAAAGTGAAACAAGGGCCATAACTCTAGACGTAATTAACGGAAATTGCTGAAATTCAATAGGCTTCTTCGTTTCAGTAATCTAAATAATGCAAATAAATTTCAGAAAGATCGGTTGATAACTTTTGACGTTAGAGCGTTCACAAGGATCAATAAAGTGAAACAAGGGCCATAACTCTAGATGTAATAAACGGAAATTGCTGAAATTCAATAGGCTTCTTCATCTCACTAACGTAAACAACATATATCAATTTTAAAACAATTGGATGATAACTTTTGGCGTTAGAGCGTTCACAAGAAATTGTGGACGATGGACCGACGGACGGACAGACGGACGGATGGGGGCGACGGCAATATACGTCCACATTTCAATGTGGGCGTATAAAAATGGATATCGAATTCCAACTGTCAAGCTTCTTCTTGACATTCACATACAAGCCAATACAATCTGATTAAAACACAGAACTATATACCGTTTTTTCATATGAGTGTCTTTTGACCTTGTGACGTCAGACATTTGATTAACCAATCGGCGTTGACATTTCTGGTGATTTACCCACAGTTCCGCGCACTTTAAGCTAAAAACTAGCTGTAACAGACTGTTTCATTGGCTAATCTCTCACATCAACCAGAACACGGGTTATATAACACCTCTTCCAGATCCTAGTGTAGTAAAGACAAGTAAAACGAAATTTTAAACTATAAAAAAAGAAACGAAATAGGATCTGTGTTCTAATCAGATTGAAGCCAATATGAATACTATACAAGTGTCTGGTGTTCAATAAAACTTGGACTTTTTGTCAGCCATTGAACACTTTAGCACCTGAAAACGCTACTCTTATTTCAAATTCAAACAGATAAGCTTCTTGAGTACACTATATAAGTGTAATGTTTCCTAATAGTACGGAGAGTAAAATAGATCGTCAAATATCTAGAGATAAAATAAAGTGTTATGAATTACGTATTACACGGTACAATAGTCTGTTGATCTGTAGGTAAATCGTTCTCCCGACTGATCAAATATTGTCTCTATAATAAATATATTATTTATGATATCATTCTATTTAGTGTAGGCCTACGCTAAATTTACTTTTATTGTTTGTTAGTGACACATACAGTATACGATATAATATGACACACGGAAATGTGAACAATGTGACATAAAGCCAGCCTTAAAGGTAATGTAAACCATACTTAAAGAGAGAAATGGGGTTTAACGCCCACTCAACACAGGCTAGGTCATGTCAGGACTCACATGATTCAATTTTATTTCAATTATTCGCATGCGTGTAGGGGCCTTCAGCAGTGGGAGGAAACGGAGGACAGGCCACCCTACTCCTTGCCACGTACAACCGTGGAATCGATACCACGCCAGTTGACCCAATGACACACCTTATTATACAACGTGCAAGCACTAACCATTCGGCTATCCAACTCCCCTCCCCCAATACGATTAAACGTTTTAAGTAAGACTCTTTTTTTCGCCACTTCCTAAAAAGAAAACTTTATTGCCGTAAAATTTTTATCCATTATTTTTTTATCGCAAATAGTGACTTTGGCGACCAACAGCATGAGCCCCACACTAACCATACCACCAGTTCACCACACCGCCTCAATGGATGAAGGTTTTATTCATAGTAGCCACCACACAGTCCTTATGGATGAAGATTTTATTCATAGTAGCAATGTTGTTATCAATTTATAATAACCTAACCAATTTTATTTCATGGACATAAAAACATACATGTATTACAAAATCTTATAAAATTTCTCAAATACAAGATTCATATTGCTGGATTGCCAGCATCCATGACTGAGAAAAATATATAACAATACATGTATGTAAATTTATTCATGTGGTTTCGAGACACCAGTATGATAAAGATTTGCTGATTACAAGTATAAGCCTATATATTTTATAGACCAAGTATTTTAACATGTATGACTGATTTCCTTTAACCTGTAAATTATTCCATGATCTTGTAATTTTTAAAGCCAGTGTTCATGTTACTGGGTGTATAATGGTGGACTGATTGTATATTTTACCTAAACTTGTATATAAAATTGATTTAACTGCCAGATAATTTATATGTAATATAATAAATATCATATGACTCGCATTCCAGTCATTCATACATGTAACATACATGTCTGGTATATTTACAGTATTATTGAATATATTATAACTTATACTATGTCTAGTGTTACAGGCTTACAGTGGCAGGAAACCGGAGGACCCAGAGAAAACTACACAAGTTTAGACAGGCGACTCTACTCCTTGTCACGTACAACCAGGGAATCAAAACCACGTCAGTTGACTCAATGACAGACCTTATGATACAACATGCACATGCGCTAACCATTCAGCCATCCAACCCCCCCGCCCTTAATATAAATCAATATCCTCGATAAATATTCTCATACACTGTACATTTGTTGTTTATTGTTTGCGATGTCTGTGTATTTTGAGGGCTGTTAGTAGGTTTTGTTGTGTGAATTTGATCATGTGTGATGCGGTTCCTAGAAATGAAATGGTATGCATAGACATTTTGCACAGACAGTGGTGTTTAGACCTGCTCTAATTTGTTTTCTTACATGCAAACCAAAGCGTATACAGGATCTCGGACTCCATCCCACCTGAACGACTAGAGAGGTCCTGAACTGAGGGAGGAAACCTATTCATAAATACGTATCATGGAACTTCCTCAGTCAAACACCAAGATTGTACCTAGGACCTTTACATTGTGAGCCATCATGGCTCCAAGGGCAATTAGAGCTGTACAGTCCATTATTCATGCCAAAAATAAAATATTGATTTAATATTTTGAAATGAATAATATCGCAAAATATGTTACATGTACATGTCCCCAGAGTGCAAACAACACATGATTGAATTCTTAGCAAACTTGATTTACGTGAAAAAAAAAAGAAGAGTTTTATCCTTTAGTTCGTGTATAATACAAAAAGCATGAGTAATAAATCGCTTTAAAGATATAAACCACTCTACCCTAAGTAAATAAGATTGTCTGTGATGACTATATTACATGTACACATAAAATATATGTAACGTACACCACAACCAAATATTCTTTCTCATATACATGCAAATTATCAATACAATTGATAATGTATATAAACTTAAGACTCTTCAATCAAAACAAATAGATCTTATCAATTTAACGTCAAAATGACATTTTACATTTGTTTAAAGAAACAATATAGTTATTTAAACATACATTATACAAGAGCTAAATCTGTCAATTGCAGGTCTTTCTTTAGGTTTGAAATGTTATCTCAATTATTAATTAGACATTAATTAACTTATCCAGACCATAATCAACCCTCGATGGCATCGGATACTCGATATTTTAACTAGATTAGAACGGTTCGCCATTTAAAAATGGGAAACAAAGTGAGGTCAAGTCACGATTATACCAGTGCCCTGGTTACCAGTGCGTGCACTCATCTTGTCAAAACTACAAACAATGATAACTTGACAATTTGAATGAAATTGTCAATATTTTCTTTTTTTATCATCTATTTTTGAATTATTAGTTAAACTCTTAACTAATGTACATGTATCTTTAAAAAATAAAAACCAGTCTTTGAGTGATGATAAAATATACTATAAATATAAAGCTTATTAAATCTTACTAAACACACACATTTCTCAAGTACAACTAACTTAGTTTTGAGTTAAAAAAAAATTACTATAATATGGCCATTGAATCTTACAAACATCTACATGTATACAACTTTGGAAAATTTAATTTTGAAATAACGTTTGTTTACAGTCAGTGATGTTGTTGCGGGTTCAACAACAATGGGACATTATTCAAGAACATTGTTATAACAGATCTTAATTCTGTTAAATTATATAATAAACAGCATACTAATGATGGAAACATTATTCTGGTTTGAATACATGTGTTGTTTTAAATTTAAAGAGATAGCCGTATTTTATAAAATCATACTGTACATATATGTCTATAATATACATGTATACACATGTAATTATACACAGTTCTAACAAATAATCATACTAATCCTATCATGTATAATTTATTATTTAAACATACATTATGCAAGAGCTAAATCTGCCTATTTCAGGTTTTTCTATAGGCCTGAAATGTTATCTAAATTATTAATTAGACATTAATTAACCTATCTAGGCCATAATCAACTCTAGATGGCAGCGCTAGCCTGCGATCTTATTGAAAACTACATTGTAGGGAGGTACATGTAATTATTTCTGGTTTGCTCATATTATTGTTATTTTAAGGGTTAGAATGATTCCTATGATTTTATAGTAGTGATTTAACAACCTATTAAGCAATATATATAAATAATTATGTTTTGACTTTCTTTGAAAAATATGCATCTATCGCTTTAAAAGACATATTAGATCTCCACTGAACACGCCTCCGCATGGGTGAATAGTTCAAGATTGACCTACATGTAAATATTAAAGGTATAACAACCAGTAGACCGTGTAAAGTAATAACAATGAAATACCTATCCTCCATACTTACACCAGTTACTCACTCACACAAATATTACTTATTGAATCAATATTTCTATTTCTTTAATCTTCATTGGGATTGAAGGAGGCATAAAGTACGCAATTAATGAGAAGTAACACTACGAATAAAACATCTAAAGCTCATAAATTAGTTCTAAAATTGTTTTAAAAAACCACTGATGTTTTGTTTAACAATTATAAACAAAACCGATATATAAGCCTGGAAATATGTGTGTACAGAAAGACACCTGTCACTGACACAGTCCAGAACAATTTCCTCTGGTGTTTGAAATTTTGTCTGGCAGATAATTCATGTTTTATGTGTTTTTAATAAATGTCAGACACAAACTACATACATAAAACCATTCGGCCACCCAATACCCCCATGATTTGGAGAGAGAGAGAGAAATGAGGTTTAAGTCCAGTCCACACAAACTAGGTCATTTCCGGACTAACATGGGTTCAATTTTATTTCAATAATTCGCTTGCGCGTAGGGGTCTTTAGCAGTGGGAGGAAACCAGAGAACCCTGAGAAAACCCATAAGGATAGACAGGCGACCCTACTCCTTGTCACGTACAACCGGAGAATCCAAACCAGGTCAGTTGACTCAACCACAGACACCTCATGATACAGCGCACACATGCTACTCATTTGGTCAACCACCCCCATGATTTGGTTACGTTTTAAATGTGTAATGCAGTATAGTTCAACTAGTCTCCCTGATACTCTGTATACAAAACATTCTCAGATTCAAGTTGAAAATTTACTCAATTAATTTTCAATCTCTGTTTATTAGAAATATCTTTGATCCAGAAACACAAAACTTTGAACATAGTTTCTTATTGATGTAAACAAAAGTTTTATAAAGGGCTACATATTTTACTTTTAGTTCATTTAAGATGAATAATTTTGAGTAAATTTGTAACTTAAGTCTGAGAATGCATTGTGAAACCAGGGCTGGGTCTTATAAACATGTTCACCTGTTAAAGCCAGGTAATTAACCTAGGTACAGATATGATATCAGCTTTATAATTACATACTCTGTCAGTACATTGATATTTATGTGTACTAACTAAAATTTAACCTATATTTTATCGTTCATTAATTATATGTAAGTTAATACATCAACATTCTCTCTTCATGGCTGCTCAATGTATTGATTACATTTATCATCATGAGTCGTGACACACATTAACTTAACTACCTTACGGAAATACAGGTATTACAGACAGGTGTGCATTATTCTTTATTAAATAGGCCTACAATATTACATGTACTTACATAGATGTATGTTTTATGAAATATGGGGGGGGGGGGGAGAATGCATGCACTTTAGACTAATCACAGGGTCTGTCACTGAATCAAGTGGCGTGGTTTGGATTCTATGTGACAAGGATTTATTGAAACAAAATCGATCCATATGTTGATTTTGAAATGACCTAGTTTGTGTCATGTGGACGCTAAACTAAACCCCATTTCTCTCTATCTCTCTCATAAAATACAATATAACATTGCTGGTGAAATTGGATCACCCGACCTGTCTGGTATGTCTAAATCATGAGTGAAAATCGTAGAAAAATGAATCAATTATAAGAATTCATTTCTATACAAAAACAACAGAAAAACTTTAAAAAAAAAAACCCAAAACACTTTTTTTATAAGTAGATAGTGTTGCTTTTCTGTATGATTTGAATCACAAGTCAGTGTTGTACCGAGAAATATGATAGATTATCACGTCAATCATCCATGGCTAATGGTAGCCTGCAGTACAAATGGTGTTAAAAAGTTTAGAAGACTACCGGTGCATAAAATAATTGATCATATTTTTGTACAGGAAAACAATTAATAATTAACAAACTGCACTGGTAACACTAAACTACATGTATATCGTATAAATAACCATGGATACGCACGAAGACTATTCGTTAATGCGGCGATAAAAAGTCAAAAGCTATAAAATAAATAACCAATGGCTGTCTCAGCTAACGTATTTTGAAATTTGTGGACAATTTAACCGAAATTTTTCATTAAATCATTTTTGTAAGGATGCGTTTACGCTGTTCCTGTTTATTACTGTAGGCCTATCGTACTTTCTTACCTTACTTTACTGATTGATCCACAGAATTCCCCTGTTACTGTTACGGTAGTTCAATATTCAATCAAAAAACAAAAATCTACTAAAGCTACTAGTCTGACTACACCTGAGCCCTGAGGCTACAAAAAGTAATAATAAATCTCCATAACCTACTAATAAATAACAACTAAGCTTTAGCCTATCTCCTCCTTTACACTAACAAAAAATAAGCCTGAATGGATTAAATGGCTAAAGAAATCATAATTATATATAAAAAATATATTCATATATTCTACGATAATCTAATAATAAATACAATACACAAATAAACAGAGTAGTAATTCTAATTCAATTCACCCCCAGTCCCGTTAGACAAAAAAAATGAATAGAAAACATTGTTGGCATATTTTCGGATTCGATCGGGAACCATTCAATCGTAAACAATAAAAATCATTCACGATTTTTATCAAAAGATAAACTCGACTGTGCAGAAATAATGCCTCAATTCGGCCTGTTATACTTACGCGAAGAAAGGGTCTTCCTCAAATTCTCTCATAAAAGGACTTCTGAGCATTTTGAGGGCTATATTAATTGCAAGTGTTATCCAACTGAAAGCTGATATTACAAATAGAATGGGGAATAGTTTCTATTCTGGAACAGCACGCCTACGTGAACCTACACATCTTTCAAATACGTCATTAATTTTTGTGTCCTACAATATCGCATTCCATCCAATTCGCTGATGGTTTACAAATAATTGTGTTGATGATAATATAACAGCGTGATTTTGATTGGTGTACGGTATAAGCCACGAAAATATCCATATATGGAATTTCGGAATATTCCGTAAAATTCCGTACATAATTATCAAAAAATGGGCCAGGGGAGACAACTTCAATTTTAATTACTTTCCTTGTCAAAATGGCAGCCCCTATGAAATTGTTGGATTTTCCAAGTGAAGTTGATTTGAGGTACTTCTGAAGATGAAATGACCAATTAATTCTATAATCATATAATATGTAACAGGCATTGCCTGAGTAGAGCGAAGCTGATGTGATTATTGTCAAATATAAAACCTTCATAATTAATTTTCTCAAGTGATACAAAAAATGTTAAATAATTTAGTTTTTCCAAATTGATTTTCATTTAGATCTAAATTGTATACATTAATTTTGTTTTTTAAAAAAGAACAAAAAAGTGTGAGAATTATTTTCATTGACGTCAAAAATATGTGATGTCATTGATTAGACGCGTCATAGAAATAGTTCTATGAGGCGCGTAATCTCGCTTGGGCGAGATTTGGTAAGTTGACATGCGCATTGCCTGTTTTGCCCAGTGTATCCGGTTCCGGTCTGAATTTTTTTTTAATTAACAGTCTGTGGGTGACAATTTCAGTTACGCTCCTGTGTTACCGGAAAAGAGCTTTGCTCAAGCACCGCGCTTTGCGCGATGCTGTAGAGCTTCGCTCTGTATAAAAGGAGCACATAATTAACATTTCGTTCATTATAGCCTTTTGCGCATAGATAATATTGAAATCAGATGAAAATTAAATTACTTTCATTTTCATTTTTAAAAAAAAAAAACCCAACTCATTTCTGTTGTGACGTTGTCACTGACAGATTAGATCAAAAACAAACCTGTTCCTAACAAAATGACAGACACCAGAGGGATTTCGACGGTAATCGGCTGATTGAGACCATGGCTGATTGAGACCTGGCTGATTGGGACCTGACTGATTGGGACCAGATGTGGCTGATTGGTAGTCCAGCTCTGAACGTAGGTCTCATTACACTCACCTCTACGTCCAGGGAAGCTAGCATTGAATCAATGTCGAAAGTAATTGACCGCCTCAGTAAATTTTACTGGGCGACTTTTTACCTCTAAACGGTTGCGTGGCAGTCCCTGTGAATACCTGAACAATGTAAAGGAACATCTTAGTGAGAAAATAAGACCTCGCTTACCTCGCTAGATCCAGTATGAGCGACACAACAGGCTGTTAAAAAATATGTCTCCACCTATCAAGTTGCCTTTTCGCTGCCATGACACTCTAAATATAGGTCAACGTCCATATTTAGGAATGTCGGCCAAAAACACGACGAAACGAAATTTGGCGAACATGTAAGAGATCCCTTGGCAGTTGGAATTTGATATAAGAGTATGCCATAGTGCCGCTGCGTGGGCAAAATGTCCCTCATGGCACACTGTATGGCGTATGTCCATCTTCATAACCTCAGTATAGGATCAGAACAGTAGGACGTTAAACCCCATTTCATTTCATTTATTTCAGTTCTATTCCATTTAAAGATAGAAAGATATGTATTGTAGCAATAGTTGGAAAGAGTCGGTTAAATTCCATGTCAAACAAGGCTTCGTTATTAAACCCAGTATTAGATAGAGATATATTCCAGGTAGGGTATGATTAAACCCAGTCTTAGATAGAGATATATTCCAGGTAGGGTATGATAGAGATATATTCCAGGTAGGGTATAATTAAACCCAGTCTTAGAGATATATTACAGGTAGGGTATGATTAAACCCAGTCTTAGATAGAGATATATTCCAGGTAGGGTATGATTAAACCGAATGCGAGCTGTTTCGTAACCTGGCTGTTTCGTACTTAGTTAATTTGTACCCCAAATTGATTTGTAACTTGGTTAATTTCAAGAGAACAAGAGGACTTTTACATGCACTTAAGCTTAACTCTCTTCCTTTTGCACCTGGGCTTGGGACCGGTAGAATGTGCAGCATAATGAGCTCGTGATATTAACTTTTTTGGCATTTTTCCATCTGCAAATTAAATTCTAAACCATTTTTTTTTAAGCATTAGAAAATTAAATAAAGGTGTTTGAAGTGTATCTAGAAAATAATATTTCCTATTTAGTGTAAATAGGTATGTAAAAAGGAGTAAAAGGCCGGACCATTTAATGCAACAAAGTCTTATGTAAACAATGCACGCGCCATAGAGTCAATGATCTATGCCCTGTGGTGTGACGTCACCTGTAGAAGGCATACTTGAACTTATAAAGGCAAATCATCTAATATAGAGATATAAGAAGGCTTTCACAATACATGTACCTCTGTGAAACAGATTGCCAACCAGCGTGTAGGGTTCGATCCCAGTGTTCTCCAGGATTTCCAGCATAGTTTCTCCTTCTCCGTGGTACAGCATGAAGGGCCTTGCAAAGTTCACTGTCTAGCCGTTCCGATGAAACACAAACGTCCTGTGTACATGTTGTAGTGCACGTAAGAGAACCCATGACAGTTTGAATTCAAAATAAGTGTAAACAGTAGCACTCCTGTCCAGACAAAAATTTTTGCTCATAGGACATTGCATGGTGTATACCTAGTTTAACTCCATTTCATTTCATCTGTATAATTTCCATGTAAATTTTTATTTTAGGGAGCTGAAGGATTTCTTGGTGAAAAAATTGATAAGGTTAGTAGAAAACCTAATTTTGTAAGTGACAAAAATATGAGCGATCTGTGAATTAGAAATCTCTTGTTCTGTGATAGGCCGAGTTAAAATGTTCCTCTGTAAGAAAAAATAATTTTATTCCATAGAATAATGTTCAGTGTATTATGTATGGACTTATTTAGTAAAGCGGGGGTTGGATGGCCGAATGGTTAGCGCATGCGCGTTGTATCATAGGTCTGTCGTTGAGTCAACTGGCATGGTTTTGATTCACCGGTTGTACGTGACAAGGAGTAGGTTCGTCTGTCCAACCTCATGGGTTTTCTCCAGGTTCTCCGGTTTCCTCCTACTGCTAAAGACCCCCTACGCGCAAGCGAATTATTAAAATAAAATTAAACCATATGTTAGTCCCGAAATAACCAAGTTTGTGTCGAGTTGATGTTAAACTCTCTCTCAGCCTTCATATAAAATCATTACATCATGGTCAGAAGGCTTGGCATTTGATCAAAGGAACTATTTTATTTTCTACGAACACACAGGTTTCAATTGGAAAAGAGAAAGAGAGAGAGAAATGGGGTTTAACGTCCACTCGACACAAACTAGGTCATTTCGGGACTAACATATGGTTTAATTTTATTTACATAATTCGCTTGCGCGTAGGGGTCTTTAGCAGTGGGAGGAAACTGGAGGACCCGGAGAAAACCAATTGGAAAAGCAAAATATTTGATGTAGGTCTTGAAAAAAATTGGGTTCAAGGCAAATAAAGATTGTGGTGTGCTTGTTACACTGAGATAGCAGTATAGATCGATGAAATTTTCAGTTCATCGTATCTATGTAAATACTGAAAGTAATTGAATCAATATATGGACGGATATTCATGGATTCAACTTGAAATAGTTTACAAGGGATTCCGATATCGCCAAAAATCATGTTTTCCTACCTACCTGTAAATTTAAGAGATCGGCTCGTTGTTTTATTATATTTTTATATTTAGATAGCATGATATAGAATTATTTTAAGAGATCGTCTCGTTGTTTTAATATATGTTTTATATTTTGATAGCGTGATCTAGAAATTTTTTACGATGTTGACAATCAAGTAGTATATTTACACTACCAGTCGTTTGGCGACGCCCACAGATTGGCCGATAGATGTCAGGAATTATTCCAAGAAAAATCGACAGTGGTAATTACCTTTTAGCTCTTTATGGTCTGGGGGGGGGGGGGTTTGGTGGCCGAATGGTTAGCCTGTGTGTTGGATCACAAGGTCTATCATTGAGGCAAATGGCATGGTTTCGATTCCTCGATTGTACCTGACAAGGAATATGGTTGCCTGTCCAACCTCATGAGTTTTCTCCGGGTCCTCCGGTTTCCCCCCCACTACTAATGACCCCAATGTTTAGTTATTGAAATAAAATTGAACCATGTGTTAGTAATGAAATGACCTAGTTTGTGTCGAGTGGATGTTAAATGCCATTTCTCTCTCTCTCTCTCTTAAAGATACATTATGTAAGTGCTAAATTTCTGGTTTCAAATATTATATTAATTATTATTATTTAAACATTTATTCACATGACAAGCCTATAATCAACTATCTAGATCTAGTTCAGTTAATTTTCAGTTGCAAATAATTGTTAAAAAAATCTTCTAAAATTATCAGAGAAATTATTTCAGCCGATCTGATTTTTTTGTTTAACAGGAATTTCACAGTATATGGGAAGACAACTCTATCAAACATGCCAAGACTCTATTGTATCTGTTTAGTATATCACATATTGTACTGGTAAGTTTCTAGTTATTCTCCACACAGAGAACTATCTACCTTGACAACAATCTGGTTAAAACACAGATCCTATTTCGTTACGTTTTTATATTTCAAAATTTCGTTTAACTTGTCTTTACTACACTTGGATCTGGAAAAGTTGTTATTTAACTCATGTTCTGAATGGTGTCGGGGATAAGCCAATGAAACAGTCTGTTACGGCGAGCTTTAGGCGTGTTTTTTACGGAACTGTGGGTAATCCACTAGTAACATCAATGCTGATTGGCTAATCAAATGTCTAATGTCATAGGGTCATAAGTCGGTCTTTTGACCCCTGACGTGACCTATCGCTATAACTTGTCAGATCTTCATGTAGTGTAGGCCATTGAAAGTATAAAAAAACGAAACGAAATATAGATCGGCATTTTAATCAGATGGTCTTGACAATAGATCTCGGCCCTGAATGGCCACCATTTTGAAAAGATTGGTGTACTTTTTTGAATGCGATTCTAATCAGTTTTACATCTTTCATACACACAAAGATTAAATAAACATTCACAATTTCATTAAATATTAAAATGGAAGCAGAATAAATACTTCTCAAAATCATCGATTTTGGAATTAAAATGTCTGTCAATTAGCGTCATGTCTGTTCTCAAGTTGAGCTAATTGTAGACGAACAGCCTAGAAACCAAAAATCATTCTTAGCCTATAATTTAATATTTTTTTTGTGTTTATTATGCCTGAGACCCACAATGGCTCAGTGAGTAAGGTGCAGGCTCACTAACCAAGGGGTCCAGGGGTTTAATCTTGGTGTTGGCCCAGAAAATTCATCAGTTTTATCCAGCGTGGTTTGGCCTTGTAAGTGATGCAGGTCTGAGGGTCTGGCAAGAAACAATGTTTAGTTGTTCGGATGGGACAGAAAAAAGAGGTAATTTGTTCACTTTGGCATGCACATAAAAGAACCCTTGACAACTACGATTGGACTCGCACCACTTCAGTTGTCGGGAGTGGCAGAAGTGTGACAGGACTTGTCACTTGTTTGCAGTTATGTCAATTTGGAACCTTCTGGCCTGACTATGAAATATCCCCATTGTTTAGCAAGTGTGGTACAGAAGGGAGATAACTACATGTATATATTTTATCTTGTAGATATGTCATCCAGGAAGTACGTTTGATATAGGTTACGTGAAATTGTTTAAAATACTAGATATGATCAGGTAATAGAACTTCTACAATTAAAACTTTTACAATTTTGGTTTTAGGTTGCGAAAGCTATACAGGATTTTCCGGGGCAGTTTTCCCTTTGACATTTGGAATTTGAAATAAGAGTAAGCCATAGTAGTGCGTCTGACCAGGTAGAATTTTCCCGGCATAGCGTCTGCCCGTCTTCATTAACCCAGTCATATTCGTTTATATCTGGACCCTTGGGATAAAGACTGCCCTTCTATATAGATCAATTTAGTTGAGCAGGATTTTACTGTACATGATTTCTTTTATTATATTTGTTCAGATTAAAACTACAAGGTTGTTTAACGGAGGAGTTATCAGATTATCCAATATCTAAAGATTGGTATACCTCCGCACGTCTTTGTTCTCCTAGAGTTTTATTTGTTTTTCAAACGGCAACTTTTGAACTGAATTACGAGGACAGTGACTTGTCATACAATAAGTCTCGAGCACAGGTATTTTTTGTTAAACATCTTTTTTTGTTGCGTAAAATGCGTTTGTCTGTGCATCTGTCTGTCTGTTTGTCACACTTTTTGGATCGAAGGGGTACGCTTTCTATTTGTCATTCTGTCAAGTCAAGTGGTGTAGTTTCGATTCCTCGGTTGTACGTGACAGGGAGTAGGGTTGCCTGTCCAACCTCATGGGTTTTTTGCCTGGTTCTCCATTTGCTTCCCACTGCAAAAAAACCCTACACGCAAGTGAATTATTGAAATAAAATTGAACCATATGTTAGTCACAAAATTGTTTTGATATCCCTATCTCTCTTTTTGGGATACAGAGCCACAGTGGCTAAGTGGGTAAGACGCTTGCTCGCTAGCCTGAAGGTCGTGTGTTCGATCCCTGCATTGGCCGAGAAGTTCATCAGGATTTTCCGATATTGTTTCCCCTTGTCAGTGGTGCAGGATGGAGGGCCTGACAAGGACAGCTGTCTAGTTGTATGAATAGGTTGAAAAACCAAGGTCCTGTGTATACATTGACATGCATGTAAAAGATTCCTTGGCAGTTGGAATTTGATATAAGAGTAGGCCATAGTGCTGCTGCCCGGGCAAAAATTCCCCTCATTGCACACTGTATGGCGTATGCCCGTTTTCATTAGCCCAGTTGGAGCAGAATAGTAGGACGTTAACCGCCATTTCATTTCACAGTTCATATTTGCGCTTGCATATGTAAATCCCTTTAAAACTCTCTTCAACTCTCACAACATGTGGATTCACATCAAGACATTCCCAAACAAACAGGCAGATAGTCGTATACCTTTTTATACGCCCACATTTTCATGTGGACGAATTATGCCGTCGCCCCTGTCCGTCCGTCCGTTCACAATTGTTTGTGGACTCTCTACAGGTCACAATTCTTATCCGATTTTGACGAAACTTGAAATATAGGTTTATCCCCAAAAGATCTCGGCTGCTTTCGATATTGGCATGTATCGGATCGAAACTTCATGGATTATGGCCCCTGATTGTACGAAAAATCACGTTTTTAGCTTGTGGACCCTATAGAGGTCACAATTTTTATCCAATCTAAAAAAACGTATTATTATATCACCGTTACACCCTAAGGAAGGTTAAGTTCAAATTTCGTGAAAATCAGCCCAAAATTGACAGACAAAATGGCCGCCGTTCGTTCTCAAATAGCGTAAAAATATGGTATATCAAGGTTGTGGACCCTATAGAGGTCACAATTTGTATCCGATTTTGTTGAAACTTGAAATGTAAGTTTATAACCCAAAGATCTTGGTTCCTTTCAATATTCGCGCATATCGGACCGTAACTTCCTGAATTATGGCCCCTGATTGTATGAAAAATCGCGTTTTTAGCTTGTGGACCCTAAAGAGGTCATAATTTTTATCCGATTTAAAAAACTGTATTATTATATCACCGATTTTGTTGAAACTTGAAATGTAAGTTTATAACACAAAGATCTCGGTTCCTTTCGATATTTGCGCGTATCGAATTGTAATTTCCTGAATTATGGCCCTTGATTGTAGGAAAAATCACTTTCTTCTTAGCTTGTTCTCTATCCATCTCTCGAAAATGTGGGCGTATCCTGCCTGGCAGCCGCTGGATGAGACATACATGCAGATGTTTCATTTCTCTTCACGTATTTGATATTAATATCTCTCTTTATTTATACATGTTACCTATAGAAATCTTTATTTATACATGTTACCTATAGAAATCTTTATTTATACATGTTACCAATAGAAATCTTTATTTATACATGTTACCTATAGAAATCTTTATTTATACATGTTACCAACAGAAATCTCCACCTATAAAGAAACTGCAACTCAAACTTGAAGATCAGATTTATAGAATTTTACGGAAATCTCGAGTTATCACAAATATCAGGTACTTGTTTGATTTTGATATTTGTTTATATGCATGCCAATGAGTACATAAGTGGGCCTAAGTTTTTTTTATCCTATCCCAAAAACTAAACATTTTTTCATGTCAGACTGTAAAGTTGAAACCAGACTGAAAAATCCTTCGTGAAGAAGTTGCTCGCTCAACAAAGGGATGAAACAGGCAGGAACTTTAATTTTGTTAGTGAATCAGCACCTTACACACCAAGGTGGCTAAGTGGCTAAGACGCTGGCTCGCTATCCTGGAGGTTGCGGGTTCGATACCGGTGTTGGCCGAGAAAATTCATCAGGATTTTCTGACATGGTTTCCCCTTGTCAGTAGAGAGCAGGGAGGGTCTGACAATGACAGCTGTCCAGTCATTCAGATGGGACAAAAAACCAAGGTCCGGTGTGCACATTGGTGTGCATTCAAAAGATCTCTTGGCAGTTAGAATTAGATTTAAGAGTAGGCTGTAGCACAGCTGTCTGGGCAAAATTCCCATGGAGTAAGCCTGTTTTCATTAGCCCAGCCGGAGCAGCCCAGTAGGACGTTAAAACCCCATTCATATCATTTCATTTCCCTCATAAAGTTAAATATTGCGTCTATGATGTTGGTCCATATAGAGTTGTAAAACCAAGGAAGAAACCATATTGTCAGTGTCTCTGGTTTCCACAATCTCTAAGTCACTTTCTATCCTGCAGAAAGATGTCAAATTATTTATGTATTTTATATTTCAGTAATAATTCCCTGTTTGCTGTACCAGCCAATCATGAGTTTGTTTATGTTCATACTAAACGTGAAGATGTTGTCGATCCCGTCATCTCATATTTACAATTATTACGGAACTTTAATACGCCAGTTAAAGAAGGTAAATATTATGTTATCTTCTGGAAAATGATGACATATACCAATGAGTTTGTCACTAGAAAGTGAGAGAGAGAGAAGTGGGGTTTAAAGTCCTCTCGACACAAACTAGGTTATTTTGGGACTAACAAATGGTTCAATTCTATTTATATAATTCGCTTGCGCGTGGAGGTCTTTAGCAGTGGGAGGAAACTGGAGGACCCAGAGACAACTCGTAAGGTTGGACAGGCGACCCTACTCCATGTCATGTACAACCCGGGAATTGAAACCACGCCAGTTGACTCAATGACAGACCATATGATACAGCACACACGCATGTGCTGACCATTCAGCCGTCCAATCCCCTTGTCACTAGATACTTTATGGTAACATTGTCGTTATGTACTGGTTGTTGATCGGACTGTTAACCAGTTATAATTTGGGACAGAAATTTGCGATGCGTATGGCAGTATTTGAGCGGGATTAGGTCTAATCAAACGACTATTCCTGTGAATGCAACACTCCCCTGGCTGGTATATAAATGTTTTTAAACTAGTTTAGATATAAATGTCTGTGGAATCTAAATGACTTTTCTGCTTTTTATTCCAGAATCGCCAAAGAGTAGAAGTTATCTTACCAATAGAAGAGCTGGCCAGGGTCCCATAACTTCATCCTCTTTCACAGGTCGTGTTCGAGAGTCGAATTTTAGAGAGTTTTTATGGCAGCATATTGAACTGGCCTTCAGTAAAGGATTTAATGATAATGTCGGCAGAAATCCTGTTTCTCCAATATTTGAGGTAAAACCACAATTATTCTTTCAAACAAAGGACGGAGGGCCTGACAAGGACAGCTGTCTAGTCGTTCGATGTGACGAAAAACCGAGGTCCCGTGTACACATTGGCAAGCAAGTAAAAGATCCCTTGGCAGTTGGAATTCGATATAAGAGTAGGCCATAACGCCGCTGCCCGGGCAAAATTTCCATCATAGCACACTGTTTGGCGTATGCCCGTCTTCATTAGCCTAGGTTAGGAGCAGAACAGTAGGACATTAAACCCCATTTCATTTCATTTCATTTCAAACAAGAATTATTCTTGACGTCCAAAACGTGGGGGTTAACGTCCTACTGTTCTGCTTTGACTGGGCTAATGAAGACAGGCATACGCCATACAGTGTGCTATAAAGGCCTGCTTTTATATCAAATTCCTACTGATAAGGGTTCTTTTATGTGCACACCAGTGTGTACACAGGGCCTCAGTTTTTCGTCCCATCCGAACGACTAGACAGCTGTCCCTTGTCAGGTCCTCTGTAATGCATCACTGACAAGGGGGAACCAAACCGGAAAATCTTGATGAACTTTCTCGGCCAACGCAGGGATTGAACACCCGACTTCCAGGCTAGTGAGCCAGCGTCTTACCCACTTAGCCACCGTGACCCCCGTTTACTTTTGGCTAAAACCATTGTCTAGATTTGATTTAAAATCACAAACTATTTCGTAATTTTTATTTCAGTTACCAGTTTGTGATACATGGTTTCAGATAGCATTAAAACTTCATCGGTTCTTCTTCACGGATATCCCAGAAGGCAAACCACAATCTCACTTCAATACGTTACGCTCACTATTAGAAACGGATGTTCGATTCTCAGAAAAGTAAGTTTCATTTGAGAAAATCATTTGGTCATCCTAGCGTCGGAAATGCTTTTTACCACTTTCGATTTTATTGGTACAAACAGTTGTTGAAAAAGAACCTGGGGTATAGATTCCATGCATGTGTGACGGGATGTTCCTGCTGGGAATTAAACTGGTAAAACAGTCATGGGATCCATACACCAAGTGAGTGAAAGGGAATACCCCATAACTAAGCCAGGAGGAAGTATATTTAAGTGTCTGTGATATACGAACTATCACACAGCAGAGAACGAAGATATATGAACAATCACACAGACGGAACAATCCCACTGCTAAAGAAACTTACGAGTTAGAGAATAATTGAAATAAAATTGAACCATATGTTAGTCCAGAAATGACCTAGTTTGGGGTGAGACACTAGAGGAGAGAGAGAGAGAAAAATGGAGTTTAACATCCACTCAACACAAACTAGGTCATTTCGGGACTAACATATGGTTCAAGACCTGAAGAAAACCCACGAGGTTGAACTGTCAAGCCTATTCCTTGTCACATAAAACCAGGGAATCGAAACTACGCCAGTTGACTCAATGACAGACCTTATGATACAACGCGCACGTGCTAACCATTCAGCCATCCAACCACCCAGGCACTAGAGGAAGTGGTCAATGTGCTTAAAAGTTAATGATACAAAAAAGTATTTTAATTTAATTAACTTAAAAAAAACCAAAAAACACACACAACATCAGTCTTCAAGCATTTTGATTATTGTTAAAACATTTCCCTAAACTAATTTAAGTTACTTAAAAACAAAACCCCACACATCAGTTTTGAAACATTTTGATTATTGTTAAAACTTTTCCCTATAGTAATTTAATTTACTTTAAAGAAAATCCCACACACCATCAGTTTTGAAGCATTTTAATTATTGTTGTAGTAATTTTCATACCATTGAATTTTTTTCTTCTGTTTTCCAGTCGTTGTAATAAATATTTACCGCTAGCAGAAACAGCGTATCAACAAGATTTACCCAAACATTATATACGATCGTATCATTTACAAAAACTCGCCCAGGCTAAACATGTCTTCTCCCAGTTCGCCCGTGGACCAGCTTACGAGAAATATATGAAACAGTTGGAAGAATCGTGTGAGAAATGGTGGAAAGCGGATCGTCAACGATGTGAAGCTATTAGTTTAACTAGAAACTTCTGTATTAATCCAGTAAGTTTGTATTGTATTCAAGGGTGGTGGATGGACTAATGGTCGATCGTGCACTTTAAATCATAAGGTCTGTGAAGGGGGTAGATAGCCGTATGGTTAGCGCAGGCGCGCTGTATCATAAGGTCTGTTATTGAGTACGTGACAAGGATAGGGTCGCCTGTTCAACTGCGTGTGTTTTCTCTGGGTGCGCTGGTTTCCTCCCACTGCTAAAGACCTCTATGAAATAATATTGAACCATAGTTTAGTCCTGATATGGCCTAATTTGTGTTTAGTGGATGTTAGACCCCTTTTCTCTTCCTCTCTTGTGGGGTGTTGGATGTCTGAATGGTTAGCGCATAAGGTCTGTCAGTTAGTCAACTGCTGTGGTTTCGATTCCCTGGTTGTACGTGACATGGAGTAGTGTCGCCTGTCCAACCTCGTTGGGTTTTCTCCGGGTCCTTCGGTTGCCTCCCACTGCTAAAGACCCCTACGCGCAAGCGAATTATTGAAATAAAATTGAACCATATGTTATTCCTGAAATGACCTAGTTTGTGTCGAGTGGATTCTATGCGTTATGTGGCGTATACTCTTTTATCAAGTACGAAACCATGATAAATGTTTGGAACAATCATAAATTGACAAAATAAAAACCTTCCTTCTGCACCAGAATATTTTTTTAGTATGGACTTATTCATTTTATTTTATTTTATTTTAGCTTCACAGACTCGAAGATGATATTGAGACAGACGTGAATAAACATTTACCCATCATGCCACACTGTAGCCAGATAAAGACGAAAGCTGCATGTAATTGTGGTCGTAAACAAGCTGATAAAGAGGATTGTTTTGATCACAAGGTAATTCCCTTATTCAATTAAAATATGGAATTTGAATTAACTCCCCAAAAAGGGGGGGCACAAACCAGGAAATACGGTGTTCTATTTGTTTTGTTGATCAAGAAAGTTCCCCCAATTTTTCCAGTGTGGTTTCACTTGTCACTGAGTATAGCGCAGTGACTAAGGTACCGGTTCACAAATCAGAAAGCCTGGGGTTCTCTCCCTTTGTTGATCAAAAAAGTTCCGCAGATTTTTGCAGCACGATTCTACAAGTGAGTGGGTGTAGGTTCAGGCAAGAACAGCATCTGGCGTGCTCATGAAAGAACACTTGACAGTCGAAATTCAAAAAGGCTGTAGTACTGCTGTTCGGGGAACATATCTCTCATATGTCAATCTTCATTAGCCCATGTGGAGCCAAAAAGTAGGATGCTAAACCCCCATTTCATTGCATTTACCCAAAAAGGTGTAACTTTAAATCCATATATACCAGAATAAAGGATGATTATAGAATTTAAGACAATATAAAATCGAGAGTAATTTTATTAAAGATACATCCTCACGAAAGTATTTATAGGGTGGTTAGTTCCAAAAAGTATGGCAAATTTGGTATAAGTGGAAAGTAGAGACACCCAATCTTACTTGGAAAATAATGGATTCCTTTAAAAACACCCATACGGCATGCACTGGGCAAAAAATGTCAGGGTATCACTAACTGGCAACTTGACGGCTTATTGTCTCCCAGCTTGACTTAGGGAGCAGTTATTTTTTCTCGATCGAATTGTTAGGCAGTTTGGGGAACATTGAGGGGTTTAAGCGTACATCAAACTCCTACAATTAAACGGCAGAAAAAGAAGTTGACAGACGATAATCTAAGAATTTACTTGGGCTTCAATTTCTATGGCAAGTGGACAGTAAGTAACGCCAAATACACTCTAAAAATGGGCCCTCCCTCAATCAAGTTACATGACAAACATGGCTTCTAAAAATAGATTTTTTACATCTTGCGATATTTCCTTGCGAATACAATGTTTTGAGAGCGATTTGAAGCAAATCTGATCGATTAATTAGTTTGAATATGTTTAGTCGAAATATATCATCAAATCACTCAGAAGGCATCTTTAAAAGGTATTTCACCAAATTCTATCTTAACGCCACGTTAGGTAAGAGATAAAGAGCTGACAGTTCTCACTATGATAGTTAAGAAATAGATAATGAAAAGAGAATATGCTGAAAATTTCTGTCAAATTACTTCTTTCTGAACCAAGATATCAGCGATACAATTATATTGTAGCTTCAGTTGTCATTACTACCATTTTTACGATAATAAACAAAATCTTGATTATGGTTAGCACGTGCTCGTTGTATCATAAGATATGTCATTGAGTCAACTGGCGTGGTTTCGATTCCCCAGTTGAACGTGACAAGGAGTAAGGGTGCCTGTCTAACCTTGTTGGTTTTCTCCGGGTCCTCCAGTTTCCTCCCACTGCTAAAGACCCCTACGCGCAAGCGAATTATTGAAATAAAATTGCACCATATGTTAGTCCCGAAATGACATAGTTTGTGTAGAATGGTCCTTACACCCCATTTCTTTCTCTCTCTCTCTCTCCATTCTGAACAAAACTTTATTGCTATTTTTTTTTTATTTCAGAGTGCTAATTTTGATTTTTATGAATCACTGTCTAAGACTTGTTGCAATAAACTTAACAAAATAGACTTACCTGCCTTCAAGGCTAGTACAACCGAGGCTACAGCAAGACATGTTCTTCCAGTACCAGAACAGGTTATCCAGTCACATTCACAACCCCATCAACGATCATCTGTAGTTGATACAAAACGAATAGATTCCGGAATGTCTGTGTTAAGTCTAGCGCTAAGTTTAGGTAACTTTACACTAAATTTACATCTTTTTAAGGGGGAAGGCTATCCGAAAAGTTTTATTCAAAAATGTTTTAGCTATTGAATTGATTAATTTAAATTTCTGAAAATTAAGATAATAGATTATTAAATCAATACTGAATATTAATAATAATGGATTCTTCTTTGAGCAGTATTTAGCAATTGACACACGTAATAAACACAAAAAATTAATATGGAATACAATTACTATCTTAATTAAAGCGACGTTTCATTGAGGGTTCTCTCGACGTTATGAAGCAAATGATGGATTCATTACACTAAATCATATTTTAAAACAGTTTTACAATTTAGCCATTTTTGGACGGATATTTTTATTAGAGATTCACCTTTCACGGTATTGTAGTTTGTGAGTGATTCCGTTTGCTGAAGCGGGGGGTAGGATGGCCGAATGGTTAGTGCATGCGCATTGTAATTGAGTCAACTGGCGTGGTTTTCAATTCCCCGGTTATACCTCGTGGGTTTTCTCTGGGTCCTCCAGTTTCCTCCCACTGCTAAAGACCCCTACGTGCAAGCGAATTATTGAATTAAAATTGAGCCATATGTTAGTCCTGAAATGACCAAAATTATGTCGAGTTGATGTTAAACCTCATGGTCACGTAACCAAGGGATACAAAATGTATGATACCGTTGTCTTTTAGCTGTTCAAGGTTGTTGTTGATGTGATATTACACTTTTTGATTCTAGAACAATCTGGTACCAGTGATGTCTATAGTCATGGTCAACCAGAGAATTTAGAACAGGATGACGGATTGAGTCAACCAGAACGAGAAGATGTAGAAGAAAGGGATGGTGGTGATGTGACGGAGGATCAGGATAAAGAGGTTGTGTTAGAGGGAGATAAGTCTGGATTGAAAGAAGTAGAAGTGGAAGAAGCAGCAGGAGGAGCGAATAAAGATGGAGGAGAAGAGGAAGACGTAGAAGGGGAGGGGCCAGATAAAGATGTCGGTCAGGAAGAAACAGAGGAACCAGAATCAGAAGATGAGATTGAAGAAACAGGTACAATAAATCTTCAGTTTACCTCGGAATAGAAATATATTAGGCCACACAAAATAAATGTCTTGTTTCTCGGGCAACTGACAGCTGAAACTGTAGGGAGGGAGGGCGGTTTCTTTTTTTTTTTTTACTCATTGATGGTGCAAAATAAAATTTGGCTATTGCTGAAAATTGTTGGGGCGGGAGGGCGGTCTTTCTTTTTTTTTTTTTTAAATGAGAAAGTCATTACTTGTTTACGTTTTTGCTTTCCGTTATATTCAACTTTATTGTACATACTTAAAACATAAACCCAAAATCAAGTCTACTAAAACACTGAGACTGAACACTGACTGAAAGGAAAATAATTTTCCATATTTAATTCACATAATTGAAATTGGTTTAAAATAAAATTCCATACGACTATGTAATAGCCCTCCATAAAGACAACAATATTTTTAAAAACTAAGCCTCTTTCACCAGGTGTATCAAAAATAATAATCATGGTAAACAGTATTTAAAACTAAATCTAGTATCGCCGGTTTATTTATAATTATTTACCGAATTCCAACCAATGCATGTCACACCGTGTCATCGGTATTGGAGATTGCCGGAAATACTGTTTCTTGGGATATTCGGTGTGTTTCTCAGGATATTCGGTGTTCTATCCGGTGTTTATATTGAATGACTATTTAAATCTAACTAACAACTGGTCAGTAAAACCATCAAATCGGTAATCCAATTATTATTTTCCGGATTATCGAAACTACCGTAAATGTGCTAATAATGACCCAGATTCTAAGGTATGCATTATGACGACTATCGTCATCGTATCGTATTCTTAGCTATAATTAATTAACCTGTTCTACGGTTCATTATTTTATCAATAGGATTTTCCAAACAAGGACCGACTGAAGCCGGCAATAATGAGCCGATTACGATCGAATGATTGAAATATTGTCGCCAATGACTTTTAACACGAATCAAATTCTAGTTTATCAGTGGAGGTAATTAATATCACGTGATACAAAATGGAGGTTCTTTCGATATCAATAAAAAAGGCAAATCTGCCAAACTTCGCCATTGTTCGGATAAAAAAGACAGCATGTTCATCTGAATCAGTTTTAATACATTTGAATAGATATACATGTATGGCTGATGTAGGTACATGCGGGATATTTTTTTTACGACTTGCTTGTCGATGTGCGGGCGGGCGTTACATATTTATTTTTTTTCATCAAGACTAATAAATAGACTGCACGCGCAACCAATTTTGCGTGCGGGCGGTGCCCGAGAAACAAGTTATTTTATTTGTGTTGCCTTATTTCCTATTTTTATTATTATCCCAAGTTTTTTTAATATATTTTTGAATTTGTTTTTACACATAAAGACTGTCATTAAGATTAAGTGGCGTGGCTTCAATCTCAGACTAGGATATGATAAATGGTTTGCTTTTTTTGTTAGATATAAATTCCACTTTCACTTTTCATGTTGTATCATTATAAATACTAATTTTAGTCTATTTTAATATTTTCGTTCAAAGCATACAACTGTGACTTATGTCCCACCTTTCTTTCATTCTGTATATAATGATTAATTTAGAGATATAGATTGATATTATTTGTATTTAGTTGAAGAATCTGTAGTAGCTACGACGTCTCGTCAACATTCTACCACAGAATATCTTCCTGGTATGATCCACACAGACTCACCACCAGGTTTACTACCAAAATTCACGTCATGGTCACTGTGCTGTCTGGGAAAACCTTCGTTTTACTCTCATTCACAAGGTAAGGATACTTTTTATGTGCTCAGAGTTATTCCCCTTTGTTATGGAATCCTGTCAGCACCTTAGACGACCTTCGGTTATAATGTTTTCACGACTAGTGGTCGGAATTAGAAACCGGACCATCGTCTGTTCAAAGATGGCTGTCCCCAGGGACATGGTGATGTCATTTTACTCTGCTTTAGACCTCGACCATAACCCTGAAAAAAAAACCCCTTAAGCTCCAGGAAGGTCTATACATCTCTCTATGGAGGATAATGAATCGCTGTGTTATATAGTTTAATAAACAAATAATACTTTCATGAAGTTAAATTTGCGCGACTCAAATTAATTTTAGAGACGACAAAATTCCTTTTAATTTGACTTTACTTTTTGCATAGAGCAAATATTGAAATAATGCCTAATTTTTAGACTTACATAAATTCAGACATAACATACGAGATAAAAAATATCTGCTTATAGAAGTAGCAACCATTTAAAATTCATTCAAGCTTTCCTAAAATCATATACACTTTGGTTTAATCGACTACCACCATCTTGGAACTACTCCGACCATGCCACAATAGCATGATTCAGTATTTTTGGACTATGGACTAAATAAAATTTGGATTCAGTTAGTTCGGCATAGTCAAGAAATCACGATAACCGAAGGTCGCCCAGGAGGCTGGTGTCTGGGCGACCTTCGGATGTAGACTATGGTTCGGACTACAGTCGGAACTATCCTGACTGTGCTCTATCGTATGGTATGGCTGGTCATGACCACAGGTTGAACTATAGTGCAAAAATCTCTGCAACCGAAGGTCGCCCTGGCAACCTATATTTTTAAGGTAGTTGATATTACGATCTGGTTAAAACACAGATCCTATTTTGTTTGTTTCGTTTGTATAGTTCAAAGTTTCGTTTTATTTGTCTTTACTAAACCAGGGTTGTTACAAACTGTTTGATGCAAATTGTTGGCATGAAGTGCGCGGTACTGTGGATAACAGATCTATATTCCGTTTGTTATACTTTCGATTGCATCTACTACATGAAGATCTGACCAGTTGTAGTGCAAGGTTGCATCAGAGGTCATACGAGCGGCTTTTGACCCTATGACGTCAGACATTGATTAATCAATCAGTGTTGATGTTTCTAGTGTTTTACCCGCAGTTCCATGCACAGCACGCCAAGAACTCACCGGAACAGTCTGTTTCATTGGCTAATCCCTCACATCAATCAGAAGGCGGGTTATATAACAACTCTTCCAGATTCTAGTGTAGTAAAGACAAGTAATACAAAATTTTGAACTATAAAAAAATAAACAAAATAGGATTTCTGTTTTAATCAGAATGGATTATTTAACATTTAATTAAGAGAATATAATCAAAATACCAACGCTAGATGAAAAAAACTGCCGGTAAATACTGAACGCAATTTCAACCATTTTCGGACTGATATTCCTGTTAGAGATTCAACTTTCACAGTATTGTAGTTTGCAAGGGAATATATATTGCCTAAATGATGTATCGAGCCTTTAAACCACATTTTTCTATCGTCAGGACTTGATCTGCCAGGTTTTCTGGCTGGAAGTAATTTCTTGTTGCCATGGGATATAACAGTTAAAGCTAATAAAGAGAAATGGCCGACAGTTGGTGAAACGGCTGGTAAAAAAGGTCGTCAGAAAAGACCAAACCGAGGTGAGACAGAAGACGATATTTAATCCTTTTTACATTTATTTATTACATGGTCTACCATTGAGTAAAGTGGCGTGGTTTCGAGTCCATACTTGTATGTGATGAGAAGTAGGATTGTCTGCTTAACCTTGTGGGTTTTCTCAGGATCCCCCAGTTTAATCGCGCATAAAGACCCCTACAGACGAGTGACTTATTGAAATCAAATTGAACTATGTTAGTCGCAAAATAACTTGTTTGTGTCGAGTAGATGCTCTCTCTGTCTCTCTCTCTCTCTCTGGTTATGTTACATCAGCATTTGGAACACCCTGAGCAGTATATCTTCATGATATATGCTCTTCAAATAAAGTAGGGGATATTCAGAAACAATACAATTGCACTGCTGTTTTTATTAGAGGTAACCCGTGTATGTTAATAACAGGCCAATTGCCTACACATGAACATAAACAGTTCATATGGGCGGCTTATCTGACGGGCCCCATTTTCACTCGCAAAGAGATACACTGTCAAAAGTGAAAATGGACGTTTTTGATTTTTGTCTTATCCCCTTAACTGCGTAGGGCGTTATATAACGTCCTGGACAACTGCCACTCACCGTGTGTAGGACGTAATATAACGTCCTGGAGGTATTTTCCCCAACCTATTCTTCGAACATGATCTCAGCATGTGCAAGACGTTATATTACGCCTGGTCGAAGAAATCTAATTGAAGGGAGACAACTCTATTTACTGTTAGTTTTAATTTGGTTTCAGACTACCAAATTTTGTATTCAGGAATGAAAAGGTCCAAAATGACGTTTTTCGTCAAATTAATTACGCAATAGGGTGTAGTTAACGTTTTAAAAACTACGCAGTTAAGCGGTTAATAATGAGTAATTGCTCCACTAATCCTCAGAAATTCAGCAATTCATCGTGGCATGCTCCTAATCAACCGTCCAATCACGATTTGGGCAATCTGACCCACTCCTCTTGCAGTGCCGTGGCCAATTCTTGCAGTGTTGTCGGTTGACGTTTGACGTCGACGAACACGTCTCCCGATCAAATTAAACGTAACACACTAAAGCAAAGATACGCCAAACAGTAAAACTTATGCAAGAACCGATAGTGGCAAAAAACAATGTTTATAATTCCTTAGGATTTCTGGTTAAATTTTTTTGTCATAGATGTAAAAAAATGATATTTTCCTGAAATTTTGTCGAATTCTTTTTTTAGATGTAGGGGAAGTTACATTACGTGTTTATCTAGGTAATGAGTATGAATGTCCGAGAGGTCATCGTTTTTTCTGTAGCGGTCCCGATAAAATAATCAAAGTATCCAGTATGTGTTCTGTCAAGGTAAATGAATTTTGGGTTATTTTAAATGATTTTTACAAATTTTTAAACAAAGATTTCATATTAAACGAATGTGAAAGAAATTAGTGCTAAATACACAGGATTAAAGGACAATATTGGGGCCAGTCATTATCACATATGTGAAAGAACTGGTTAAATACGTTCCAAATATTTTTTTAACAACTTTTGATCTTTGACGGAATTATTAGTGAGCAGAAATTCGCCCATGTATCTGTTATCACTCGTCACTTCAGTCACTTATATAGAGGGATAACTTGTGTTTTCCTTTTGCGTTTGTCACTTCCAATTGTTGAAGCATTGATTACGCATCTATCGTAGCAATGATCTCTGTGATAAAATAATATTTGGAATGTGTTTAACCAGTTCTGTCACATATGTGATAATGACTGGCACCAATATTGTCCTTTAAATGATACCCGAGTTACAGTGTTTGGTTCTGGTCGTTCAATCAAGTACCACCTTGCTCTATTTCAATTACTGGTACACCCAAGCCTCTTGGACATCAGACATTGTGACCTGGTCAGTTTCAAACAGAAATAACCAATAATCTCTGTGACGTTGGGGGATCACGTGGCGTAGTGGGTAAGATGGTAAGACGCTGGCTCGCTAGCCTGGAGATCGGGTGTTCGATCACTGGATTGGCCGAGAAAGTTCATTCAGATTTTCCGGCATGGTTTCCCCTTGTCAATAATGCAGGAAAACCGAGGTCCTGTGTACACATTGGCGTGCACGTAAAAGATCCCGTGGCAGTTGGAATTCGATATAAGAGTAGGCCGTAGCGCCGCTGTCCAGGCAAAATTTCCCTCATAGCACACTGTATGGCGTATGCCCGTCTTCATCAGCCCAGGTTAGGAGCAGAACAGTAGGACGTTAAACCCCATTTCATTTCATTTCTGTGACTTTGTTGTTCATTGACAGAAGGTACATTTAAAGGTTTTTATAAGCCTTTTAAAGTTTAAACCCTTACAATTCCAGTTAAGTTGTAATTTATTATATATATCTATTATTTTGTTTTTTGCAGGATAATGCGACCAAGTTGTTGACGTTAGACATGCCGTTATATACACCATGTAACTGCAGGTAAACCAATAGATTGTTGGGTAAACCAATAGTTATTATGGGGTAAACCAAACGTTTGTTGGTTGTGGGATAAACTGAATGTTTGTTGGTTGTGGGGTAAACCAAATGTTTGTTGGTTGTGGGGTAAACCGAATGTTTGTTGCTTGTGGGGTAAACCAAAAGTTTGTTGGTTGTGGGGTTAACTGAATGTTTGTTGGTTGTGGGTTAAACCGAATGTTTGTTGGTTGTGGGGTAAACCGAATGTTTGTTGGTTGTGGGGTAAACCAAAAGTTTGTTGCTTGTGGGGTAAACCAAAAGTTTGTTGGTTCTGGGGTAAACCGAATGTTTGTTGGTTGTGGGGGTAAACCGAATGTTTGTTGGTTGTGGGGTAAACCGATAGTTTGTTGGTTGTGGGGTAAACTGATAGTTTGTTGGTTGTGGGATATTCTGATAGTTTGTTGGTTGTGGGGAAAACCGATAGTTTGTTGGTTGTGGGATATTCTGATAGTTTGTTTTTTGTGGGTTAAACCAATAGTTTGATGTTACGGGCCTGATTGTATTGTTATATTTTATAGAACTACGAAGATGAACATAGCACAATTGATGAGGTTATATATCGTGACTCCTGATGGACCAGTTAAAATCTTGATAAACCCGATGATTCAACCAGCTGTATCTCCATGTCCTCTCTTTCATCCTGGTACAGATCGACCAATAGAACTTCCTGCATCTGGTGTCTGGTGTCTCAGACTTCCGTATCCTTCACATATCTTAGGATTAAAAAAAAAATATAAAATTTCCGAAAATGGAATAATCTTTATTAGGTTTTAATTCAATATGATTAATATACAGATCTATATATACAGATCAGATCGTTTCGTTTTTTTATACTTGGTGATCTGACTAGTTGTAGTGGAAGGGTCACTCGGCAAACCTCGGCAGATTCTGTTACTTTACATCTAGCCTCGGCTGTATGACCGTAATAGATATGTACCTACGCCTATAAAATTGCGATGCGACACCGGTTTACCTATTAGGAAAACTTTCTGCTTCTAAAACCAAGTGTAGAATTTTCAGTGTAAAGTTGTCTTTGTTTGAAGAAAATCGGATAAACTTGAAAGTAAAACAGCTTCAGACTTTGAAATATTTGAATGATAAAACATTCTTCAAAGGCGTCGTCATGGGCAACGATGTTGGTAATCCGTGAACTTGAAAGTAGTTCCAATGGCGGACTTCGTCATACAGCTGAGGCTAGATGTAGGGTACTGGAATCTGCTGAGGTTTGCCGAGTGGTGGAAGGGTAAAATTGTCAACTTAGGACTTAAGATATTGGTCAAACTAGCTTATTGTCTGTTCTCAAGTGGAGCTAACTGTAGACAGACAGCCTGAGTTTAGTATGATCTGATAGGTGTGATAACCTTGTTTATTGAATTAATATTAATGACCTTAAAATGAAATGAAATGAAATGGGGTTAGCATCCTACTGTTCTGCTCCAACTGGGCTAATAAAGACAGGCATACGTCATACAGTGTGCTATGAGGGGAATTTTGCCCGGACAGCGGCACTACAACCTACTCTTATATTGAATTCCAACTGTCAAGGGGTCTTTTACATGCACACCAATGTGTACATGGGACCTTGGTTTTCCGTCCCATCCAAACGACTAGACAGCTGCCCTTGTCAGACCCTCTTTCCTACATCACTGACAAGGGGGAACCACGCCGGAAAATCTGGATGGACTTTCTCGGCCAATGCAGGGATCAAACACCCAACCACCAGACTAGCGAACCAGCATCTTAGCCACTTAGCCATCATGCCCCCCCCCCCCCCCCCCCCCCCCGTATACATATACAATAAATGTTATAATCTTTAACCATATACAGTCATGTGTATCAGGGTGATCGTGGTGTATACACCATGCCAACAGACGGACAGCAGTTACACATGTGTCGTCTGATGAAGGGAGCATTCTCTTATAAAGAAACACCTGTAGATGGATGAATCAAGTGTTGCCGTCAAGAATTGTGATCATCCTAATGGCAGTATGTGAAGGATAGAGAGAGAATTCAGATATTTGGACAGAGAAACATTATTCTATAGATTTTGTTTTTTACAAATGAGAACATTGTCTTGATAATGGAGTCTAGTGTCTGAGTAATTGAGTATTGTGTCTGAGTAATTGAGTCTAATGTCTGAATCTCCTCGAAAACCACCCAAACGTGCACAGGGCCCCTAAATTAAGTTTTTAAAGCAACTGTAAAATCAGGTCAAATTTTTTGATGTAACTGTGAAATCAGGTCAGATTTTGATGTAACTGTGAAATCAGGTCAAATGGAAGAATACTGTTAGCATAGTCTGCTTATTTCTGTGTAAATTAACATTTCTGTAAAAAAAGAGGAAAGTTCTTTATTTTTTAATTATGGTCTGTCTAGTGACTGTTGTAAGTGGACATGTTTATATCTGTCATTGAGTCAACTGGCATGGTTTCGATTCTCAGCTTGTATAACAAGGAGAAGGAGTCAACTGTTCAACCTTGTGGGATTTCTTCAGGTCCTCCGGTTTCCTCCCACTACTAAAAACCCATAAGCGCAAGTAAATTATTGAAGTAGAATTGAGTATTGTGTTTGTCCCTAAATGACCTGGTTTATGTCAATTGGACACTAAACACCATCCTCTCTCACTCTCTCTCTCTCTCTCTCACTCATAAATAAACTATTTGGTACTAAATCTTACTTATATAGGCCTATATATTAAACCCCTCGGGCGCCATAATATATATAAGTAAGAATTAGTACCAAATAGTTTATTTATGAGAGTCAAGGTTTGGACTATGCCTTGGAAAACGGAAGTGGGAGGCGACTAGTATGTGTCTCTCTTTTGTGAACCGAGGTGAGATTGTCCATTGTATTAACGGGACGGTTAGGCCTGCCATTCTTCGTTTATGTGTCTTTGTTGAAGGGGCGGCTTCCTTTCAACCAGATCGGCTCTAGACCAGTTTGCTTCTATGGTATATATAATATACATCTAATCAAAGAAATCAGAGTAATGATTACTTTATAAGATTGTTACGTTTGTTATTGTTGACAAAAAATATTTCAAATGTTGTTGATAAATAAAACAATGAATAAACTCTCTTCTTTTTCATTCATTCGATCTTGGGGTTTAAGATGAGAGTATCCTCAATGAAACTTTGCAGCTAATAAACTCAGTGAGTGTTATCCATAAAGCTGTCTGTTATTACGGATATAGGTTTCAAATCACATGAATGGAATTGAAGCTACGTGGCTATCAAATCACACGAATGGAAAGGACGCCACATGATATAGAATGGAAGCCACATAGTTATCAGATAACACGAATAGAATGATGGACATGAATGGAATGGATACCAGATGGCTATCAAATCACACGAATGGAATGAAGCCATGTGGCTATCAAATCACACGAATGGAATGGGCACCACATAGCTAACAAGTCACACGAAGGGTATGGGCAACACATAGCTATAAGATCCCATGAATAATATGGACACCACGTAGCTAACAGGACACTACGTAGCTAACGGGTCACACGAATGGAATGAACACCACATAGCTAACACGTCACACGAATGGGATGGACACCGCATAGCTAACACGTCACACAAATGGGATGGACACCGCATAGCTAACACGTCACACAAATGAAATCGAACCACATATCTATCAGATGACAAGACTGTCAAATCAACGAATGTACACCACATACAGTTATCACATCACACGACTGGGATGGACACCAAGAAGCTAACAAGTCACACGAATATAAAGTTGTGAATTCACTTTTGGATCATAATGCTGAGTGGACTATTCTCTCGGACAATGATAATGACACTGAACTCGCGAATTTGTTCTCGGATTACTTTTAAATAAAAATCCAGAAAATACAAACTGAACGTGACGTTTTTATCAAAACTATTGAAAGTGCTTATAACAATTTCACAGTACCGAAAGTCTTTTAACCCCGGTTTCAAATGATATTTTACTGGAAATTGATAATATAAAATGTACAGTTATGATTTTATTAGATTTGTCTTCCGCTTCGACACGGTGGATCCTTTTATTCTAAATGATAATAATAATGATAAATACGAATGGAATGGAAACCACATAGCTATGACATAACACGGAAGGTATCAAATCACACGAATGGAATGGAAGCCATGTGGCTATCCAATGAAACGAATGAGATGAACATCACGTAGCTAACAAGTCACACGAATATGAGTCACATAGCTAACAAGTTATGCGAATTGACACCACGTGGCTAACAAGTCATTCGAATGGACACCACGTGGCTAACACGTCATTCGAATGGAATGGACACCACATATCTATCGGATCACATGATTGGAACGGGGGCCACATAGCTATCACATCACACCAATGGAGTCGACACCACATAGATATTATATCACATGAATGGAATGAACACCACATAGCTATCAGATGACAAGAATTGAAGCCACATAGCTAACAAGTCATTCGAATGGAACGAACACCATTTATAGGGTCCCATTTATAGGGTAGCTTATCTGAAATAATTCTGTATTATAGAACCGAGAAAGCCCTTTTTTGAATTTTGAATGAACGTAATTAATAAACTACCTGTGATTATTCAACCTGTCATTATTCTCTTTAGAACCGAGAAAAACCCTTTTAAATTTAATCGCCAAAAATATAATAAAATTAACAATCTGATTAAAACACAGATCCTATTTCGTTTCGTTTTTTAAAGTTCAAAATTTTGCTTTACTTGTCTTAACTACAGTAGGATCTAAAAGATTTGTTATATAGCGCGCGTTCTGATTGAAGTGAGGGATTAGCCAATAAAACGGTCTGTTACGGCAAGCTCTTGACGCGCTATATCACACTGATCCGCTGTGAATATTCGCTTGGCCGCTACAATCACTGATAAGGATGACATCGATGCGACTTAATGACTACAAAATATTAACTTTTTTCTTTCGACAAATTAAATTCTGAAACATTAGTATTAGAGAAATAAATAAAGGTGTTTGAAGTATATCTTGATAAAAAATATTCCATATTTAGCGTAAATAGGTACAGAAAATAGTACGCGGAGGCGTAAAATGGGTAAAACGATATAATTTTGCCCGTACCAGTTCATATTACTACGTTCAATGTAAACAACGCACGTGTGACCATCAATTTGACGTTTTTTTCTGTTTGTTTACTCTGAATTCTTTCAGAAGTACATTTTTACCGTCTAATCTGATTGACCTGCTCGTGTTTGTTTTAAAACAACAAAAACAAGCCACAGAAGTAATCTTTTTTGGCGTTATCGATGCCATCTTGCTTTGTTGGTAAACATTGTGATGTGACGTCACCCTTAGAACTACAGCGGTTTGACCTTTTAAAGGTCAGTCATCTTGGACAGAGATAAAAGACGGATGTCGCATTAGGTCTGTAAAACAGATTGGTGCTATATATGCACGGAACTTTTTGTAAATCACTAGAAACGTCAACGCTGATTGATTAGTCAATGTCTGACGTCATAGGGTAAAGACGTGACCATCCACTACAACTTGTCAGATCTTTATGTAGTGTAAGCCATCGAAAGTATAAAAGAACGAAACGAAATGTAGATCTGTATTTAAATCAGATTGTAAAATTATTAAAGTACTAAGTCTTGCCTGCAATGTACTTTGAATTCTTCCACCCATGTGACCGATGTAATTTACGTTTAGTTAGGGGTTATATCATTTCGTCGCTGTTTAGGAGTTCCCTTATATAAAACCGCGACTACCTCTTTTAAGTTAAAAGTATATCTTTATTGAATTTTGATTATGTAAACGCAGGATCCATATATACAAGACAATATAAAGTACTATAAAGGGAACATTGTCCTAATAAGCTTCCGTCCCAGACAGGAAAAATCTCAAACACAAGAAGTCAGTAAATTCATATAAATAATTATAAAATCAGAAATTAAATGATTTATTGAAAAATAATTGATTGAAGATGATCAATAACAATTAAACGAATCGATTTGGTGTATCAAAAGACATCAAGTCAGAATATTATTATTGATCGGTTAAAGGTCACCAGCATACTGTATACCATTGGCCAGTTAAAGGACACAAGAACATTATGTGCCATTGGTCAGTTAACGGGCACCAGAATATTGTATACTATTGACCAGTTAAAGGACAGGGCGTCAGAATATTGTATACTATTGGCCAGTTAAAGGACACCAGAATATTATATATTATTGGCCAGTTAAAGGTCACCAGAATATTGTATACTATTGGCCAGTTAACGGGCACCAGAACATTGTATAATATTATCCAGTTAAAGGTCACCATTGGCCAGTTAAAGTTCACCATTGGCCAGTTAAAGGGCACCAGAATATTGTATACTAATGACCCGTTAAAGGGACAGGCTACCTGGGCGACCTTCGGATGTAGACTATGGTCGCGACTACAGTCTGAACCAGCACCCAAACGCAAATGACCCTAGCCATTGACTATTCAATATGGTGGCGACCATGTCAGTTGTTCCGCCTGCTATATTTTATCATGTATTTTTAAAAACTGATTAATTTTCCATACTGTGATGTGAAAGCAAGCTTAAAATAGGTTACAAATAGGATTAGTCAATATCAGAATATTTTCATTGGATTTATGTCACCCAACCAAGATCATGTCACACGTACAGTTTTTTGTCGTGTGCCTTATATATTCGAATAAGAAGATCCTAATCTGTCAAATTCATCAAAAAAAGACGAAAAAAATCAAATTTAATATCTTACTACAATGCCCATTCACTAACTTTCAGGTGTTAACATGGGCCCTATAATACCGACCAAGGTGTAAATAACTCAACGGCAATCGGCAATTGTATTATATTTTTCAGAAAATCTTCTCAAGTGTCAGTTTTGTCAGCCATCTTTGAACTATCCCGACCGTGCTCTATCGCATTGTACGGCTGGTCACGACCACCGGTTGTACTAAATGTCATTCGTATGCAGATGGTTCGACTATAGTACGAAAATCCGTGCAACCGAAGGTCGCCCAGGATATTATATATTAATCGCCCGTTAAAGGGAAATCACTCCAGAATATTATTTATTATTGACAAGTTAAAGGGACAAATGGCCAGAATATTATATAATATTGGTGAGTTAAAGAGACGTGGCACCATAATATTATTTACCATTGACTCGTTAAAGGGACAGGGTCCCAGAATTTTATAAACTTTCTTTTCATTTAAACGGTCAGGACAAGGGAGTATTATATACTATTGGTCCGTTTAACGGTCGGGACAAGAGAATATCATATATTACTGGTCAGTTGAGGGGACAGAGCACCATAATAGTATATACTATTGGCCAGTTACACGGTCAGGACAAGATAATATCATATGCCAGTTCAGGGGCGCAGATCGCCAAAAATTAGTGGTGGGGACAGTCCATGCGCGGGCGACTATTGGTAAAGAGGAGGGTTCAGGGGTCCTCCCCCGAAATTTTTTTAAAACTAGGCGCTCTAAAACGCACCCTGTGGTTATTTTCAGCATCATTTTCTGGCAAACAATTTTAATTCCTGAGGCAGCAAATGATATGAAATCTAATCCAAAGACAAATCTTCAAGCCACCGTTCACGATTTATTCTCGATGTACACTAAAAGAACTAGAAAAAATTTACACTACTGAGATTCCAGCTCCGTCTCCATTCCCAGTAGTGTTCGAAGACTACGTAAAGTCTTTGACAAAATGTGTATTCAATTGGATACACAAATTTACAGGCCTACAAATCTTTTAATTTATACAAACTAAAACAAGCTACACACACAACTAAACATATCAATATTCAATCCCAATTGAAATAAATGTAACATTTTACTGTATTATTCATTCAGTGTAGATCCTAATAATAATTTAAAGACAGAGTCGGGCCCGTAGGCTGGAAGCAAGGTGGGAGGGTTCGTTTGTGAAACAAAAAGACCGACTATATAACCGAACGCCGCTGGCGTGAGCTGCTAGAGGTGGGGGGGGGGGGCTTTTACAATTTTTTGAATTTTTGTTACAAAATGGTGTCTAAATATGCATTCTCAGCGATTCTG